GAACAGAACAAAACTCCAGAAAAAGAATTAAACGAAGTTCAAAACGCTGGTTCTAAGGACGCTCAGTAAAATTCAGGAGGAGCGGGTGGACTCTGTGAGAACGTCAGCACAGACAGCAGCGTAAGAAATGACGTGAAAGCGATGGAGGAGAACCAGTCAGAAGGAAGAAGGCAGTCTCTAACGTGGAAAATGCACTAGAAGAGAGGTGAAGCAGAGGGCCGAATCCACGATGAGGAAGGCAAGGTAGCGGGAAACACCCACTCGGAGCAGCAAAAGGAAAAAAAAATCAAAGAGGTGAGTGCAGTGTCGGGGACCTCGGGGACAATGCAAGCGTAACAACATTCTCAGCACGGGAGCAGCCAAAGGAGGAGAAGGGCGAGTGAGGGACCGAGAACGCCAGTGACGATGTAATGGATGAGAAGGTGCAGAAAATAAGTAGCATAGACCGTAGGTAGAAAATACATCGGGGGGAGGGCAAGAATAGTAGGGGAAATATAGAATCTAAAGAACCTGAGACACGTGGTCATAAACTAAAGGGGGGAATGGTGGGGGAGAGGTGTGCAGGGTGGAGGGGAATGAAGGGGGGAAATAGAACAACTGTAATGGCATAATCAATAAAATACATTACAATAAGTAAGTAAATAAATAAGTAAGTAAATAAATAAATAAATAATGCCCCTCACCTGGCGAAGGGAACGACCACAAATCCAGGGAGCACGGCGTGTCCCAAACAAGGTGAGCCCAGAGAGGCCACTCTGGACAGAAAACTAAAGTGGCAAAGGTGAAGGAGAGAATCTGAAAAGCAGCCAAAGAAAGACAGTTACAGGATTGGCCAGAAAGTTCGTTTTTTTCCATCCGATCGTTCCAGTGGCACTTAGCTGTCTTTAACTTCACTGGAAACAATTCTGTTGGACTGTATTGTGACAGCTGTCCTAGCAGTGTGCAGTTAAACAAAACATCAAAACCATACATTTTTGTGTAGTCGCTTTAACATTGAAGATGGGAGAAAATACGCAACATTTTCAGCATATTATGCTTTATTGTATCATGAAGGTTAAAAATACAACTGAAACGCAGGGATTTGCACGGTGCATGGAGAAGGTGCTGTGACTGATTGAACGTGTCAGAAGTGGTTTGCAAAGGTCCGTGCTGGAGAGTCCTGGCTGGACGATGCTCCACGGTCGGGTGGACCAGTTGAAACGGAGAGCAATCCAGTCGAGACACTAATTGAGAACGATCAACATTATAGCCCGTGGGAGAGAGCCAACCTACGCCAAATATCCAATCATTTAAAGTTATTGGCAAAAGTAAAAAACGTCTTTTATTTTACAGAAAAACCACACAAACATTTTGCCCAACCTGCAAGGGAGCTCCCGTAAAACTGTCAGCTGATTTCTCAACAGAAACAGAATCAAAAGGAACAACCTGAAAAGGTCACACTCCAGCTGGACACAAGGCCAGGTCCACTGACTCCCAAGCAGGGGCGTCCAGACCCACGGCTCCACCTGGGCCTGCGCCCTGGCACAGCCCAGTAAACCCAGATGCAGTTTCCAATGCAGAACCCAAATGCAGAATGAGGATGCAGTTTCCCTGTGACCCCCTCTGGGCAGGACACGTTCCCTACGACACAGTAAGGGAGGCAGTGAGACTCATGTCCCATCACCAGCGTGACACCCCACAGGTGTGTCTGAAAATAAGTAGCATAGATGGTAGGTAGAAAATAGACAGGGGAGAGTGTAAGAATAGTAGGGGAAATATAGAATCTAAAGAACTTGAGACACGTGGTCATAAACTAAAGGGGGGGATGGTGGGGCAGGGGGTGTGCAGGGTGTCCCAGGTCTACGTGAACAGAACCAGAAAGCTAACCTACTGTGTGATTTGGTAACAGCGGAAACTCAGCAACGCAAAGCCACACCCAGGAGACGTGAGTGTGTAAGAAAAATGGAATTCCCAATGCTGCTGCTGTTTGAGAGGGATGCTGGTGGAATTTCTGGGCATGTTCCTTTCTAAGCGGCGACTGTCGCAGGGTTGAGACATACACTGAGCTCAGGGGATCCCATTTTCTCCTAAAACACGTTAAAGAAACCTGGTGGGCTCGCCGATGCGGTGGTGAAATGTCGCCCTCACCATGACAAGTGTGGCAAATAATGAAGAAAAATGCCCCCGCTTCCTCAGCACCTGGAAGCCCTTCGCAGTGCGGAACGCTCACCCACTAAGCTCTGAGCGGGACCCTCACAGTGAGGGACCGACGGTAGGACTCCTCCACCCGGACCGGAGCGCGTCACCAGGCCCTCTCTCCCCGACTCTCCCGCACCCCCTCGGACAGTGCTGTCTGAAACACCAGTGGTGCCTGATCTGCAGGTCTCTGCCCCCTTCGTCCTGAGCACAGGGACACTCCGGGGGGACTCCACAGCCCAGACGAGCCCCGGCTTACTCGGCACATCCAAGTCAATGTGGTACTGTTCCCACGCAAAATGGCCAGACAGCCTGCTCTGTGTCCCCGCGGGGGCGCCTGCTGGCCGTCGGTCCGGCATCTGTGGCTTCCTTCCCCTGCAGAAGCACCGCGTCACTGCCCACACTAATGCTGCATGGCACAGGCGTCCTTCCAGCCCGGTGATCGCCCACATGACACAGGCGGAGCCTGTGGGTCGGACCTTTGACACAGTGCCCTTGCCCCTCCCACCCGCCTCCTCCCTTTTGCTGCTCTGAACACTGTGAGGGCTGGAGCTCCAGCAGCTGCTCTGGGGCAGAGGGAAACCATGAAGACAGCAGTGCTGGACACTGGACGGCAGTGCAGCCCCTACGCCTGTGTCCCCCAGGCAGCAGGCGGCACCCAGTGCCCACCGAACAGCATGGTTCGCCCCACTATTCCGTCTCCCTCAAATGTCCCTTCCCCTTCCTCCACCGGCCGAGGCACGACTATGGGTAAGAACCCCATGAAGCCAGTCCCCTCCCTCTACAAGCAGTGACACCTGTGGTCACTGTGGCCCCCGAGCAGGGCACACCTGTGGCCTGAAGACCGCACTTGGCCTTCCCCGCCTGACAGTGCATCTCAGGGACAAAGCCTGTGGCCTTCTCACCTCTCACCCACCACCCTGTGTTTACAGCACCCACCATGTGTGGACGCACACAGAGGGGCTCAGCGGTACTAAGGGAAAGAGCTTATGTGTGTGTGTGCCCACCCGCCGGTGTGCCAGGAAGGACTTCGAATGAGCCCGAGGTGGCACTGAGCTGTGACTCGCTGTCAACGGGCCGTCACTGAGCTGCACTGACGCAGAGCGACGAGAAGCCCAGGAGGACGCACAGTTCAACCAGCTGGAAAACGTTAAGTGTCGACATCCCCACCCCCACCCCCGTTCGGGTGGGAAAATGTGTGGCCCTGGCACCGGTGTCAGCCTCGCACGCACTTGGGTTTGGGGGGGGGGGCACACGCCCTGTGAGACGAGGTGGAGCGATTTCGGGGAGTCGTTTTTCAGCTCCGTGTCCCCCAAACCAAGCTGACGGGGCCCCAAACCTCCTGCTCTGCGCTATCACAGGGCAGGATTCGAGTTTGCTCTTTGCAGTCTAGAGTCTGTGCGCTGGCTCTCACACACCCCTGTTCAAGTACCGGGGGACGGTAAACTCCGTGCCAACACCGCGTTGCCGGAGCCTCTTCATCCCTGCTACACCCACCTCGACCCGTACTCTCTCCTCTTCGAGTGCTTTCCCGGGGGGCTGCTTTGTTTAGAAGTCTCGCTTGTGTGATCTTAAACTCAAAGGTTTTAAGGCAAATGCTGAACTCCAAAGTCATAAAATATCTGCATAATGTATAAGCGCAGTGACATTTTTTACACTGACGTAGGACTTGACCTTCAGTGGCCAGCCCTCTGGGACGTGGCGTCCTGGCACGATGGGCTTCCTCCTTGCTCCTCCTCACTGTTCCAGGAGGCGCCTCGGAGCAGACGCCGAGAAGCAGCACGACCAAGACCAGGGGGTTATTGGGGTGCAGAGCTGCACAGAGTAAAACCTAATTCAGTGTAAACTCTCTTAAGCTGTCGGACGTCAGGAAAAGCCGCGTCTCTCTTCACCTAGAGGACGGGGCACCCGAGGAGGCGGGAAACCTGTCGGCCAAACGCAGCTGCGCCCCAGCTGGGTGCGGGGTGGAGGGACCAGCACACCCACACGGTCGCGTCTGGCATCTGTATTTATTGATTCAGCAACACCACAAACAAAACATTACACCTTCCACTGGACCACCGGCCGATGTCAGGATTGGGGGAAAGAATCAGAGAACTCTAAGCGGTAACTTTTTAAAGAAAGTGTGATTCCAAGGAGTCAAATCATTCTCTCAAAACTGCCCCTGCCTGTCTGCATCCTCCCGTACGAAAGTGCCTCCGGTGTGGAATGACGTTCGGGGGGAAATCTCAAAGAAACCTTGCTTCTGTGAAGAAATGTCACAAGAAAGAGCTTTTGCTCGATTACAAGCCATTACTCAAAAACTTCACTGGATAAGGTTCGATTCTAAGCTGGAAGCCGTGCGGCCGGCCCTCCACCGAGGTCTCAGAGACTGTTGCTCACACAAGTCAGAGAAGCTCACCCGGCAGTGTCGCCTGGGGGCGGCCTCCCGCCTCGCACGCTGCCCACGCGGCCTCGATGGCCTGCGCCAGGCCGGCTGCCAGGTCGCAGGGCCGGTCGGGTCATGTGTCAGCCCTCCACACCGGGGGACTCCGGGAGGACAGTAATTCCGAGATCTTTAGACATTTTTTAAATGTCTGCGATCAGTACCTATACGCTGTGTACTGTGTTAGCCGCATTCATAGAACCAGAATGCAGCTCCTGTTTCCTCAGTCGCCGCTACCACACTGGAATGGGTGTCGGAATGGCAGGGTGTTGGGGGGCCCGGCGACCCCGGCTGCGGGGCCCCCTCCGCTGTCTCTGACCCACGGGGCCCGGGGCTCCGCTCTGGCCAGCTCCCAGGTGCCGCTGATGCAGCTGAAAACTGTGCACTTAAAATAATTTTGAAAAGGTGATTATTAATGCAAATTAAGAAAAGAAAATACATTCACATCATATTTATTTATCCTCCCCTAAAATTATAATCTGTGAAATTCTGGTAAAACTTTTATAAATGCTAGAGTACCAAGTACAATTTATTTAATTTTGCTGAAGCGTTGACTAAAAAGGTCTCTAAGTCCTACTTTTTTTTAAAAGCATCTTTTAGAAGAAAAAAATGGCAACTTTTTTCATGTCGTATCTCATAATGTCATCCAGTGTAAGGACCAGTTTGCATTCAAGCCACTCAATTTTTACTTCGACCCTGGTGAGCAAGTCTCGTATAAACATGACAGAAGTAACACAAAGTCCCGGGTGCTGTTTCCTGCGATAACATTAGGGAAGGTGCGACCTTGGGGGCCTCGGGTTCCTTAAAAGTGAAGGCAAACGTTGGAATTGGACGATGTCCATCTCTGAGCAGTCGGAGTCAGACCCCGAACCCACTCACACCCGGTCACAGGGAGGCCAGACCCACCAGGGCTCAGCCAAGGGCCACAGAGCTGTGCCGGAGGACCCCCAGTGTCTGCAGGGTGCAAAGACTGTTCCGACTATTAGTTATGAATTAACAGAGTTTCAAAGTGGGGGAGGAAGAGGAGAGTGAGATTTGACCACGGGAAGCGCCTGCCCTCCGCTCCGAGCTGGCTTCTCCAGAAGGGCCCCTCGAGACGAAGACCAGGGGTCCCTCCGATGCATCACCCCCAGGACTCACACAGGCAGGGGCTGGGGCTGGCGGCTGTCGGCAGAGGGATCGGGAGTGGCTGGTGGGGTCGGCTGCTGCTCGGTAGCAAAATTGATAAATACCTGAAAGAGCAAGGGCAGTCGCTGGCCTTTTGTTCTCGAGCGTTGTAAGAAGGGACACCCTCACAAAGCACTGCCCCGCTTTTCTTGAAAACCCCCGGTCGGTCACCAGCACCAGCCCCCCACTCCCCAAATCACCATGAACAGGTGAATCCCGAAGTCAAACCCCAGGAACAACGAGTATTTCCGGACAATAATAAATCACCTAAAACTCTCTCTGCCTCAGGCAGCCTTGGGAATGAGGCTGTGATTTAACTTTATATGCAAACACTCTTTGAACACCAAGCCCCTTTCTTCTGGTGCAGCCTTTGGTTCCCTGGGGTGGGGCGGGGGTGGCGGGGTCACCCGTGGAATAGCTGGTGTCACAGTGGACGAGCAGAAGCACGCCTCACAGGGACCCTGGGCAGCGAGCACCTGGGCAGCGAGCACCTGACAAGCTGACCACCCGATGCCCACCCTCCGCCTCCTGGGCTCTCGTAAACCTGACAGCAACTCCCTCCAGGGATGGGGGCCTCCACGACCCCACGCCACTGGGGGCGCCTTCCAGGGACCCCACCTGCTCCAGCGAGGTCTGGCTGATGGAGTAGCGCTCGATGCTCAGCGCGGCCTTGCTGCTCTCCAGCACCCTGAGCAGGCCGGCCGGGCCGGCCCGTGTCTTCGGCACGTGGTACTCCAGTAGGTTCAGGCGCCGCCCCTAGAAGCCCCCACGGGAAAGGGTCTCGTGACACCCTGTGACCAAACGAGGCCGCCCCACCGAGTTTCACCGCCACACACTGGTTTCGGAGTCTCCAGTGAAGGGTCAGGAACGCCAGTTCCCCACCAGTGCTCTGTGCGCGGCAGTCACCCCGCAGGGCGAGCCGCTGTCTGGATGCTTGGTCCTGACTGTCCTCACCATCAGCACCTCCCGGGAGATGACTGTTCCCATGTCACTCTCAGATGTGCCGGGCGAGGGGGAAACAGGAGCCGTTTCCTGGGGTCCCCACAGGGCGCTCCATGTGAGCCTGTGAGCCCCACACAGCCTGCCTGCCCTGGTCACCGTGGAAACAGGGAGGTCGTGCTACCATGGGACACCACCCCCACAGTAATGATGAGCCCCCACTCCCACCCGGGGCCCCAGAGGCAGGGCCCTCAGATGCTGACCCCCAGAGGGAGGTTTGGGTTTCACAGGCAGGGGCCCGAGAACCCGCAGGTCTAGGCAGGTGGTTTGGGGACCCTGCACCCACCCGGTAGGGGGACGCCGGTGTCACCAGACCTGTGACCACCACACACCCAGGGGGCATGGCCCATCCTGAAGGCCACAAGGTGCGGTGTGGCCTGGCCCACAGGTGCGGAAAGCATGACTACGGACTCCCGCGGTGATGCGCCAGAACCAGCAGGGTGCGGTCCCTGGCAGTCAGCCTGGAGCGTGGTGCCCAGAGGGAGCTTCAGCCCCTCTGTCGCTACGAGGCCCCGACCAGAGCAGCCCCTCGCACCAGCATAGGGCTAACTATGCATCGTGAACACCTTCCGCTGAACGGGGACGCACACGGGACCCCATATGCAGGACCCCCACACACAGGACCCCCACACACAGGACCCCCACACGCGGAACCGCCACACTACCTTGAACTGGGCTCCCGGGAAGTGGCGCTGCAGGCAGGCAGAGATGGCGGCGTGTGGGCCGCCCTTCTGGCAGACCCACACTCTGACCGCATACCCGTCCCCGAACCTGAGGGAGGGACGGAGTTAGAGCCCGGTCACTTTGCTGGGACCTGAGTCTATTTCCAAGGGACTCCCCACGGGCCAGGCTGTGGGCAAGGCGCCCGCACCGCACCACCACCTCCTGCTGACCCACAGCGGCCTGAGCAGAGAGAAAGGCTCCCACCTGTGTTTGAGGTGCTGGGGGGACCCGAGGCACCGGAAGCGGCCGTCCACCATGATGGCGAGTCTCGTGCACAGCGCCTCGCACTCCTCCATGCTGCGGGGAAGCACGAGGGTGAGCGTGGGGCCCGGGCTCAGACACATGCGACGAGAGTGACCACAGCGCATCACCAGGGCCGCACGCCAGCCGGGCATCTGTACGGACACAGCACCAAGGTCGCAGGGGCACCGTCAAGGGCAGGCGGCCAAGGGTACAGTTAACAATGCAGCAGCCCCGGCGTTTCCACACACCGGGGGGAGCAGCCACAAAGGGCGGAGAGCACTTTGTGGTGCTGCAAACGCGCCACGGAGGGAAGAGCGCCCCGCACACGAATGGGGCAGCTTTGCGAAAAGAAACAAGATTTATCAATGGAGTCAAAGGAGATCTTGAGTCTACGGAGAAGTGTGTCAAAAAGAGGAAAAATGAGCATTTTAAACGTGGAACATTATTGTAATGTAAAAAGTATTGTTTTAAATGATTGTAATATAAAATAATACTTTGTAAGTGTAAAATATAGTAAGCATAAATATTAAATGTGATGAGGAAGTAAATTATATATTTACTACATATGAGTAAACGCACACGATATTTTAATGCACTATAATATAAAATAGAATAGAATAAGTGACATTGTAACTCATAACTTATTTGTAATATACACTAATTTTTTACAGAAAGCATTTAGTGAAGATTTACAATTGTAACTGCACTATTACAATTACACCAGAGGCAACACGAACGGCGACGACCCGTGCAACGCCCACCAACACCAGCACCCCCGGGACAAAGACCTGGGAGGCCGCCGACCCAGGAGAGGAGCGGGCCCTGCTCCAGGGCCCTCGGAGAGTGAGGGCGCCTCCTGCAGGCAGGTGCTGGCTTGGGATCTGCCGCTGTGAAGCAGTGGGGTCTGCTCACACCCCTCACCTCCCCCCGCCCCTTGGTGTGGGAGCTGGGCTGGGGGAGAGGGTGACCCTGTGGACACCCTGGCTCTGCCCTTGCAGGGAGCAGTGACCTGTTCCACCTCAACCTGGAGTCTGCGTCCCCTGCCAGCACCCAGGAACCGGGCACACCCGACCTGAGAGCTTGCAAGCAGGGGCAGGTGCCCACAGCCCACGACACTGCTCTCACAGGGCGTCTCTCAGGTGTGGGGACAGTCGGAACCTGGGGTCTGTTCTCAGAGACTCACACAGCCCCCTCCATGAACGGGCCTCACAGAACCTGAAACGCACACAGTTGCGTGGCCAAGAATGTTCCAAAATCTAATTACAAGACTAATTCTGGGAGGAAGAAAACACGAGACCAGACTCAGAAACCTGTTGTTTCATTGCAGCCTGTTCTCCTGCTGGGATAAGCAGCCCCGGACAGAAAGGACCAGACGGGGCTGTGGGGGGACCCGCCGGGGAAAGGGCCGGACCAGGTGCCCGGAGCACCCGCGCTGGGGTCCAGCTCTGTCGTGAAGGCAGACCAGGCGAGGGGGTCCTGCGGCAGACGTGAGGTTCAGGCACCAGCTCGGCCACGCTGGCTGTGTGGCCGTGCTGACGTGACTTTCCTGTCTCCGGGTCATTGTTCTGATCCATGACAGTGTGAGTGATGCCAGGCCGGCACGGTGTGGCTGTGGACACACCGACCTCCCAGCCCCCGGCCCGGCTCCGCGGCTCACCTGTGTGAGGTCAGCACCACCGCACAGCCCTGCAGAACCTCCTTCCTCACCGCTTCCCACAGGAGCCGCTTCGAGCAGGGGTCCATCCCCGAGCTGGGCTCGTCCTGTGGGAGAGAGGGTCCCGGTGAGGGGCACGGCCTGGGCGAGACGGGCCCTGCTCTGTCCGCAGGGCAGCTGCAGGTACAGCCGGCACCTCCGTGCCCACCAGCTCCCACCCTGGTGGCTCCCAAGACCACCCCCAGGGCCACGGACTCCCAAGGGCTGTGCCGAGAAAGGCCTGCGGGAGCGGGAGGGGCCCCGCATGTTCAGCAGCAGCACCACACGAGGCGAGGCCTCCTGAACCCAAGGCTCTCTTCTTCAAGGGGCACCGAGCCTATCTCGGGAACCGCCTCCGAGGGATGCCTTTGTCGGCGGCAGGACGCGCTCCAGAGCTCTCAGTGGTCAGCCAGCTCTGCACGCATGTTCCTCATGAGCTTAGGGCGCCGGTCTCTTGCCGCTGTGCCACCAGAGTGCCTACCCCGTGCGTCACCGCCTCTCCCTCAGAGTCAAGTTTAAACACAATGGCAGCAGCCAGCACAGGTAGCGTCCAGCGTGAGTGAATCAGACCACACCCGCGTCCTCTCATCTGACAGTGAACCGCACGCCCGTGAGTGCGCCCAGCAGGCTGGCGAGTGACTGGCTCGCGCATGCCAGGACATCAAAGGCGGGAGGTCGCGGGGCCGGGGGACAAGTGTCAGCGAGTTTTCAGACTACAGGCGCACCCTGGTGTCCTTTGAAACACTATTTCTAATGCCACAGTTTCACTGGGCATGTGATTTGTTAAATAAAGGTGACTTATCAAGAAATACACCTTATTTCTGTACAACCCCAGGGCTGAGTCAGATCGTGTGGGGTGCCGACCTGGGAGTAGCAGGTCACTTCAGAGAGGCCGCGTGGCCCCAGCTCCCGGGAGGGCGCCCCCGAGTCCTTACCAGCAGCAGGAGGTCAGGCCTCCCCAGCAGGGCCAGGGCCGTCGACAGCTTCCGCTTGGTGCCCCCACTGTAGGTGGCCACGGGCTGGTCCACGTGGGCTTCCAGGCCTAAGCGCCGTACCAGGTCCCCAGCCACCTGGAAGACAGGGGCTCTCTGTAGGCCCCCACTTGAGGAGGGCCCCTCCTGCTGCCCCTCCCTCCTCCCCGCCCCCTGCTGACACCCATGGGACACGGAGACCACTCAGGATGGACAGACGGCGCCCTGGGTACACTGGGCCCTCTGGGCTTGTGGGACCAGCAGGCGGCGGCCGAGCATAAGGTCTGAGCCCAGGGAGCCCTGAGAGCGGAGGGATCGGCAGGCAGGAGGGAGGTCGGGCGGGAACAGGCTGGGGCGGAACCCAGCGGGAGCGTGGCAATGAGCAGAGACATGAGCAGGGAAGAAGGGACCCCCTCAGAAGCCGCTCAGAGACCCCCCACTGGGGGGCTGGTTCACGGTGGCACTGGGGTAGGTCAGGCGGAGGCCAAACTGCATGCTGGCAGTGGCTGGGGGCCGGCCCATCAAGTTGGGGGGGAGCCCTGCCCGCCCCCCCCAGCACATGGGCCACATCACAGCTTCCTCCCCTGCAGCACCTCTCAACCAGCCCTTTCTCAACCAGCCTCAGAGACCCGGCCCAGCTCCTCCTTGCTCCTCAGCACAGGGAGCTGTCCCCCGCACCTGCCCTCTGGCCTTGCCGCCCAGCACAGCCCCATGACGCCCGCCAGGCCCTGTCTTCTGCATTCAGGCCCTGGGGTGGGCTGGGCTGCTGCCTCTGGGGGCCGGTCAGCCCATTTCCAGCTCCGCACACTCTGGTTCTGCGACCATCTCGTCTAAGTCCCCTGACCACCAAGAAACCGGTGTCGGGTCATCCTATGTGTATCTCTGTGTGGTCGGGCTGGCCCTGGTCCCAGCTTCCTCCCGACGTGGGGGGAGAAGGAGACACTGAGGAAATGGGCTCATGCTGGAGCGTCCTCAGTGACGACAGAAATGCAGCTTTAAACTGACACATGTGTGTCACAGATGAACAAATAAAGGTTGGAACAACGATGGCGACGCTGCAGCACCAAGAAGCTCTGCACCGCAGGGTTGGTCGGAACCGAAGCCTCCCGGGACCAGAAGGTGCGCCTGCCCTGCGTGCCCACCTCTGGCTCCTCCAGGCAAGCAGGGTCCCGTCTGCCGACTCGGCGGCCATGCGAAGCAGGAAGCCAAGTCCGTCCCCAATGGGCAGCCGGTGAGGAGCCCAAGGAAGGGCTCCGAGGCAGCTGTGCCTCAGGACCGAGGTTGCAGGGACAGGGCCCACTCTCCACCCTGCCACTGAGACCTTCTTCAACAGGCGCCTTTTTCAGGGCCAGGAAAGAGCCCACCAGCGGTGCCCACAGTGCCCACCTCTTCACCCAAACACTAACCAGGGAGCAGGCAGGGGTAAGGCCGAGCCTACGATTCTGGGTTTTATCAGCTGCTCCCCGCACTCAGTGGGGCTCCTGCTGGGGAACAGCCTCCTGTGCTCCGCTGAGATGGGGGGGGGAACAGATGGCACCCTCCAAGGACAGGGGAGAGACAGCCGGGTCTCACACAGAGTCCCGAGGTCAAAGGAGGAGGGCCAGCACCTCGCAGCAGCACCGAGAAGGGATTCCACGGACCAGTGGGGGCGAGGGCTGGCTGCGTGGTCACCTGCGGAATCTTGCTAAGAGTGCATCACAGAAGCCGCCCATTTCTGCCCCCGTCCAAATTCCCGGAATTTGAGCCACACCCCAGGCCCAGAGATGAGGAGCAGAGAAGGGAAACTGCCTGAGCACCTGCCATCCGTGTGGCTTCCCACCTGGACCGTCCCCGAGCTGTGGTCCAGACTGCCAGCTCCGCGTGGCCCGCCGCCACCACTCACAACAGGTGGTGACCGCCCCCGGGCTCCCCTCACAGGCAGGAAGACGGGGTCGACCTCTGGACAGGGCCTTGTGGGCCGCCCTGTCCCACCCGCCACCCGCCACCTAGTCTTCACCCTGCACTGGGCCCCAGGGAAGGCCACATCTGTGACATCTGTCCCTGAATACACAGGAGCAGCTGGGCAACATGAAGGGCACAGGAGAGGACACGGAAGGGGGGCACACAGGTGTGGACAACACACAGGTGTGGATGACAGGGTGTGCCGACTGCTCCCCCGCCCTCCGCGCAGGCCCTCGTGACGGTAATACAGACACAGCAGGAGCCCTTCCTGGGCATCCTCTGCACCAGCTCGGGGAGCACCTTCAGGCACGCTGGTCCAACCCGGTACTTCTGGCTCCTGGGGTGCAGAGGCTGCGTGGGTCCCCCTCCTGGAAGCCCCAGGGGCTCACCTCCTGGACATGTGACATCGGGAGCCCGCGCAGGCGGCCGTAGTAGCGCAGGTGCTCCCAGCCGGTCAAGTGCTCGTCCAGGGCATCCTGCTGTGGACAGTAGCCGATGCGGAGGCCCGCCACCTGGGCCGAAAACAGAGCCGCGTCCTCCCTGCAGAGAAGCAGAGTGCAGTCCAGAAAACCCCACTCCCCAGCGCCCCATCTCTGGAACCTGCTGGTCCCCAGGGAGCTCACAGGGTTTGTCAAATGCGCTTCATTAACTAGCACAAAGGGGTTCAGTGACAGCAGAGTGACCCAGGGGCCCAGGAGGCCAGGATGTGCGAGAAGCACCCCTCATTGTAGCTGGGACGCAGGCATGTTCGGGAAGCGGCTGTCAGAACCACTGTTCTCTCCAAAATGATCCACATGAACCACCAGTCAATCGATGACTAAGTGTCCTTCCAGATCCAGTGTTAAGCGAACAAGTTGTGTAACAATTGTATCTGATCTGTTGCTGAACAGACGGAAATCAGAGAGACAGAGAAACCTACGGTCGCACCCTCAGTGATTTCTGGAGTGGACGTGTGGTGAGCCCTCTGAGCCGGTCACAGGGTGGTCTCCAGACAGGACTCGGGCGAGCAGGAGTGTCTGCCCTGCACTCATCCCCCACCAGCTGGAAGGAGCAGACGAGCTCCGTGAAGCTGCAGGAGGCAAACCAAAGCGCCCAAGCGCCTGTTCACAGACGGACTCCAAGCTGCCAGAGAGGCAAGCAACCCCTCTAACACCGCACCAGGGAGAAGACACAACTCAGCAATGAACTTGGCCCTGGCCGGAAGAGCCTGTGCACCCAAGCAAAGCTGCCCAATTGCAGGGGGAGCAGAAATGCCCGTGGCGTTTTTCACAGAAGCAGAAAGAAAAACCCTGAGCTGGTAGGGAGCCACTAAGGCCCGGAGCAGCCCACGCCGTCCCGGGAACTAAAGCTGGAGACGGCGCACTTCCTGGTCTTCAACTAGTGACACCCACAAAGCCACAGGATCGGAATGATGTGCCACCGGCACCAAGCACACCCAGGCTCCACGGCACAAACAGCAGAGTCTCGGGCCCAGAAAGAAGCCCAGTTGCGTGCAGCCAATTAACTTCCACGGAGCAGCCTCAAACGTCCAGGAGGGGGGACGGTGAGTGGGGTTCGGGAGCCTGACCACCACACACGGAGGAATGGAAGCGGACCTCCACCTCATACCATGCGCCAAGCCGACGGACTGTGGTGCGAAGCCTGGCAAACCAAGGGAGAAGAAACAGCCACCAAATAACACCAAATTAAGAGCTTCCTTCCCACAGAGCCACGCCAGCCCGGCAGCACCATGTGCCTGTGGCTCACACAGGATGCCACCACTGGTCATTCTGTCTGTGGCAGTGCGGCTGGGCGGGCAGGCGGCGGTCCCGCTGGCCTCCCTGTGGCCCTGGGGACACCCAAGTCCACACTGAAGCAGCACACGCCGACGGGCTCCTGAAAGGCTGCCGGTGCCCCAGCAGGCAGACTCGCCGTTTAACTTAGTCCGTCTCTCTCACGCTCGCATGCCCCGGGGCAGGCGGCTGCTCTCCGGACACAACGCCGCTCCAGTGTGGAGGCCGGTGCGCTCCTCCGTCTAGTTCTCGGAGCTCGCCTTTGTTTTGGGGACTCGGCAGCTTCACTGCAAACTGTCCCCTTGGGGTGCACAGAGGTTTGGGGTGAAAAGGTTCATCCCTCTCTTGCTAATGCTAAAATATTCTTAGCAGGGATCTCTTCGAGTGGCGGCTCTCCTCCATCACCTCGGTCCCGTAGTTCAGAAATCCACTCAAACACACGCAGACCTGCTCTGAGTGGACTCTCCGTCCTGGTTAACAGACAACCCTGGAAACGACGTCTCTCACTGTCCTCCTCGGCCAGCGGGAGGGTTTTCTCAGCCTGTGGTCACGGAGGAGGCTGAGCGACTGCGTGCAGCTCGGAGCCCCTGCACCCCGTGTACCCTCGGGGCCTGAGCTCGGAAGCCTCCGGCTCACAGACTCACGCTGCCCCTCGGACACACATGGCCCCTACTTGGGTCCCGCCCACCCAGTAGTAAGAGCGTCCACAGCCGCCCTCGTCTCCACCTGCACTGCCATCAAATGTCCTGTTAGGGCTTCGCAACCCCTTTTCCTGTTACACTTTCAGCCCTTTGTCCTACCTGATCCTTGTTTTTGCCCTTAAATTTTGGTGTTTTTCTTTACGGAAGAATTTAAACTTTCCACATTTAAATATATCTATGTTTTTTTTAATTCATGCTCAGAAATCATTTCCCCACTGACTAATGAATGTTTATATTTACTTGTGCTGTTTCTCGTTTTCTGTGAGAAACATTACACACTAGTCTCAGGAAAGTTCACTAACCTAATTTTCCTTCCTCGCTGAGTGAAATTTGTATGCTGTCTCTTTCATCCTTGACTCTATTCTACCGCTTCGTGGAAGCGAACCAACCGGAACGGCGTTATTTTACCACAAAGTGAGCGCAGCCCCTTAAAACGCCTGTTGTTGCAGTTAGCTGTCCTCTCTCTACTTCCTCAGAAGTTCAGTGACCAGGCCTCCGGCCGCCTGCAGCACCCACCAGAACCGCGTTACACTGACAAAACCCGGTGGGGGGAGAACAATATTAAGACCACTGGTTTTTCCATCCGGCACCATTTTTATTGCTCTCAGAACAATGTCACCTGCACTCCCCACACAGGCCCCCCGCGCTCCTTCCTGTGCGGGGAGACCCCGCGGGCACAGCCGCCAGTAGTGCTGCCTGTCCGTCCCCCACTCTCGCTACGGCCGGCACACGGAAACACTCTCAGTTCTCACACGATTAACTTTTATCTGACCACCGCAACTCACAGCGCCTCTTAACTGACTCCCACGGGTATTTTGCATGCATTACATTTTTAGAAAATAATATTTTAGCTGTATAAATACTCAGATTATTTCTAACTGTGTCGTCAAGTGGCACTGGGATTCAAGAACACTGCTGAGTAATGTTACCAGTGCCTTTCCCTGTCTCTCCTGTAACGGGAGTCACGTTCCTGGCCCACAGGAAATGCGGCCTGTCTGATTCACGACCCTCAAGCCACACACAGCCTTGTGTTGGCCACGTACGCACACTTTATACACACTTCTGGAATCGTCCGGCAATGAAAGAGTTAAGACATCTGAATTCAAATCTATTCCTGCCGTGTTCTTTCTGGTTTTCTAGCAGAGTTCGTTTTGAAGATTTTTTTATTTTATATTTCACACACAGAAATTCTTGACTTAATGACTTCATATAAGAGAGTATATTTTATTAAAATGTATAGCATTTTTGCTACAAATATGCCTTTTCCTTAAATTCTGTCAATGTGGTATTAATATATTTATATATTTTAGTCTGTTTTTATTTGTCTAATTGCCACTTTCATTTTTAATGCTGACTGTAATTTTAATTTTGTTTAGCATGTCATACAAAACTGCATATTTTTTAAGAAGCCACTGAGTATTTGACTTTTTAAGGAAAGATAAACCCCATAGTATTTACTGTAAAATACAAGCCTCCTCTGGTATCAGTCAGCTGTCTTTCCAAACAGCTCCCTCTCACTGCCCCTCCGGTGGTGGGGTGGTGGGCCCTGACCTGCAGAGTGCTGGTCTTCTGCTCTCAGATGCCCGGGGCGGGTGAGACTGACACCAGCCCGGAGCTGGGCCCCTCCTCCCCCCTCCGCCTCTCTCTGAAGGGCCCTCTGGTCCCACTCCCTCCTCCCAACCTCAGGCCCCTCCTCCTGAGGCCAAGGTCAGGACAGTGGTCAGGGGAGTTCAGAATGCTAAGCTCCTGGCAAGACGCATGTGAACGTGGTCACAGAAATCACAACTATGTCATTAGCACTTACTTTGGGGGTGAGGGACCCAGGCTGAGCACAGACAGGTGCCAGCAGCAGGGCAGCATGGGGGAGGGGGACATGACCACCCTGTGCTGCGTCCGGACAAAGCGCAGCAGTCCAGGATTTGAACCCCACGCGGCCACACTGAGAGAGGCTCTCGCCTGTCGCCTTGCAGTCTGCGGGCGCTGTCATGATGAGGGGCTCCTGGGGCCCTGAATGAGACCGCAGGGGGTCAGTTTGGAATCCGTTCTTCAGACCTGCCTTAGCGTCAAGTCTGAGCACACGCATTCACAAGCACTAGTGAACCAGTGGAGGAGAGGGTGCCGTTCCTCACAGCACGGCCTTCCAGAGAAGCGGCTGTGTCGTGGCGAAGGGGCGAACGACATGCTTCAGGCGGGAGAGAGCTCGGACGGGGGCCGCGAGGCCCATGCCAGCGCTCCCAGTGGTTAGATACCCGCTGACTCCTCGATGCTCATTTAATTCCTTGAATACCAATGTACAATTAACATTACAAATAATCAAGGTTTAAAATATAATTAATGCAAGTGTGATTTAGTTATAATTAAACTAATTACACAGACAGGAGCCTAATAAGGGACTTGCAGACCATCAGGAAAATGTAAATCCATTCGTGCTTTTGAGAACAGCTATTTGAATTTCATTTTCCAATTATTTTAGAAACGATAAAGTAAAATTATAAAGGAGACAGCCAGCCTCCCAGGGATGAGAAAATAAACCATATATTTTCATTTCCTTTTAAATTCTGATTATTTTGTCCTTTTGTACTTGTAAATAGAGACGTTCCAAAAAAAGTAAAAACCCACCCACCACCCAATCAACAAAAACACCCCTCCCACCCCGGGCTGCAGGCAAATCGGCAACGCGGCCCCGAGTGAGTCTGACTCGTTCAGCTCCGCCCTCTGCGGGACGCTAGGCAGAATCTACATGCTCTCTCGGTTCACAGCTCTTGAACGGAATTAGTTTCCAATGTTGCTATCTGCCCACTGACACAGGCCAAGCCAGGTGTGACCGTGGCCTCAGCTGGCAGACAGCAGCAGCTGGTGCCAGTACGAGCCAACGGGGTGGCACCGGGGCTCGGCCCACAGTGGGGAGGCACATGGCCAAGCTTCCGAGTCTCCGACCCTCCTCCCTGAAGTCGGGAGCAGGAACAGCCCTGACGTAAGAGGCACCTGCCTGTGACTGGCCAAGGGGACGTGCACACAAGACCTCATGGAGTCTCCATGCAAGCGCTCCTGTTCTCACCCCACCCAAGAGCACAGATTAGGGCCAGCAGGACACCGGGAAGCCAGGAAAGGGGGCCATAGGGAGCAGACAGGACCAGGACGCACAGGGAACTCTGTGACACACCGATCTCTATCCAAACGAGCCGGAAGGACACGACCCAGACAAGCAAACCCAGACTCGTCACCACTGAGGATGGCTGGAAATCAGTGCTCTCGAGAACCGGGTGAAGCAAAAGGCACAGAATAAGGGTTTATCTGATCTTGTTTATATGCACTATACCTCTGCGTAACCAAATCAGATACGCAGAACAACTCCTCATAAAGCCGCCCCGCCAGGAAATGAAAACTGGCCGCTGAGAGCTGGGACACCGCCACCCTTTGATCCCCCGTGACTGAGTGGGTTGGCTCGACTTCCGTCCCTGCCCCTCATCACCACGCACAGCTCACCCAGCAGAGTGAAGGCCAGGTGAGGGGCTCCTGGGGCAGAGGACCAAGCCCCCTCCCGCTCCACCCTGCAGAGGGTCCACCTGAGCCCCAGGGCTGCCAGACCCAGCAGGAACCTCGCACCTGCAGGCAGCCAGCCAAGTCCAGCTGCAGCTCCCACTCCACCTCCAAGGGCCCAGGACCAGCGGGGGGTTGCAACGCAGGGGAGCAGGCAGCGAGAGGGCACCCGAGGGGGGCACTTACCAGTCAACCACAGGGAGGGCTGTGTCTGGGGCCCGTGGGGTACGAAGCCGCAGAGAATCCTTAGGAGGAGGGGCGGGTCACACACAATACTGCGCTCATTTTTTAAAACTCGGCTGGGTGGGGGGGAGCTCACCCTGCAGGGCCGGTGTGACTGGAAGGGTCTCGGGGTGGCCTGATGTGGTTCCCTGCGCTGGTATTGTGTGAAAAAGCACGTGTGCTGTGTGAAAAGGCATCGAGATGTGCTTCTCCACATGTACCTTATTCTCCCACGAAAATCTGAAAGGGACTTTTAAAATATGAAGCCAGTATCGTTGACCAGATTCCTTGTGCCGTACAGTCCATCCCTGTGCGCACCTGAAACTAATACGGAAGGAAAGAAAAACAGTAGGCCCAGGAACACGAGACTTTGAGCATCCAGAAATCCTCTTACATGTAAATTTTTAAAGACTAAGTCAAATATATATGTCATTTAGAGAATATGACAGCGATGACGTCCCTTACTAAATTTTTAGGGTCCAGGTAAAGCTGTATATTTATAAATATACTTATACAGGAAGCATGTTTATAAATTTAAGCATTTGATAATGTATTCTTTTTCATTTTAAAAGTCATTCAAATCAAGAACTCAAAAATAAACAAGACTGGAAAAAGCATGGTAGAGAAGTTAATAAAAATGCCCAAATTTAATGAATTTGGAAACTGAAAGACTTGAATTGGTGAAGAAATTCAATCTTTCATTCCCTTTAAAGTAAAATAGTCAAAGTTGAGAAATTATAAAGATAATTTATAGAGAAACATCAGCAGCACAGTTGTATAGGAATAGAGCAAAAGTACAAATCTTATGCTCATCATAGTTATGACTCCAAAAAGAGTAGTAAAAACTTTTAACTGTCAAAATATAACAAAATAAAAATAAGGATAATTTAATAGTAAGGATTAGAAATGAGAGAGATCAACAACAAACTAATTTTTTATGAGTCATAAATCTAAAGTACTGCATGAAATTTAGCAAATAAGATTTAAATCCATGACAAAAATCAAGTTTGCTGTAGAAAGGTAAGAACAGATCAATAATAGAAATATTAGACTTAAGACATAAACATGTGAAAAGAAAAAGAATTACAACATAGGTCTCGAAGTGTGAATGCAAAATCGGTAAACGTACGGTTGTCCTCAAAGAATTCCTGGTGGAACTGCAGAAGGACGCACCCTGGAGACACCCCGCGCCCTGGGTGGGGTTCCCGGACCAGGGAGGTGGGCACACTGCCCTTCCACGGGGTCTCGGTAGTTTTGGGGAGAGCAAAGGGCAGTGGGGGCAGGGCCTCAGGAGGGAGATGGGGGGAGAGCATCTCATTACTGAGAAGAGCGCTGTGTCCTAGACAGCACATGAGGGCAGCTTAAAATACTTCTTAGAATTAGATTTATCTCAGTAAGTGAAAAATAAACAAGGCTTGCAAAAGAGAAGACAGTGTTAAAAATGTCAGTTCTTCACCAGCTACCCTATAAATGGGGCATAAAAATCAACTGAATCTCCAATAGTTACTGTGGACCCAATGCTTTTTCTGTCTCCAGAAAGGAGGGGCAGACTTTCCTCTGCTTCACTCATCTCTAGGTAACCAGTGCTGAGAATAGAAACCACCATCCCAATACCACCTCCACGTGTCAGGGACAGGGGCGGGACACGCAGGGGTCAAGGCCTCACACCACTGCCCGCTGGACTCTGCCCAGGGGGCGGTGGGGGCTCCGGCCCCTGCTTGGCAGTGGGGGCCAAAGCGCTCAGGTAGGGACGGACGGCGGCAGGGGGTGGGGGCGCCAGAGTCCAAGCCCCTCGTCATGAACTGCCCAGCACCCGCAGGGCCCTGCCGCCCTGACGGGGTCTGAAAGGAATGCCCTGAACTCCGCCTCTGGTGGACAGAAGGGGACACAGAACCAGTGAGAGCTGACACTCATGGATGAGCTTGCTCTGAGGTCAGTGAGCACGCTCCCAGGCCGCGAGAAAGTCCAATGAGAAGACAGTCGCAGAGGTCAGGAGAGGAGTCACCTCCTGACAAGGACGGAGTCACCTGGGTGTTCGATCTGAAATGGACGCACAAGGGCGCAGTGAAGAAGCCACGGGACGTGTCTCGGTGACACTTCCTCAGTGGTCCCGACACGTGGCCTTATCACCATGGTTATGAAAATAAGGAAGACACAGTCCCATCAAGATATAAACCTCTTCCAGCTGTAACATAAATTCGATGCGATTCCAACCAAAATTCCAGTGCTGGAGCATTTTTAGAGAGGTTGATAAAGTTACTCTCGAAGTACAAAGGTCCCAGAGTCACCCAAGCAATTCTGCAGAGGAAGACCCAGGGGACAGAAGCCAGGCCAACCCCCAGGGCGGGGCCCAGCCCCCCGAGAACTGGGGCGGGACAGAGGAAGTGCTCCCACTGGACGGCGCAGAGACACTGTGTCCAACAGGGGCACCAGGCTCAGCGGGTCCGCGCATCACCCCCACACACCGAAGCTGCAGGCTCAGTCCCGGTCAGGGCCCACTCAAGGGTCAGCAACACACGGGTGAGTGGGACAAGGAATCAGTGTGGTTTTTTCCCCTCCCTCTCATCAATCAATCAAGCAGAACACAGCATTAGGCAAATTGGAATTCTGGTTAGAAAAAAATAAAATTAAATTTATATTTCTATTATATCATTTATCCAAATATAAACTCCATATAAACACATGAATGTAAAAAGTCAGTTTTTGAAAAGAAAATATGGAAAATATCTTTATGACTTAGAAAGAGAATTTTAGATTTCAAAACCAAGAAGAACATAGGAAAAATGATAAATTGCCTTAATCAGAAGAACCTGTAGACGCAGAATCTTCCACAGCGAAGGTAAAATGAAGGTGCCAGCGGAAGGCAGTGTGCAGAGCGCCCAGAGGCCTGCGCGGGCTTCCCGGCTGAGAGCGCAAAGCACCCTCGCAGGATGCACGGCCAGCGGCCGGCCGGCCTGTGGGACGAAGGACAGTGAGCACTCCAGCCAGGGCCGAACGAAACTGCACCGCAAGTGGCCCCGAGAAAGCAGCCAAGTCCAGCAGGGGTTCGAAAGAGCGGATCAGCAAGACAGCGGGACCAAGTGCCCACCAGGCTCATCCACGCTGACGCTTGGGCAGCCACTCCCAAAGAGGGTCACAAAACACTCAGGTGGTGGTGCACACAGGCCGCCTTCATGTCCCCGTCTGGTGTTTAAATGCACGCGCCTCTCTGCCTGCCAGGCACCACACCCACACGTGAAGGTGACAGACACTAGACACACACGCAGACATGAATGCACGTTGAAATTAGGCAAGGAGGAGACCGTCTGTATTGACTAACTTCAGGATTACAGAAAATGTCGTCCTTGGTCCAGCACATCACAGAGACGACCAGGAGTTGTAGGTGCAAAGAACGGGCCAATTAGCAGGTTGTTCTGATCGTCCGAACAACTTTTGTCAGTTACTGTATCTGAACCTACTGGCAAACCTCTCCAGCAAAGTGCTTTCCAGTTGGTGTGGGCGGGACTCTGTGGCCCCCAGCAGAGGGACGATGAGCTCAGACAGTGCCAAGAACTTGGTGCCTATTTACGGCCTCTGGAGGATGGCAGCAAGCACATGGTTTTCCTGACGGGAGCCCAGCAGCAGACGTCAGACGCCTACTAGCAAGTCTCAGGAGTTTGCTGTAGCAGGAAAAGGGGTCTATGCTGGGCCCTCAGCTCCAGCGTTGAAAATGAGAATCGAGGACACAGACTGAGCTCTTGGGACCCTCCACACTGATGCCCATGAGGCCATGTGGCAGGGTGGCCAGAACACAGCCAGACACTGAGCCACAGCCACGGTGCTGAGCTCACCCACCCACACTCAGGAGGGTGCTCAGCTCAGGCACACTGGGAGGGGACAAGAACTCAGATGCCAGTGCTGCAGGGGCCTTGGAGGGCCCTGGGCTCCACCACAAACAAGCTCTGCGGGCAGAAAACAGTGGAAGGCGGCTCACCCGACAGGCGTCCTGATGACAGCGTGTCCTGCAGTCGGGGTGATGTCCCCACTCAGCATTTTGAAGGTGGTGGTCTTCCCGGCTCCGTTCACCCCCAGGAGCCCGAAGCACTGAGTGGAGGAAACAGGTTAGCGGTGAGATCAACCTGCACCAGGAACAGGCCCTGCTTTCAGCTCGCCCTGCCGGCGTTTGGTGAGATCTGCGGACTTGTAAACTCATTCTTTTTTTTTTTTTATTGATTATGCCATTACATTTGCTCTATTCCCCCCTCCATTCCCCTCCACCCTGCATACCCCTCCCCCACCATTTCCCCCTTTAGTTCATGAACACGTGTCTCAAATTCTTTAGATTCTGTATTTCCCCTACTATTCTTACCCTCCCCCTTATCTATTTTCTATCTACTGTCTATGCTACTTATTTTCTGTACCTTCTCCCCCCTTCTCCTCCTCCCACTCCCCTGTTGCTAACCCTCCATGAGATCTTCATTTCTATGGTTCCACTCCTGATCTAGCTGTCCTCTTAGTTTGCTTTGTTTTAGGTGTGGTTGTTACTAACTGTGAGTTTGCTGTCCTTTCACTGTTCATCTTTTTTATCTTCTTTTTCTTAGGTAAGTCCCTTTAACATTTCATATAATAAGGGCTTGGTGATGATGAACTCCTTGAATTTGGTCTTATCTGAGAAGCACTTTATCTGTCCTTCCATTCTAAATGAAAACTTTGCTGGGTAGAGCAATCTTGGTTGTAGGTCTTTGGTTTTCATGACTTGGAATACCTCTTTCCAGCCGCTTCTTGCCTATAAGGTCTCTTTTGAGAAATCAGCTGATAGTCTGATGGGAACTCCTTTGTAGGTGACTGTCCCCTTAGCTCTTGCTGCTTCTAGGATTCTCTCCTTCATTTTAATCTTGGCTAATGTAATGATGATGTGCCTTGGTGCGTTCCTTCTTGGGTCCAACTTCTTTGGGACTCTCTGAGCTTCCTGGATTTCCTGGAAGTCTATTTCCTTTGCCAGATTGGGAAAATTTTCCTTTATTATTTGTTCAAATAAGTTTTCCACTGGTGGCTGTGCCTTTCCCCCTTCTGGTACCCCTATAATTCGGATGTTGGAACGTTTAAAGATGTCCTGGAGGTTCCTAAGCTTCTCCTCATTTTTCTGAATTCTTATTTCTTCATTCTTTTCTGTTTGATCATTTTTTCTTCCTTGTGGTCCACTCCCTTGATTTGAGTCCCAATTTTCTTTCCATTACTATTGATTTCCTTTGTATTACCATTCATTTCAATTAGTTTAGCTTCTATATGTTTCTCTAATTTGTGACTAAAATCAACCAGTTTTGTAAAGATCCTGATCACCAGTGTTTTGAACTGTGCATCTGAAAGACTGGCTATTTCTTCATCGCTTAGATCTATCGGTTCTGGGGCTCTGAGTTGTCCTAGAGCCATTTTTGGTCTATTCATGCTGTTAAGTAAGCGGAGCGAAGCCTTAGTTGTTTACCAAGACGGGGCGACCCAGGTTGCTGGTTTGTGACGCTGTGTGTGGGGGTGTGGTCAGAGAGGGAGCAAAGGCGGCCCTCTCTGCTAGCCCAGCCCGTCCAGTCACACCACACGCCTCGGGCTTGTTTATCCGATCGGAATTGTGCTAGGCTGCTGCCCCGAGCAGGCTTCCCTTCTCACTGGTTTCTCCGCACACAGATGCGCGCGACCGACCGCAGACAGCCTGCCGCGCCTCTTCCCTGTGCGCTCCCGCAGCTAGCTCGCATCAGCGCCTTCGGCTGCTCACGCACCACCCGGGGATTTTTTCTTGCTAACCTGCTCTGCTACTGGTTTCGCTTCTCTTACCGGTTTAGCTGAGCATTTAGTTGTCCTCTGGACTCCGTATTGTCGATTTTCCGTGTGGCTTGGTTGTGATTGTTGTTAAAAATAGTTGTTCTTAGATTTGGTTGTGCACAGAGGCAAGGTAGTTCCTCCACCTACGTCTCCATCTTGGCTCAGACATTCTTACAAGGCAGCGCGTGGACTCCAGAACACGTCTGAAACTCTCATGGCCCAGGGGACGGGACCCAGTGCTAGTAGTGCCTGACACATGCACTCGCATGTGCAGGGCTCAGTGGGGGCACACTCCCGCCCCACCTGGGCCACCAACCAGCTCCTAACACACACCCCTGGTGACCGGGGATCTACGAGCTGTGCAGGACAGGCAATGCCGCCCTGGCTGGGCCGCCCAGATGGACGCACCCCCTGCGAGGGTCCCAGGCCTGCATCCCTGCCAGCTCAGACCCCAGCCTGGGGCTGACCCAGGGTCACGGGGCGGTGCCCGCTGCTCTGCACCCTGACATTCCTATGGGTCAGCACAGCTGGCCCAGCCCTGACCTGTGTTCCGTGTGGGAAATGCCCCCTGTCTTCTCCCCTAGACCCAGTCTCAGCCAGGCCCCAGCAGGCACCTGCGCACACTCCCAGCTGGAGGGCCTATGCGGAGGCTCAGCGGGGCTGGCTCCAGCCCTTCTCCTGCCAGGCGTCAGTGTCCTGGTGGCCGGCAGCCTGTCTGTGACTTCAGCTGCCCCCAGGCTCCCTGGGTCTCGGAAAACTGTGGAGGGTCTTCTGTCCCCAGTCAGTGGTCCCGGGATGATCTCATCCCTCTGGGTGACGGCAGCCACCTGGAACTCCCAGCTGCTGCAACAGCCACACTTTCCCCTAAACTGGGTCTCTGTCCCCTGACACCGAGGCCCACCGTGTCCCAGACCCGTCCTGTCCAGGTGGCTCTGCAGGCACTGCACGCCTGGGCCACCCACCCACCTGTCCATCCTTCAAGGCTCACGTCTGAGGCCCCCACCCCTCGCGGCTGCCCTCTCCGACCTGAGGCTCTGAAGCAGCACCACCTGCCTGAGGCCCCGTGGGACACTGGCCCCAGTCACTGGCCCCTGGGGAGACAGGGCCCCTGGGGGGACAGGGCCCCTCCCAGCCTTGTCTGTCTCTCCACGGGCCCGCAGCAGCTGTACAGCGATGCTCCTTCAGCGCCTGGAGAGCGGGACCCACTCCTCAGCATCACCCAGGCTCTACCCAGGACGCCCCGGAGGCACCTCCCTGGGAGGCTTGCCAAGGCCCCGGGCACCCTGCAGCTGGGCATCCCCCTGGGGCAGCAGTGACCTATGGCTGAAATGGCTCAACCACGTGGCTGCAGAGGGCGCAGGGCTGGCCTTGGGGCTGAGAAGTGAATAAGACACACAATAACTCACAGGAACACACTGGCCTATCTGCCCACCAGCCAGAGCAGTGTGCACACCTGCTCTGCCCAGTGGGGCCCCGGCCAGCCCACACCTGCGAGCACCCACCTCCAGGATGCCTGCACCCCACCCCTGCACAGGGTAGGAGCTGGCCAGGCAACTGCATGGACCACCCCAACCTGCTTGGGAGCAGCGGGAAACAGTGGGGACATGGGTGCTCCCTCCGGTCTGACAGCTGGAGGCAATTATTTCCCAAGCTGACAGCCCTTTACACAACTGAACACGAATCAGGAACGACTGATGCAGCTGCTGACGGTTCTGATTCCACCCTTCTCATGGGATTATGGCCACATCCGTGGAGAGAGCACCCAAGCGACGGCCTTGTGGGGTGTGTGCCCCCCCTTCCGGGGGGAGCCCATCACAAAAGGGCGTGCAGGCCCGAGTCAGCAGAGGTTTCCTAAGTCAATCGGAGTCACAGAACACACTCTCGGTAAATAGTGACCGCACAGCCCAAACAATAACTACATCTCCTCCATCACAGGACCCGTGTGAAGTCACAGAGCAGAGTCAGCCCCATCCAGCCGTCAGCCCAGGGTCCACGGGGGAAGGAGCCCACGTGCTGTGCCCCCGGGTTCTGCTGCTGTGAGCCGTGCAGAAGCCGCTGGAATTGGAAGGCTGAGGCAGCTGTGACTGCCGATGCCCCGAGGGGGACATGAGCGGGTGACAATGACAGCTACAGGGGCCTGCGGTGGAAAGTGAGGCATGGGGACACTCCCTCACCTCTCCCCGCCGCAGGCCCAGGCTCACGTCGTGCACGGCCGCGCGCTGCCCGGAGAGGCCCCGGTAGCTCTTGCTGAGGTTGTACAGCACCAGCAGGTCCCCACCGGTCCTGCCTTTCAACACCCGTGCCTGCTCCTTCTCCACGTCCACGTCCTCACATGATGTAACCGTGCCTTGGATGCTGGCAACGCGGCTCCTGGGAGGAGGGTCAGAGTCAGTTCACTCCCAGGAGGCGGGGCTGGAGGCCTCAGGACAGCGGGTGGGGTCAGAGGCAAAAGAGGGGCCAGGTCTGGAGACGATGCAGGCCAGCTCCACGGCCCCATCCTCCTCGCCATCCAGAGTCCCTGCCTCACCTTCAACTGTGGGAAAAACAAGACCACGCCAGACTCGTGCTCAGTGGAGAAGGGGCTCCCCACGCAAGTGTTATGAGGAATCGCAGTCTGAGCAATTCCAGCAAACGGGTCAGTTAGCAAGTGAGTCCACAGGCAGAAACACCCACACGTCACAACCTCGCACACGGCACAACCTCGCACATGCATGGGGCTGCGTGAAGTGCGGTGCAGCGGCACCTGGCCTGGCACTGGCACGCACGGCCCAGTCAGCATTGGTCGGATGGACTCAAACCGCATCTCCACTTCCAACTCTGCTCCTGGCGCTTTCCAACCCGGTGCATCCCGACACCGGTGTCCTCGCTACATGGGCACAGACCGCAGGGCAGCACTGTGCCAGCGTCAACACCCAGGCTCTGGACACCTCGTCACGCTGACTTAGGTCACTGGAGACGCTGGGTGAGGGGGCCATAGGGACTCTCTACTAGTCTGGCAACTTCTTGTGTCTTAACCTACTTTTAAATAGGCAGGAGAGCACGTGCCTCCTCCCCATCCCCTTCTCTGGCAGCCACCCATCCACGGGCCGAGCAGCCTCTGGGGGCCCTGAAGGCCCCGGGGGCCCAGTACCGCACAGCAAGCGAACGTGCTCTGAAGTCCCAGTGAGAACCTGCTCCCACTGGACCTTGCTGGGCAAGAATGAGGCCGAGGTGCAGGCCGCGTGGCCAAGGAGCAAGGACTTCATAGCACGTGAAGTCCTCCCTTGCTCACCGCAGAATGCTAGTGGGCAGCAAACGCTCGGACACCCTGGCAAAGCCACATGGAACCTACACATGATGTCAGGGATGTGTGGGCGTGCACCCACACAGGCACCCACGTGGGGGGCCACACTCCAGCCCTGCCTGGGCTCCTACGTGCCATGGGCAACTGACGCTGTCCCCCCAACCCTGACAAAGCGAAGATGCAGTGTGCACGGTGACAGGACTGTTGGAGGGCCCGTGGGCTTCGGCCCCGAATTCCTGCACCTCCCTGCTCCTGGGAGCGAGCCTGCCTCACCCCTGAGATGAGTCCTGCTGCCACCCGAATGCACTGGAGGCGCTGCTGCCGCATGCAGGACCCAGCGTGACCACAGCAGAAAAGCTCCCTGAGACTGTGAGACAACCACGTGCTCCCCCACAGGGCGGCCCTCAGTTGCCGACGCCAGCCTCCCTCCAGCCCACGACTCACGCCACCCCAGTGAGAGGGACCTAGCACCCGCTCCCAAGCTCTGCATGTGTCACCTCTCACACTTGTCTGCAGGCTACGGCCTGCAGGGGACGTCTCGCCCTCCAACGGAGGTGGCTGCAGACACACCTGGACCACTGCAGGAGGTCCCCATGCAGCAGCAGCCTCAGCAGCAGCAGGACGGAGCCCTGGCAGGCCAGCTGCACGAAGATCCAGCCCAGGAAGCTCATTGAGAAGGGGCTGGAGTAGGAGTCGACGCCAAGGTCGCGTGCCAGGTCGTACTTGATCTGGTTGTAGCAGAGCTCCACCAGCCCCTGGCCCAGGCAGAACTGCGGGAACAGCGTGAAGGCCCACCTGAGCACGTCGGAGATGTCCTGTAAGTTCTGAGCGGGGAAAGGAGAAAAGAAGTCAAACCAAGAGCCCATCACAGCATCCAGTTCTCCGTGCTGGCCCTGTGTTGGCCCCAGGTCCCAGGCCCTCCCAGATGGCCAGTGAGCCACAGGAATAGCCAGCTCCACAGTGCCAGGGCAGCTAGCTTCCCTAATGGAGACACACAAACAGCCGTCGCCAGCTGGGCCACAGCCCTCGGGAGGGCACCGGAGTCAGTCTCCCTTTCTTGGGGCTGGTAGCTCGGGTACCGGCTCACACGCACTCAGTTCCAGTAGGGAATGTAGCCAGGCCGGCTTGAGCTGGCCTCCTGTCCTGGTGCAGGCCTGGAGCCAGCAGAACTCACTGACCTGGGCCCTGGAGACGATGGCCAGCAGCTGTGGCATGGTGGTCATCAGCAGGGTGCAGAGGCCAAAGACGAAGTTCAATGAGACGTAGGAGATGAAGGCCACGTCCGCGCTGGGGAAGACCCTGGATACCAGGTACATCCACGGGAGGGTGGCATACCTGCAGAGTCCGGGGAGAGCACCTGTTCGTTTTCCAGTCATTTCTATGGCGGTGGAACGAGAGGCGAGCTTTCCCTGGCCTGGCCCAGCCTCCTCGCTCAGTGAGCGGTTCCCTGGGGCTGCAGAGGGCCCGACACCATGGAGCAGGTCCAAGCCCGGTGGCCTATGGGCCTGGACTTGCAGCTCTGCCAACCTGAGGAAGGCCACAGAGTCCCCCGCCGAGTCCTACAGGAAGGGGTTCGCCTGGGCCTCACCCTGGGCTCCACCTGCCGCCAGGAAAGCAGGAGTAATGCCTGTTTGTGGTGGTGAGCACTGAGCATGAAGCACATGGAAAGCTGGGCCTCAGTGCAAACCACAGGCTCAAGGACAGACTCGGGGACTCACTTCCGCTCCAGCACCTGCTCCATCAGGCAGCGCGCCCTGGGCCTTCACGCATTCCCTGACCCTCTTGTATGTCCAAGGTCACAGAGTTGCAGAGGGGCTGCGTCAATATTCCCAAAAACTGTTTGTCTGTCTCGTCCTCCCTCCCCACCCACCCACCACTGCATCAAGTCACCTAGTGATGATCAGTGCTTGGTTCACCTAAACTCTGTCCCCTAACTGTTTTGAATAAGCCTGGGTGACTGGCACTGCTGTGGTTTGTGTAAAATTCTTTTTATTTTTAACTTGTGGCTTAGACAAAAGCAGACAGCTTTGCTTTTAAAAAGCTTTAAATTATGACAAATTGGCACGTTAATTCTGTTCCTGCCACAAGCAAATCCCCCACATGACACGGTGTGTGCAGCACACAGGAGAAGCCAATTCAAGACATTGGCAGCGACCCTGACTAGTTCCAACAATGGAGAAGCATGTGGAACGGCTTCTCTGCTTTTGCACTTTTCTCTGAGACAAAAGGAGGTAAACGTCAGACAAAACATTTCTGAACTACAAACACTGTGAGAGGGAAGGGGTGCCAGACCCGGGGCCAGGAGAGAACCCCCACAACAGCCACTACAGAGCTCACTGGGGGACACACTCAGCCCCTGATCCACGTCTGAGTGACAAGGGCTGGGAGTGGTTTCCAAGGGCACGAGTCTGTCAGCCACCCTCGCCCATGCCCGGCCACCCTCCCCCACGAGGCAATGCAGCTCCCTGGCCCATCTCATTCACGCGGTGACTCTCACAGAAGCCAGGTAATTGCTGGAAAAGAGAGGAGAGCACGCAGCCCCCAGAAAGTTCAGAGCCACCCTGGGGTTCTCTGTCTCCGAAAACGCCCGCTAACCGAGCGGCCGCGCGGTTCCTCACGCACCCGAACAGCAGCAGCAGGAGGGCAGTGGCGGCCAGGTTCTGGCGGAAGGTGAAGGCTGGCAGCCCGAAGGCCAGGATGACAGTGACACACAGGCAGACGGACGCCGCATAGAGGAGCTGAGGGGGTGAGAAGGAGAGGGGTCCTGTGACCTCGGGGGCAGGGGCCGGCTTCTGGGTAAGTGTGCTTGTTCTGCACATGACAAGTTTTGTAGCAGGGGGCTCAGCCCTGGAATGTCACCCACACACCACACGTGTGCACACACCACACACTGCACATATGCACACACTGCACACTGTGTGTTGTGCACAGGCACAACACACAGTTTAACAGGCCACCCCTTGGGGTGCTGGGACAGCGCCCCCAGTCCTACCATGTCGTACAGGAAGTTGGTAAACCAGTAGGTTCCATGGCCCAGGCCACTGATGTGCTGCAGCCTCTTGGCTCCGGTCACCCGGTCCCTGACCACGGCGCTCCCCCTCGAGGCGGTCAGGATGGAGAAGCCCAGCGCAATGCAGAGGGCCACGCCACACTGGCGGACGCTCTCCAGGCTGCAGGCAAGCACAGTGGCTGTCAGCCAGGAGACAGGGCTGGGCCCCTTCCTGCTGGGAGACTGGCTGGCTGGGGGCGGGGACCACACCCTGAATTCCCTAGGCGACCTAGAAGGCATGGATTACTGGTCCCCATTTGCAGGGACCAGAGCCGAAGAGAGCAGAGTTGAGGGGCATTTTCGAGTCTGCCTGTCTTCACGTCTCCTCTCCATGGCTACGCCCAACCCCCAGTCACAGGGAAAGACTCCCAGGGTACATGTGCCGGGGCGTGGCCCTCGCCCAGGTTGGGTGCCCTGCCCCCGCCCCACAGCAGCCCCATCAGGGGCGAGGGGGGCAGGCATTAGCTGTAGCTCCACGCATCACCGGCCCATCACTGATGTCAAGGACCTCACACCCTCAGCGCGTTCTCCACATGGAGACGTAGCTGTGTGTCACGCCCACTAGTCCAACCTCGGCAGCACACCGCCTCCCTGAAAGTTGCCATCCCCGCACTCCGTGAACACGGCCAGCTGGCGCCGCTAACCCTGTGCGCCAGCGCCGATCAAGGTGACTGCAGAGGCAGCGCCAACCCCACCCCCCAGTAACCCAGAGACTTCGATCCACAGCGGGCTGCCCACCCCCTCTACCCTCTCCACCGCCCCCGCCGCCTTCAACTCACATCCTGTCCTCATTGAGCAGGGCCCCTCCGTATGGGTGACTGTAGAGCGTTATTCCTGTGGGAGACAAACGGAAAGTGGCCCGCACGCCCTCTCCCACGTGGTCAGCAGACAGCCCCCTGCCACGCCACGCAGCCCCTCTGCACCCAGGAGACTCTCCTGGTTGCTTTGCCCAGGAGCTGTGCTGGTGCCCAGGAGCAGGAAACCCCCAGAACCGGCGTGCACTGGCATGCATTGCCATGGCCCCATGCTGACACGGGACCACATTCGACCATCTGACCCTCAGATACACACCTGCGGCCTCGGGCAGTGATGTGCAGCCCACGTGCCGCAAGAGTTTGTGCAACATGCAACACACCACAGCTGAGTATTCAGTCAGGGGCACGGCCCACTCCTCCCTGAGACTGCCAAGTGATACAATGACAATAGTGGCCGTCCAGCACGGTGCCCAGTCTGCACCACAAACATAGGCATCATGTAGCAGAACAGCATCTCACTGGTCACTACTAACAACAGGCCAAGTCCCAGCAGTGAGTTCGTGGGACCAGAAACCCTTACCCAAATATAGGCATCTGAAGCTTTAAAAAGTCACTCTGGAGCTAGAAGGGTAGAGAATTACTACTATTGTTACTATCTTTGAAACCAATCGTAATCACAGGTACTTTGGTCAGACTGGCGAGAATGCCTTTGGCGTGTGCCATGAGACCAACAGGACAGGAGCCTGCAGGCCGGAGGGCAGAGGAAAGGTCGGAGGCGCGGGGGCCGCACAGCAGTGTGCAAAGGGGGCTCCCTGGCAGAGGCCAGGCCAGCGGGCAAAGGCCCCTGGCCCCCGAGCTGCGTCTGGATGACAGAAATGCAGGTGCAGAGACTGTAAGAGCATGTGAGCGTGCGTGCCTGAATGTGTGGAGGGCTGGTGCTCCGCTGGGACGGAGTTCAGCCACGTGCCAGTGGCATCCCACTTCCACAAGAAGGGGATGGGAGTCTGTCCCCCACCAGGCCCAGCCCCACGTCTCCCTCTGCTGGTCCTCCTGATCCGAGTGTGCCGGCCGCACAGAGACTGGGAGCGGGGAGCCTTCCTTGCGCAGCGGGTCACGCACTCATGCAGACTCTGTTCCCAATCTGGGGGAGGGGGCCAGATGCCACCAGACGTCAGCAATCTCACCAAGTGTTGGACAGCCAGGTGGCCCTATTCCTTCCCTGGACAGAGAAGTCACTCCACCAGCCCCGCCTCACCGCCCACATGTGCAGGGGGCTTCCCACCTGTGCAGAGGGCCACCTGGACGGACATGCCAGCCCTCCCTGCAGCCCCCCACCCTGGTGGGACACAGCCCAGTCCCAGGATGACACTCATGGACCGAGGCACGAACAAGGGTTTGGGGATCAGGACTGGAAGGGAGCAGGGGTCTTCCAGAAGGACCCAGTGCAGCGATACACGCAGACCCCATCCCAGTGCAGACCCAGAGTGGGGTGGGTGGGGGGCAGAGTTGTCACTGACCCCCCACAAAAGGCAGGGTGGTGTGTGTGCCCAGGAAACCCGGGAAGCTTTTGGCTTACAGACACTGGGTGAGCTGTGAATTTGAATGCCACATCTGGCTTTGGCTGCCTTAGATGCATTTAGAACCACAGCTATTCAGGAGGAGGAGTTTGGCAGGAGTAGGCATATTTCAAAATCAAGCAAACATTTCTATACATTGGTATTGAGATTTTGCATTTTGCCCAAGTGGGGTGGGACCTAGAAGCCCTTAAATGAGGGACACGTGTGCCTATTTTCTCAGAAATGGAAGTTACGAGAGCAAGAACAAAGACAGCCCAGGTGGCAGGGAGCCCTGTTCCCCTCAGCCCATATTTCCAAGGAGCTGGCGGAGAGGAGGCAGGTAGGAGGACTCACACCTGCACGGGGCGCACACTCTCCCTGCCTGCTGCCCACAGCCGCCTGCTCCTCAAAATAGTGAGACTCTAGACAGCAGGGCTCCTCCCACTATTCAGGGCTGTGGGCGCGATCCATCTCAGGGATCAGAAATTCTGCCCAGCAGCCCTCCTGGGGCAGAGCCCCAAACAGAGAAGGCGCACGCCCAGGGAGGGGCACAGGGGTCTCTGAAGCAGAGCGGAGACGGGGTGGCTTCTTTAGGCCGAACGTGGTGGGTGGTGGAGAGAGACTTTGGCCCTGGCTTTCTGGACCCCAGCTGACCCATCCTCTGCGTCCGTAGCTCTGATACCCTCGCTGGGAAAGCCGCACGACTGCAGGGCCAACGCCTGCCACTGGGCACTGTCTCCCTGGGGCTGTGCGTAGGCCGAACGTGCGTGGGTGGCGGCGGCAGTGTGTGGGGTGGGGGTGTCCCCGCCCTTCCAGCAAAGGCCAGGCAGTCGGCACCCACGAGAGCCCAGGGGCCACTGGCGTCTCTCCCTCGTGTCCCTCCGAAGGTCTTCAGAAACGCTTCACAGTGTACCCTTGAAAACACTGACATTATTTTTCGTTGTCTGGTTATTCTCATCACTTGTATTCTGGCTGTTCTTTCTGGGAACTGGCCGGCAGCAACGTGGCAATGGGTAAGGTCGGCTCCGCGGTGACAAGTCTCGTCCCCGCTGCACCTCCCGCGGTCCCCAGATGCCGTGCACGTGTCCTCTGTGAGGCAGCGCGTCCAGGCTTTGGCCCCACATCCCTCGTGATGGCAGGTCCCCGTCTCTTCCGGGTGCGCTCCTCCCATGAAGCTGCAGCCCTACAAGTCTCCGCGGGGCCGTGGGGGCCATGGGGGCCCCGCGAGGACGTGCAAACCCACCTTTGTCTGACACGCACACGTTCGCCGCACGCCCCCTGTGAACAAGGACTTCCGCACACACAAGCCCTCTGCAGGGTGCGCACCTTCTCGCCACCGAACAGGGCCGAGGACGGGCCGTGACATAGAGCACCGACTGCTGCCCGGGCCGGGAGCACTTCCCTCGCCCAGCCACCCGCTGCGAACCGGCCGTGGCACTCACCTTCCTGGTGCCCAAGGGCAGCCCGCACCTATCGGACACCCTCGGTGCAGGATGCTCGCTGGCTCCCGTGTGACCCGAGAGCCACCAGGGGGCAGGCAAACTCTCAGGCCGCCCACTCCCTTCACCACACAGACAAGCCACCATTCGGGGCAGACACAGACCCAGACCCGCTGCCCAAGGCGCAGGTGCAGCCAGTGACCGACCGGCCAATCTTCACGTTCCTACCCCGGGATCTTCCCGCCGCCCTCCTCGAGAACACGAGAACGCGGTCTCTGAAAGCAGGGGCCTCACCATAGTGTCTCCAGTCCTGGGCGGGGGGCAGGAGCCCCCACAGGAGCAGGTTGTTGAGATGGTTCAGGTAGGAGGGCAGGGCATGGAAGCCCTTCTGGTTGTACCACACCTGAAAAGAGAGGGGCCAGGCTGAGCCCACCCGCCCACTCCTCACAGACGTGGGGGCCCAGGGCAGCCGCACCTGAGGCCGGCCCCGCCCTGGGCCAACACTCCTGCGGGACTGACAGCAGTCAACCCAGTCTGCTGACTTCCTGTTTATCACAAGCGTATAATTTACAGCTAAAAATAGACCAATGTTCCCAGAACAAATATGGATGTTCTCTACAATTACACTCTCACAGTGAGCAGGAATCTAAACCCATCATTGTTTTCTCTCTTGGTTGGTAAATAATGAAATTTGACCTGCACATTAAAAGTGGGGAAAGTGATAAAAGAGAGAGAGATTACTTTCAAATTAATAACTGAGTGTGGAACATCACTTCTCAAAATAAACAGAACTGAACGCGGGCTGAGCGTGGGGGAACGAGTCCCGGGCCCGCCAGAGAGGAGAGCGGTGACGGAGGAGACAGGACGCAGGCAAGGTGCTCCAAGGCGGGACAGTAAAGCTGCGTGAGGAGGACCAGTTGAACCATCAGCATCGCATTTCAAAATAATACAATTTTAAGGAGAATTTTTAAAAACATTCTCAGCGTGGAAGGCTGTTGAGTGTCTTGAAGATGTTAATGAATCAACTGCAAATTCTGGTCGTAATTCCATTGACAGACGCTGGGCCCTCGGCCGGCACATCCAAAACAGAGCAGCCCCGGCAGGCTCTGCAGAGGTCGCCACCGTGTACGTGGCGTTCGGGCCGGACCCCAGAACCCACTGCTCCACCCGTGAGGGGCAGCCAGCCCGGAGCCCAGCCCTGCTCAGGCAGGACTCCAGTGAGCAGTGCCCACGGCACATTTCCAAACCCCTCTGCCCCCACGGCCAGGCATGGGGATGACGGAAGTTCTGAGGACAGCAGAGACGAGGGCCACAGGTTCTCGGGAGGGACAGACGCCCCCAGGGAGCAGGCCAACCCCACAGAGCTGCCGGCTGAAGGAGCGCATGTTGGTGGTGGAATAAGGGTCCTGTGGCTGCCTGCTGGCCAGCGTGAACTTGGCAAAGGGTGACCGACTGGTCCGTGAAGTTTCAAGGAACAGAGTCAGAAACGTTCTTGAACTTCTTCACATCAGCGCTTCTGTGAACTGGCCTTTACTTAGGAGGAATTTTACAGATTCTCCAGGTAGGTACTATAGTGTTTATGATGATCTTCGAATTAGCATTTGAGATTTAGCCGAGTTCAAAGGAAGGGGTTTTCTCTCTTTTTCCTTTTTCTCAGAACCGCTTGTCGGAAGCCGTGGACAGCACTGTGGAGGTCTGCGGTGAAATTCCTCCCCGCGCACCTGTGCACAGAGTGACACCCCAGCACCGCCCTCCCTGTCGGGGACCCCCAGTGACACTGTCTCAGACAGCAACTAAGCAGCTGTAAGGAAAATCCCTCGGTGGGTGTTTAAATGCATGAAACTCCCTGTGAACAGAATGTCTGCCGTAAGCCAGGAGGGAGAGAGCAAGGCCCTTTTATCAAAAATGGATACAACCCAGCCAGCACTTTGATTAAATAAGATAAACACTCAGGATGTGAGTGAAACAATGCAGAGAGGTTCCGTGGACAACCTTCTACAATACAATGAATTTAATTCATGCTAAGCCTATTCCTCTGAAAACTTTCTATTTTATCTTTTGAAAGACGATGAAGTGGTATAGCATCTTGTGATGAACCCTAAAGGCCAAGTACAAGTCCGGTCAGCGGCGAGGGGCAGGGGAGTGCCACCGTGTGCCGCTCCAGTTCCCGAGCATCCCTGTGCCAGGCAAAGTACGTGCTAGACAGCCCCAGAGACCGGAAATGGGTGCCGGAGTCAGTGTGACCAAAGTGACCTCACAGGGATCGGGTCACACATGCCAATCGGCCAGGTCGTCCTGGGCGGTCACGCCCCAGGCACATAGCTTCTTCACTAAAAGGCGTGCGGGCGCCTTACAGCAGCCCCGTTGGTCTCTCTGGCGTCTAGGCTGGCGGCCCCTTGAAAGGCCTCTTTTCCTGAGGCCTGGGAGGAGTAGTCGCCCCAGGAGAGCACATGACCTATTAACCTAGGGTCCATCCCCCTCGCTTCCTCCCACCTCCTCCCGATCGTCCTTCCGTCCCTCTTCCCTGCCGAATGTACACAGGAATCTGCAAAACGCTGTCCTCTGGAGCATCAAGCTCTTTGAGATCTTGTTTTCCCAGCATGTGGTCAGTTTGGTGCAAACAAGCTCATAAAAATTCTGTGCAGATTAGAAAAGAACCCTCCGAAGCTTTGGACGGTCTTAGATCAGCAACGTCACGACTGTGGGAGCCCCTGTGAAACCGTCGACACAGGAGACCGATGGGCACACAGAGGAAAGGGGGGGGAGGGCACGTGGGCCTGGCACAGCCTGCAGCAGAGAGAGAGGGGCCGCCCTGCCACCACCCAGTGCCAGCGAAGATACAGTAAACAGGGAGAGTGGGGTGAGTGCAGGTGAAAAGGCTTCCACACTCTTGGAGGAAATGAACGACTTCTGCAAACTAGGCAGGCTCTAAACGCAGCCACAGCCTAGGTCCAAACACCGGCCGAGGCATGCAAGCCACTCTGAGTCTCAACGTCTCATACAAAGCTGTGACCCTCCTCCCCTCCTGCCTACTGAGGAGGGGCTCTGAGGGTCACACAGCAACGTGAACATTCCCTCGGGGACCCTCCCCCCGGGGCGCAGTGTGGACACTGAGGTTCTCGTCGGGGATGGCACTTCGAAATGCCCCTGCAGAGCCTACATTCGCTGATCGAGCCACCAGCACTCGAGCCCTCATCTGACCAGCTCTCCAGGCTCTGGGAGGGATGGAAGCCCCCCCACAAAGCAGGGGTGGGTGTCCTTCCTTGGGGCTCACGTGTGAATTGTGACAAGTGGCCACACCTCTGCCACGACCTGCCCTTCCCCGACTTCTTCCTCAGCTGGGACACCACCGGGGCGCTTCCCATGCTGAACTGCAGTGTAGACTCTGCCACCATCCCCACCTGAAGGCCGTGTGAATGCAGCGCTCCTGGGGCCTGCTGGGGGACAGGGACCTCCTCCTCCACCCCGGTCCACATGCCCTCTCCACACACCAGCTGAGGGGTGCCCCTGGCTCTGCCCCACCCCACCCTGGGGCTCGGCTTCCCCGTGTGCCCTCAGGGCCCAGCAACCTCCCAGAGGAGCCGTCAGGCCCAAAGGAGAAGAGCTCTGCTCCCAGGGACCCTGGGACCTTCAGAGTGGCCCTGGCTGGGGATGTCCCTGAAAACCACCTTCTCCCTCGCTTCAGGCCCATCAGGTGGAGTCAGATCCTAACAGCAACAGGGGCTGTCTGCCACACAGTCCAGAGGAAAGCTGTTCTGTCTTCAAGGGCATGTGCACATGTAGCTCTCTCTGCCCCAGGAACAAGCCCCAGGATGGCATTCGGCCCCCTGTGCCCAGGGTGTGTCTGGGTGCCGGGTCTCCCTACAGGCCACCTGCACCAGGAGCAGGGAAAGGAAATGGGAGACTCTTACCTTGGCCAGGCTTCTCGGTGTGGCGGCCGCCGAACGGGCCTCTGGACCGGCACCTGGGGCTTGCACGCCAAAGGACCAGCCCCCGAGCCTAGGAACAGCAGCCACGGGTTAGCACTCTGCTCCGGAGGGGGGCGCATGCAAGGGGACAGCATTTCTGCTGCCCTGAGGCCCTGGGCAGTTGGGGCCCTGTCACCCCTCCCCCGGGGCGTTCCCTGAGCCCTGCCATCGGACTAGACCCTCCCTGGCCTAAGACATGGCGTCTGCCACAAGAGGCTTTCCAAGACACTGTGGCTCGGCACCCACCGGGGCTGGTTGCTGGGCAGCAGCAGGAGCTCCTCCAGGTGGGAGGCTGAGAGGTTCAGCAGCGTGTGGCCCAGGCGGCTGGTCAGGGAGGGAGCACTGGCGCTGGCGTTTGGGCAGGTCTGTCACGGTGCCCAAGGAGGTAAAAGAGAAACTTGGCTGGGCCCACCCACAAGCAGGTTTCCTGACACCGTCCTTACCTGAGGGTGACTTTCCTGGGCGTTCGGTTTTTACTAAACCTCCTTCGGCCTCTTATACACAGTGTGTTTCCCTGTGTATAATGCACTTTTTGCTTACATTCTTTGAGAGGAAAACAAGGAGGCCCATTATACATGGGTAATAATAATTCTGCATCTACATAAAATGTTTTAAATTCTTTTATGCGTATGTGTTAGATGCATAACTCTAGAAAGCAATGATATCTGTATGTTCAAAAATAAACGCTAAAATTTCTCTACAATACAAAAACCAAGTATCTCAATAAAACAAATAACTGAATTAAAAAATGAAAATAACTTCTCCCTGAAAGTTTGGGTCAGACGTGGGTGCGCATTGTACGCAGCCGCACACAGCACATCCTGACGTCTCACGTGGCCTTGGGCCCCGCCTACCTCTGGGAGTTGCCCAGGACCCCACCGGGACCTCGGTGGACACTCACACTGGGGACGTCAGGTGCCTGGCTGTCTGCACGCGTGGGCAGAGCCGGAAGGACTCAGAGGGAAACCCTCTCCACGAGGTGGTCCTGCGTTGGACACCGAGCAGCGTGGGTGGGGCCGACTGAGTGGGAAGCTGGGAAGCGCAGGGGCCCCCGGGGAGTGCGTGCTGCCCCGCATGCCCCCTGGAGAAACTAAATGGCTCCCCCTGAGACTTGCTCGCTCGGGCGCCAGCCGGGCTCCGACTGTGGATTAACCGCCCAGGAGCAGGTGAGGCCGGCGCCCAGCACTGCCTGGGCCACAACCCCGGGCTGCCCTGTCAGGACCGGGGCTTGGTGCCCTCCCCACTCTTGGAAGGTGCGGGGAAGGCGATACACCGGGGACAGTCCCATCTGTGGGCTGTGGCACTTCTCCCCGTTCAGTCGGTCGGGGTGACCCTGCGAGCTGCTGCTGGGGAGAATGGGCCTGCAGTCCTGACTGATGCCTTCGGAGTCTCCTTGGATGTGCATTGCAGTCAGTCTCATAGACAGATTTCAGCAGGCGCCCCACACAGGCAGGCAGCCAAGCGGCCCTGAGTGACAGGGACACGGCCTCACCTGTGCCCACTAGGGGTCTGCCACTGTCAGAGAGCTAAGTGGCATCTCAGCACTCACGCTGCAGCTCTGGGGACTAAAGTGGGCCGTCATGTGACAAGAGCCTTTTCAGCCCGGAGATGCTTGGAAGTTTCCCTCCAAGGGCAAGGTTAGGGGAAGGGTGGGGGCAGGGTGGGGGCAGGGGGCTGTGAGCCCGCAGACCGCCTGCACCGTCTCAGGGCGCACTCTAGGAGTGGAACTCCTCCAGGCCGCGTCCCACCACGTGAACTGAACCACGCGGCGCCAACCACAGTGCACTGTCACGAGTGAAGTCAGCATCGCTGCCCCTCGAGTTTTAGCCTTTAAAAATAATCGGGCCACTGCAGAAACCTACCAGGCAGCCACAGGAAGCCTGGGCATCTGGGCGGAACAGCGGGTCCGAGCGCCAACAGGAAGGGTTCTTCCTGCAGAGAGAACACAGGAACAGAGATGGCTCAGGCGACAAAGCTGCCGTGGGCAGGTCCAGCAGGAGAGCACTGGACGGCACCCCGCCTGCCGCAGCGCCCGGCTCTCACGTGTGCTTTTCCGGCTGGGCTGCCAACCTGACGGCAGTGTTCCCGACAAGACAAGAGTCCCCACTGGGGTCGATGGTGCTCTGCTGTGGGGAAGGGAGGGCCAGGCCTCCAGGGACCTCGCTGAGAGTCCTGAGGCAGCTGGTCCCAAACCCAAGTACCTTCAGCAGCGACCCAGCAGTGAGTGAGCGAGGTGACTGCTCGCTCCCTCTCCCGATGTGGCACCAGGATCATCACCATTCAACAGAAAAGCAGAGAGTCAGTTCCTGTGCCAAGAAAGGCAGTGCCATGGAAAGTGTCGTAAGACCACGGAAAGTGTCCTGAAGATGGCCTGCAGGTGCAGCTCGGACCTCTTCATTCCACAGCTCCCCTGGAGCTCTCCTCCTTGCAGACCCCACACTTCCGATTCTTTAAATCAAAAGTTGTTCGAGTGAGGACAATTATTCCTATGCACTCAAAAGTCAGGAAAGAAGAGAGAAACTCACTTTTGCTACACTACAGGCTCTCGAGTCCCTCAGTGGGGCAGTGAGTGGCGGCCCAGCCCGGTCACCACAGGCTGCAGAAGGCAGGCCTCAGCTCCAGCCTGGCTCTTTGCTCTGGGCTGTCCTGCTTCAGCACGGGACACAGAAGGGACAAACGTCCAGTCCAGTGAAAAGAAACTTGGCGTTTCCATGACCCTGGTCAGCAAAGTGCGGTTTCCATTTAATCTTGAAACCAGAAATAATGTGAAGACGCCCTCCTCTTGGACAGGTACCTCATGGGGATTCCAGCTAGAGACTTGGAAGTTAACATGGACACCCTCGGGATGTAAAAAGACTGCTGCGTCTGGTCACTGCTGTCTAAAGTGACTTCTTCCCTGTTCCACCCGGCGCACTGCCCCTGCTTCCTCCACGCCCCAGACGGGACTACCAGCCAGCGCGTAGGACAGTGAAGTTCTGCAGGAAACTGAGTCCCCCCTGCCTCCTCCACACGGCCCTGTTCTCCTGCCCTGCTCCCTTTGAATGTGGAAGCTGCGCCCTCGGAGCCGTGCCGTGAGCAGAGCAGTGCCCGGCGGATTCCGAGTCAGGAGCACCTCCCCACAAGGCTCAGGAAAGGCTGCACACTGCACCCCGGCTACGCAGCGAGCAGGAGGGAGGGCGGGAGACGGGTTCAGGCAGCCGGTTCCCACGACGCCTGATGTGCACACAGCCCTGGGGTCTGGATCCTCAGCCCCACCCCCAGGACTCTGTCACCAATGGTGCCCTGACCTCGTGCGAGGTGGCATCTCACCAAGGAGGCCCTCCTACGTCTGTGGCCGGCTCATGGAGACAAGCCCAGTGCCTCCTCACCTGGCTTTTGATGTTCAGGAGGAATATTTGATTAGCTCACTGCCACTTTCGATTTGCATATAAATAATGAGCAGGAATGGGTGGGAAAGTGCCCATTTTGCCTCTGACACAGTAGAGAAATCGGCTCTGGAGTGTCACCAGGCCATCAGCCTTGTCAAAGGAAACTAAATGCTTACACCTGCCCACTGTTTCTGAAAGTTAGCAACGCTGGCACATTTAAATTTTGAATTACTCCTCCAGGAAGATTCAATTTGAGGTCAGATTGGTACCATGACAGATTTCGGAGCACTTGACTGCCTTCGGAGGAGAGAGGCATGAGACTTGGAAACCCCACGCATCCCCCAGAAGTGACAGAAGGACTGCCAGTGAGTGGGGCGCAGGTGTCACTTCAAAGGCCCCCCCAGGAGCTGTGGAGTGGTTGTTGCTAGAGCCAGTGACACCCCACTCTCCGAGGAGGAGATGACCTCGTCCGCAGTACAGACTGCTGCTCGGCCTGTACCCTCAGCGACTCGAGCGCAGCTGGGGCCGCCTGGACACCAACACTGTTAGTGGAAGTGCTCACACCCCTCATGTGAGGCAGCCCACAGCCCAGCCTGTTGTGCTCTAGGCCACGGAGAGGGGAGAAGCCATTACAAAACGGGGTTGCGTTAGGACAGACTGGCTGCATGGACTTCAGGAAGTGAAGGGAGAAACCCGAACATGGGCCGGCAGTGGGGGGTACAGGAGAAAGGCCCAGGGCGGTCTGCAGGTGGGGATGAGGGGGGAGGGGCGTTTGGGGACCCCCGTCCGTGCTTGTAAAGAGCCTGGACCTTAAGTGGCTGTTGTGTAAGGAGAACTTCAGGTGTGCTCTGCACTTATTCTCCTTCTTCTCTTCCTGGGAGAGCGGACGGCGAACTGCCTTTTTCTGCCAGCGGCAGGTCTCTGTGGCCCAGCTGCGCCAGGACCACAACCTCGGGGTCTGGACCACCTTTCCGTTTCCCACCGTCAATGCGTCTTCATCCCGCTCGCTTCAGTCAAATCGAGAGAAAAGCATCACCAGAGAAGCTCTTACGTAGCCCAAGAAATCACTCTGCTTTTCCAGAGAGCACTAGAGGGGAACGGCGCGGTCGATTTTGTACGGGCTCCTCCTCCCGAGACCGTCAGCAGCGGGTCAGCGCAGGGCCGGCGTGTCCTCCTCACTGGCCTCGTTCGAGACACCCCCACAGTGGGCGAGCCTGAGGCCAGGCCCCCCTGTATCGGCCCCGCCCCCAAACAGACCTGCAGTGCACGGGACCCCCGCAAAGCATGGCCGAGCAGAGCAGGAGGGAAAGTCTGTGAAGGAAGACCTGCTTTACCAAGTTTTCATTAAAAAGTTCATCTCTATACGGCCATTTTCATGCCAGGAAAAAAACATTCAAAGTAATTCACTCCCAAACTGAACTTACTGACTGAAGTCCCTTTAGTTAAAAAAAAAAAATTACAGCTAATTTTTCACATGCTCAAGCTTTCCCTAAAAGTAAACAATAGTTAATATATGTTTCATGTCTAACTGTAACCAGAGTTTAGCTCTGGTTTTTATTAAAGAAACTGAATGCTATCAATTACTGACCGACGTTTGGCAATAGCATAGACCCTGTTATGTACCGAGGACCGGAGGGGACCCCCACACAGCTGACTTCTAGCCACTTCTGGTGGCCACGTCCCAAGGGCCTGCTCAGCACTAGCCCACCCCCACGCGGAGGGTCCCTGCTCAGAGTGTGAATGAGCACCCCACGCAGGAACCGCGGCGCCCGAGCCCGAGCAGCAGCACTTACGGGTCTGGGTCTCCGCTGGCGCAGAGCAGCCCCTCGTCCCCGAACGTCCGCAGCAGCACCTGGGTCAGCTCCGTGTCGTCACTCCCGCTGCTGCTGTCAGGAGACAAAGGACACGCCGTGGAGCTGGGAGGAAGGCCCCGGAGATCACGTCCCGCGCTCACGCGCTGCATGGACCTGCGCTGCTCCCCACGGACCTGCGCTGCGTTCCCATCCCCTCACTTAGTGCTGGGACACTGCCGTCTTCGGGGCTTTCGCGCGCTTTTGAAAGTGAATTTCGGAGGCTGCACAACATTGCATCGTGTCACCACATTGAAATCCATATCTGTTACCGTTGGCACTCCAGTGGGCCTTCCGGTGTTCTGTGACGTCACAGCCCCGAGGTAAAAGAGCCTCTCCTGTCCTTGCCTTTGTCCCTGCGTGTGAGCCACCCAGAACCGCATTTCCCGTCCGGAAGGCCTCAGCAGGGCCCCGGTGGGTGGCAGCACATGCTTCACTGGAGCAGGCCTCCCCGATCGGCGGGGCAGCGCGGCTGAGAGCCAGGCCACCCGCGCCGCCCGTGGGGCACACCCCTTCCGGTCCCAGGAGGCTGGAAAGGAACGACGACGGGACATCTCACCCACCAGCTGTTTTCACTCGAGAAAACGTGGAGGAAATGATTTTTCTAACCCTCCGTAGAACTGGAGGCCATGGGAAGGAGGGCTCATTTTAACTAATTGAAATTCTGCTGCTCAGGGTTTATGGAAGACCATAGGTTTACCACTTTCTAGAACTTCCATCATGTCTGGTACAGAATGCTTCTGAGGCGCCATCCTGGGGATCACTGACCCCCAAAACAAGGAAGAGTGAGGCCTTATCAGTACGGCAGGTCATGTGCATGTGAACAGTGGCCTCGAATTTTCGAGAAAGAAGTGCAACGTTAACAAATGCACACAAATGGCTCTCCTTACAGAATCCACAGCACTGGCTTCCCCTGGGGGCGTAAGCAACCTCAGCGCACTCTTCAACCACGGGTTTCCCTGGAGGGTCTCTCTGCTCACGGCGGTGGGAATCGGACAGCTCCCACACCACTTTCTGGGTTGCCACTGGCACTCGGCTGCAGGGTCAGGAGGTGAGGGTCGCTGAACCGGCACATCCGGGGAGCGACAGCGAAGCCTGTGAAGGAGACACACCTCCCACGTGTGTGAGAGCGGCCCCTGCACGGTGGGGGTCTGCAGCGGTTCCTCACTTTCCTCCCCCTCTGTAGGCCTCTGACGCGCCAGTCACGCATTTTTATGCTCAGCCAGGGTCACCTGCTCCCTGCCACCAGCCCAGGAGCCTTGAAGCAGCAGGTGAACCCCTCCACACTCTCAGGCCTCACCATCTTTGGACAAACTCCCCCAACATTCTCCCCCAGGGAGCCACTCTGGGCCCAGCCCAGCGCAGCCCAGCCCGGCCCAGCGGAAGTGCCTTCTGATCGGAAGGACCCGCCTTGAGGTGCTGCCCCTCTGCAGGGCACCCGCTCCTGCTCCTGGGCTGGAAACTACCCCGGCCCTTGGGCACCGACGGCCCCGTCTCGGTGAGCCCCTCCCCCACCTCACACCCCACCCCCACTCCTCCTCTTCTCTCATCTTTCTGCCCTGGGACTTGGATGACCTCCCCGCTGGGTTTCAACTGCGGGTTTCTCTCCAGTCTCATCACCGGAACAATCCCTGCACCAAGGGCAGCAGAAGGAGGGAAACACGCTCTCAAAAACACTCTGCTGGACAAACTGGGAGATCACCAACAAGCTGAAGTGCAAGGCCCACTTCTTCATCTCTACCTCTTCCTTTGGCTTCCCTGAAATCGGCCTTCCCCGGCCCCCTACCTTTCTGGGGGGAGCAACTTTAATGGGAAAGAAAGGCGAACTCATCACACAGCATCAGCTTTGCATCTCTGCAGACTACGGCTTTGTCTTCCGTGGCGCCGAGCCCACCTGCACTGGCGCGCCCAAACCCAGAGAGGGTCCTTACGGAAGAACGCTGCCTTTCCCCCAGTAGGACACAGCAGAGGCTTTCAAAGGCCCAGCTGAGCATGAATGCGGGACCCCCCATTCAAACTGGAGGTGGGAGGCCTGACTCCAGTCGAGGGGGCCCTCAGCACCAGCCCTGGGCCTCAGTCACTCAGCCCACGGGGGACGTGCCCAGCATTCCAACAACCCCGACAGGAGGCGGGGGATTCTCCCCTTGCCCGGCAGCAAGCCCCGCCAGTGGGAACCATGGCCGCTCAGCCAGTGGGAAGCCACCACTGCCCCAGCTCTGCTTCGGGCCCTGCACCCCAGCACCCTCCCCACTCCCTCCCTCTCTGTCTCCTTTGTTCCCTGGACTCGCCGACACGTTATGCTATGTATCCCGAGTGACAATTCTCTGCTATTCCCAAGTAAATCCGTTTTTGCTGATAAAATAGCTGGGTTTTTTATTGCTCAGTTCAACATGGTTTATAACTGGCCTAATAGGACTCCCTACAGCCACGGCCAGAAACACTTGACGATGAAAAATGCCGACGTCTCGCAACAAAGCTGTGTCCCGTGAGTGGGCAGCGCGACCTACACACGCACAGCAGAGAAAACACTCCCACGGTGACAGGGACACAGGCCCACTGGAAGGCTGCCTGTGGAGGAGCGCGTCACTCGTGACGTCTGCGGAGACTCGCTGGGCTGCCCTCCTCTCGCCCATCAGCCCAAGAACAAATACAAAAGCTTGAAACACTTTTTCTGAAGGAAAAAATTATTGACCCATAAAGCAGTGTACTTGGAATAAATACTAAGAGCAAGGTTTAAAGTTATGATTTACTTCTTACTATTTGCTTTTTTACTTAGGTCCAAAGGTCACTGTTTTTAAAAAACTGGCTTTAAGCTGTCCTTGTTGCTGTAAAACTCGAGCTCCGGTCCCTCCACTGCTGCTCCAGGCCGCCCTCAACCCCCGGCCGGTGTTCGCAGCGCCCTGCCGAGCACACAGGCCCTGGGGCGCAGCGTCGGCGCCTCCTGCGCCTCCTGAGGCAGCTCCCAAATGGGGCCGTGCGCTCCCTCCAAGTCAGCACCCCCCCATGGGATATGCACCAAAACGACCAGCAGCTCCACTGGGCAAATGCACGTCCCTGAACACCATCCCAAAGGGTTTCTGTGCTGCTCACTGGCTCCCCTCCAGCCCCTCAAGCAACCTTGGGGACCTGGGGCTTTGGAGGGGGAGAGAGTAACCTGCCTGCCCTCCCCCCAGGTTCCCAGTCTGGGTGCTGAAGAGCAGCGGGCTCCGAGGAGGTCTCCGGCCCTGTGGGAGTTTCTCCCTGCGGAGTCAGTCGGGGCCGTCTTCCCCAGGGTGCAGACAACATGTGAATGCAGTTTGAAGGCGAGATGCAGAGCGTGCACGCTGAGCGCCAGGAAGGACCCATCCTCTGAAGGACGGCACTCAGAGACCCCTCCCTGCAGGCCCTGCCTCGCCCAAGGAGACTAGAGGAAGCTGCGCTGTGGGGTGGGGGTGGGCCCTTCCCACACCGGAGCTGGGAGGAGCGGAGGAGGGGCTGAGGCCGGGGTTCCAAGTGCTGGAGACTGCAGTAGCCCCTAGAGGAGGGCCACTGGGGACACACACATGCCCAGGTCAGGCTATCACGAGCCCTCTCTTGTTGTCGAACCCAGGCCCCTTGGAGCATGAGGCATGAGGGGGAATAAAGCCACTGGCCAAAGACGACAGTGCAGTGCCTTCAGCACACAGCGTGGAGAAGCACACGTCCCTGACCCAGGCAGGAACGTTTCAGCCCTGGTACCCTCACAGTGAACAGCCTGGTTGACAAGCCCCTGCAGTGGGGAACCAGGCCGTGACGAGTCCTGGCCAAGGTCTTGAGAAGAACCTCTGAGGGCGAGAAGGGGACACACGCAGGCCCAGCCTGTACCAGGCGCTCCTCGGTGACTTGTGCTGAACTCTACCTGGAGGCTGCCACCCAACCAAAAGGCAGGACATGAGGGGTCAGGGCCCACCCCTCCCCCAGGACCCCACTCCCATGTTAGAGGAACGAGACCCCAGCAGCGTGAGGACGTCCTGTACAGATTTGTCTGGTGGCAGGGACTCACACTGGTCTGAGCTCTAGCTGCAAAGCCAGGCCTGGTCTGGCCCAGAGTGCACAGGGACCCAGCCCCACGGGGAGAAATCAGTCAGACATCTTTCTGCAGGGCCGTGCAGGTGCAGGCTGTGGTCCCAGGGCAACCTCGGGGGCTCTGTGACATACACCATCTACCTGCTTCTCTAAAGCCCTGAGAGTCCTGGAACAGATCCAGTTCCCTCGGTCCCTGCTCTGGTCGCCGGCTGGTGGGGGGCTGACCCATGGCCCCTCAGCCAGTGTGACCACGTCCTCCCTCACAGAGGGACCAGGTAGCCCTGGGGAGGGGCGTGCAGGCCAGGCTGGCTGAGTTGGCCCTGAACATGTACATGGTGGAGCTTGTGCTCCCCAGGGCCCCGGCGGACACAGCTGTGCAGGTGAAGAAAACACGCATGTGTGGAAATTCTTAAAAGCATCCGAGCTGGTGTTGCCCATCCTCCAGTTGACACAATTTTGAAGAGAAAGGAAAGGTCCCTCCCCGAAGAGGTCTCTTACCTGAAAAAGTATGTTTCAGCTTTTTCGTAATGGCCAGGGCTCAGTTTGAGGGGCGGGTAGTCGACAGCCAGAGGCCGCACCATGAACAAGCCCATGGCCAAGGCCACGAAGAGCACAGGCAGCAGCAGGTCCGAGAGTGTGACACTCCAGGCCCGGCGCGCATGGCACAGCCGCTGGGTCAGCAGCGCGGCCGCCTGGGCGAGGGTGCTGGCAGGGGCACCGTCTGCAGGGCGAGAAGGCCAAGCCTGAGTCACTCAGGACCCCAGTCCAGTGGCCCCTCCATCCACGGTCAGTGACCCAGGAGTGGCTCCGAGCCCAGAAACACTCTGTACAGAGGGGGGCACCCTGAAAAGCCCTACATGACAGGACACATTGGGAGGCCAGTGGCAAGAACAGACTTCCACGGTGGCCTGTGTCTGGCTTCTGAGGGGAGACGGCAGACAGTCCAGGACTCAGGGCAGGGTTGTGTGTTCCCTTCTACAGTTGACACGAGTCTGCTCCATCCACACAAAGTCCACCGCAGACACAGGAGCAAGGCGACCCTGGCAGACCTCCCGCCCTGGCAGCCCACCCTCTGCTTCCTCCGTCTCAGCCCAGCTCCGTCCCGAGGTGTCCACCAGGTCACATCCCTGAGAGGCCAGGGCCTGCCCCAGCCCCTACCTGGCCCCAGACACCCAGGTGAGGCTGGAGGGCCTGCACCTGGAGCTCCTCCCGTGCTCCCAGCAAACCCGGACGTAACCCCTGGGGAACAGAGGGCCACAGGGTCAAACCGGGGCCCGTGTCAGCTGCACAGGCCATCTCGCTGGCCCCTCTCCCTGACTGGTGGAGCAGCCCAGGCCCCAGAGAGGGCACTAAATCAGCACGTGGAGACTGCAGTGTGGAGAGGTGCGGGACGCAGCCAGACTTGATCACATGCACGTGCTGCACCTCCCACGCAGACGCGCACCCTCGCAGTCACTTCACGGGTGAGAATGCTGGGTGGCACTGGGTGGCACTGGGTGGCGCTGGCTCCTGGCCTTTCATCGGCACATCCGCCAGGATGACCAAGTGCACCCTCTGACTCGGACAAAACAACTGGGGTGGCCTGGGCCTCCACCCACTGGATTTCTGAATGACCCCTGAGATAATTTCTTGGTTTCCTCACACGCCGTTGGCTACAGAGCTTGCCGGCTCTCTAGCAGAGAAGTGTCTCCCTGTTCAGGCTGCGAGGAATGGAAGGGCCAGCAGTAGGTCAGTGGCTTGGGGTCCCCATGCTGCTGGTCACCTCTACCAGAAGTCACACCCACGAGTGAGCCTTTGAGAAGCATTTTTTGACACACCTCACTGCCCCCGCGGCCCCCACCTGCCGGACGCTGCACCTGCCCAGGTGTGGGCAGCAGGTGGCACAGAGAGGAAAGACGACAGACACCCAGAGCTGGGGTCACTCAGCAAATGCACCTGGTGCAGCAGTGTGGGAGCCTGGTGGGAGGGTGTCCGCCACACGCCCAACCTGGCCCGCAGGCCGGTCGTGGGCCAGAGAATGCTTCTGCTCTCAGTCCCCACAGACCAGGACTGGGACTGGGACTGGGACTGGTCCGCAGCCGCCAGTGCGCTGTGTGGCTCTGGAATGGCGCCGGCCCTCTCTGACCCACATCTGCCTCCAGTGTACGTGAGGACTTAGAATACCCACCTCTCGGCGATGGGGGTCGTTACTGCCGCACGGAGTGAGCCGCCAGACCAGGCCCGGCGCCGCCCTGTAGCTGCAGTGAGCGCTTGTTGGGGGAGCTCAGCAAGTCTGCAGGGGAGGCTCTGCTCGTGGGGAGAAAAATGAGGCTTCCCCACCTTCCCACACGGGTTAATTGGACACGAATGAGAAAAACAAAGGGCTGGGAGAGTTCATGGCCATGAATCAACACCAATCAAATATTCATGGCTAAACTCATAAAAGTATTCACATGAATAATTTAACAGACACACAATTAAAATGCTGAACCAAATTGTTATGAATTGTCTTATTTGACTTATGAGTGCAATTACACTCAGGGATTCTGGTTACAGCCATAATTAGGCGTCTCCGTGTGCCCTGACCACCAAATTGCCCAGGGAAAATGGCAGAGATTTTTGTGTTTGGTTGGGCGGCTCCCATTGTTCAAACCTCAGTGAGAAATGACTCAGCGCCAAGTGAGAGATGACTTAAAATATCGAGGGTCCAGTGTGTGTCCCAGCACACGAGCTCCACGTCACCAAGCACCTTCAAAACAAAGAGTAGCCCGAGCGAAAGACAAGCCAACAATGTGCACGAATGTGCACCTGACAACCAGTCCACAACACAGCCAACACACGGTGGTTCAGCAGTAAAGCAACAGTAACACTCAGCTCACCGACGCAGCAAAGATCGAAGACGGCGCTAATGCTTGATGCTGCCAAGTGTTAGAACACCCGGCCCTCCTTACACAGGCCTGGGGCGGGGGGGAGGGCAGGCCACACAGCGTTTCTGCAGGAAACCCACATGTGCCGTCGATAGGCAAGTCCCAGCCTGGCACCAGTGCCGCCAGAGAAGGAAGAGACCCATTAGGAACGTCGAACGAGACAGGGTGTCCCTGTCCCATCTCACAGGACACAGCAGCAGGAGGCAGCAAACAGCTGGAACATTGGACCAGAGATGGACTGAACGAGTTACCACCACCCTGTAGGGAACTGCATGAATCCACCGTGGGAACCGTGCAGTGAAATGCACGCTGACGTGGAGAACGTTTACCCCGTGTCACAGGTGGTACAGCAATCCCAGAGGGACCAGGACGTTGTCTTTTTAAGGAGACATCTGTGTGGACCAGCAGCTGTCGGAGAGGAAGGGGGCTGGACAAAGCTGGGGGGCGACCGGCCAAAGCACACACCGGAATGACCAAGGCCACGGACAGCGGCCTGGGGACGGCCTGCGGAGGCTGGGTGGAGGCAGGCAGAGGGGAAACACAGGAGTGACTGTCACGGCACAGACAGTGACACATAGTGACAAAGAGAAAGAAGTGTTCACACGACTGGATAAACTGAGTGGGGGAGGGAACACCACGTTTCAGCGGAACAGAAACTCAAGGGCTGACAGGTGAGTGCGTGAGTGTGAAACACACTTACACCAGACGAGCAGAGTGTGCCCCAGAGCAGCACACATACAATCAATGTAACTCACTAAATGCACTGAGGTTAAACTAGGAAAACTCACATTTTGGTGTGTGTCTTTCAGGGAGAAGTCATCTTCTATAAAATAATTTCTGTACTCTCTACTACTTGACCAGGTGAGGAAGACCCACGGGCCAGGCAGTTGAGGGAGGGTCGGGCAGGACGGGATAAGGGGCGGAGCACAGCGGCTGTTTAGAGGGATGCGCCCGCCCTGCTCGACACCCCAGTGTGGGATGCATGCCATGCACCTGGAGGCGTCCAGCACCCCGCGCTGACTCCCAGGTGCGCTGTGGACTCCGGGAGGCACTAACAGCCATGCACGCTTATTGACAGTGACTGCTGACCCCGCCTGGGTCTGGAGGTTGGCAGTGGACGAGGTCGTGTGGGGTGGGGGGGCACTTGGTCTGTGGAGATTCCCTGTATGCTCTTCTCAATTGTGCCATGAGCCTAAAAGTACTTGAAAAAAATAAAGTCTATTTTTAAAAGTAAGAAAAGGAGTTGAACAGATATTTCTGCAAAGAAGACGTAAGAAGGTGCACAGATGGACATCGAACCCCTAAGAAGATGGTCCATGTCACTACTTTGAGGAAAGCGTCAACCGAAGCCACAGTGCCACCCATCCTGACATGCAAGGACACGGCTGCGACCACAGAGACAGAAGCGCAGCGAGCGCTGGCAAGAACGGTGGTGGCGGGAGCGGGGACACGCGTGTGCTGCTATCAGGAGGGTGAGCCCTGGAAGGGGCTGATGACCCTCCAGGAAGCGACTCGCGCTGATGGGTCTGGCAATTCCATCCTCGTGTCAACAGGAAAGCATCATCTGCAACACTCGTGAGAGGACGGCAAGCCAGGCGCCCACGAACAAATGAGTAAACAAACAGCGTGCAACACACGTGCAACAGAATACGGTCCAGTCTGAGAAAGTGGGGCTCCGACACCCACCACAGCACAGACTAGCCCGGATGTCACTGTGCTGATTCGATGAGCCAGTCCCGAAGGACAAGCATGCTCTGGCTCCCCGCGTACGTGGCACCGGGGACAGCCCGCTGCACAGAGACGGGAAGCTGAAGGGCGGTGGTCAGGGTCGGAGGGAGGGGGCGGGGGCGGGGCTTGCACCGAGGAAGCTGAGCAAGTCCCAGCGAGGGTGAGCAGGGCTGACTGCCAACCCCCAAATGACGCGAACCTGAGCCCACCTTGGGGCTGCATGCTGAAAACGGCGAAGTGGGCGTTATGTGTACTTCGCCATGACAACTACGTGCAGACATATAAACAGATCCACCAATTAATGCCCTCTTCGCTGTTCTCTCCTGACATAAAGTCTGAGGTGAAAGAAAACACGAAGGATGGGTCCCAGAGACCTGGTCTGGCAAACCAGGGGCGCCAGAAAGCTGCGCAGGGTGGCCCCCTCCACCGCCCCTGCAGAAACCACAAATAGCGGGGGGGCTCCAGCAAAAAGAGGGGGCTTTGTCCAATGGAGGGAACCTCTGGAAGCCAAGGAGGGCCCACAAGGTTCTCGCAAGAATTATTTCATCAGATACAATGTCAACATGGCTAAAGGGGGCAGGGAAAATACAGAAATGAAAGAAGATTCTTAAAAGTGTGCAACTGCCTTTTCCATCAGGAAAATACCAAAATTGTGGTCACTTATGCACCTTATGGAGCCCCAAGACAACAGGAAGAAAATCCAGAATGAAAGACAGGGAAAGACAAATAAACAATAAATGTCGGAAACAGGGACACTCAGGCACTGCTAATGGATACAGCAATCCTCCCGACCACCAGGACGGACACAGCCGACGCTGACAGAGCGCGGCACCCCCCCAGCCACGGGCAGCCCCCCGCCCCCACGGTGCAGGGCCGTCTCTAGGAGAGACCTAGCGTGGGCCACGGAATGCGCCGAGACACGCTGAAGAGGGATGAAAATCACACCAAGTTGTTAATCTTGAGTGTGTTAATCTGGAGTGAGTTTGCCCCAGCAAAACAAGGCGAACCCACGAATGCATGGAGACAATGCATAGAGCACACTAAATAACCAGGGGTCCAGAGAGGAAATGGAAAGGGCGGTTCGGAGCCGCAGCAGGGTGAGTAACAGCAGGCACGTAAGGCGTGAGCGCGCGGGGGGGAAGCACCCCAGCAGGGCACAGGGAGAGGTTCAGAGGTTCACACCGCAGACGGTTCTGCTGCGACAGGGCGACCATCTGAATAGTGAGAACTTGTACCTGAAGACACCGAGAGGAAAACAGCCACCTAAATCTAAAACCTGCAGCAAGAACGAAGGGATAAAAATTAGAGCTCAAGTGAGTGAAGAAGAAAAGAGAAAAACAATCCAGAAAATCAATGAACCTGAGAGCCGATTCTGAAAAGATTAACAAATCGGTAGCTCTTATGTAGATTAGCCAAGAAAAAAAGACAAGACACAAATGATCAGAATCAGAAACTTAAAAGCGATGGTTACTAGAAACACAGGTAAATAAGAGAAATTATAAGAAAATGTTATTGATGTATAACAACTGTGTGCCAATAAACTAGACAACTCACGTGAAGTGAGAAAATTTGCTAGAAAGACACAAAACACCAAAACTGGTTCAAGAACAAACAGACCATCTGAATTGTTCAATTGTTCAGCAAAATAATGACCCAAGAAGCACATTCCCACCCACGTGGCTTCATGGTGAACTCCACCAGCACCCAAAGGGCTAACACAGACTCTCTACAAACATTTCCGAAAGATACAAGAGGGAAGAGGCCCACTTAGTTCCGTAAGGTAAGTGTCCTTGCGACAGCAATACCAGACAAAGACAGCCTGAAAAAAGCGGGCTGCAGACAGTACTTGTTACAAATACAGACTCCACAATCCTCAAAAAAAAAAAAAAAAAAATGCTAGCCAGTGGAACCCAGGAACATGCACCACGACCAAGGGGAATGCATCCCAGTCCGTCAGTGCAGTGCTGTTCTGACCAGCAAAAACCGAACAACGGGACAGGTCGCGTCAGTGAACAAAGGACAAATGACTGTCTCACTAGACGTGGGAAAGCCACTGGCGAACCTCAGCGCCCTTTCATGACAGAACACTCGTTACAAGGAATAGACAGAAATTTCCTTCACCTCATAAAAGAATCTACAAAAAACCCACGGAGAACATCACACTTTATACAATTTCAAAATAAAAAACTTACAACTCCAGAGTACCATTTCCCCAATTTTAATAATGGGCAAAAGATTAGCACAGACAGTTCTCTGGGAGACATGTACACAGCCACTGAACCCATGAGAAAATGCCCAGCATCGTAAGCCATCAGGGAATCGCAGACCAAACAACGGGCGGGTCCCACCCCACAGCCACTCCAGGTCTGTGGTCCAAACCCCAGACCACCTCGCACTGGGGAGCAGCCACTGCAGAAAGGGTCTGGCGACGGCTCCAACAGCCCCACCTGCAGTCCGGCCCCCACCCCTGAAACACCCGCCACAAGGACCCCTGTGCACAGACAGCTCACACGCCGTGCTCACAGCGGCCTCTTCGCGCCCAAACCCAGAAGCAAGCTGAGCACCACTGACGGACGACCAGACAGGTGCAGTGGATGCGTGTGACAGACCGTGCTCAGCAGTCGGGAGCAAAAACCACCGCCCCCGCTGCCCCACGACCACCAGTGGCCCTGGTGCGTGCCAGAGAGGCCAGATGTGGACCGCGCGACTCAGCTTACCCCACAGGCCCAGGGTGGGTGACAAAGCGCAACGGGCAGTAGCCTGCCAGATGGCCGGGACTGGGCTCACCGGGAGAGATGAGAGGGGACCACTGGGGGAGGCAGGGCTCCTCTGGGGGTCACACCAACACTCTGAATTGAGAGTGGTTGTGGCTGTGCACCCTGCTCAATCAAAGAACAGACGAACTGTGCGCTTCAGATGAGCAAGTTGTACGGGGCGTGACTCACACCTGTGAAGCCACTCAGAGGCGGCCGGCACAGTGGGCCACCGGGGAGCCAGACCCAGCCCACAGGGAGGAGCCCCCACCAGTGACAGCACCAGAAGTCAGCATCTCTAAACCTGGCGAGAGGGACCTGGGGAATCGAACTGCCCACAACACACAGGTGAGAACGCAGTGCGAGGAGCATCTGCTCTCAACAGCGGCGCATGTCTATTCACAGCTGCGTGTCCTGGTTTTGTGGAGCATTCCGCGGTGGGCCACCCCACACACCGCCATCGCCAGCTCAGGGCTCACGGGGAGTCGCTGCTCCCAAACACTGTACTGAGGGGTGTGTGGGGGCTGCACACCCAGAGGCCAGCCTGGCTTCCATTCGACCCGGACGCCTCCACACAGACGTCTGCACGTGAAACCTGGGCCGTGGTTTGGAGGTGAAGGGGCAGGAGCCCCGCGGGGGCAGGACTCCCAGGTGGAACCTTCCCCACGCCAGCCCGCTCCGGCCCAGCGCCCGTGCACCCCGGCGCCACGTGAGTGAAGCGCAGAGAACCGGGCAGCCGTCCTGGTCATTCTGACGTCACAGACTGAGAAACGGCCTGTGTGACAGGACACAGCGGTCTCATCCGCACACAGCCCTTTGGTTCAAGGCAGGGCGACACTAAGGGTGTCCGAACTGTCCCCCTGGCCCGCCCTGCCTTCGGCCTCTGTCCTGCTGGTGGCACGCGTCCCTCCCTCCGAAATGCAGCCTGCGCCCTGCACTCACCGTAGCAGCCAGGGTCTGGCTCCGGAGGCCCGAGGCTCTGCGACTTTGACTCTGCCCCTGCAGCAGCGTCAGCTTGCTTTCTGGAATCTTGCAAAAGTGCCAGAAACACCTTTTTGAGAACAAAAAACAGAGAGAGTTCCATAGTATGTTCCTTTCACGCTGCATTTTTTTTTTTTGGCCCTAATTACCCCAGTTAGGTCAATATGACAACATTTAGGAAATGCATGGTCTTTCACTTATGTATCCATGGAATTGGGGCGCTCAGGCTAGGGGGTGTGCGACTGCTCACAGGGTGTGAGCACGTGTGTACCGGACCGTGAACCTGAGCGCACAGGGCAGCATCACGAGTGAACACCCTCGCCGAGCACAGCTTCCTGTGGGCTGGTGCGCGTTCCCCGACTGGCCTCGGGGAGGAGAACAGCCTGACCTTGCTGCTCAGGTCTTTTATTCATTCGAGGCAGCGAGCTCAACGTGCCCAGAACAAAGCCCGCTGCTGCCCCCTGGCGTCCTCACGGCAGCAACAGCAGGGGGCAGGGCGGCGGCCACAAGCATCACGTGTTCCATTGTCCACCAGCCAGCGGTCCCCACGGGAGGGGACCTGCGGAGGCCCCAACACGCGACAGGCACTCTCCAAACGTGGTTATAAGGAAAGCAGTTAGAAACAACGAGAACGGTGCCAGTCGAGAACCATTCACGAGCAGAGTTTCCTTTGTGTCTTGTCCCCCAGTGAATTTCGCGTTCAATTCACGTTCACTGCACGTTCCAACGTAACTGAGAACATATATGGCATAGTTCCACAGCGAAGGCAGCATTCTTCATAACAACCTTCACCTCCCAAAATGTCTGCTTCTCTTCCTGTTCGTGACAGAGCTGAGCATACCTGTGTGTCTTCGTGTGAGTGTGGGGGAGACACAGAGTGCGGCGGAGGCTGTGCTCCCCACGGTCTCGGTCCCCACAGCGAGCACTTGGGTCCATGGTCAGGAGGCTCCAACCCCACCCTGCAGGTTGAAGGCGAGGCTCAGCCGGTCACGTGCTGTGGGCGCCACCTTGTGGCGGCTGACCCTCACTGAAGGCACGCGACCCAGAGGATGCGAGCAGTTGAGACAAAGTCCTCACCGATGAACAGGAAGGGCCAGGATAAACCCCTCCTTTGGCACCAGCACCTGCCTCAAGAGTTTGGCTTTTGTGGCGGCAGGCAGCTGAACCTCCGTTTCTGTTTGGTTACAGCCTGGCAGACACCATTTGACCACTAGGGACGGGACACCCAGGCAGAGACGGGGTGGAGACCCTGTCCCCACTTGTAACAGGCCGCTGGACGCCAGCCGGCGCTCCATGGCGAGGTCACAGCAGGGGTCACGCCGAGGCTGTGCACACCACCACCCCAAAACCCTCAGCGGCTACTCGGTCACATGCGTCCGGAACACAGGCCTTCCTGCAGGCTGACAGCCCTCAGCCCTCCTGAAGGACGGGACCAGGACACCCGAAGTAACTAGCAAAGTCAGCTCAGTTCCTTGTTCTCACACCCAGCTCTCCACACATGAAAACCGCCAGGCCTCGGCTCCCAGCCTGGACTTGATCTTCTTTCACCCAAGACCCACACTTGACCCCTGTGTGCAGGGTGGGGCATCCGAGCTCACACCCCCCGCTGCCACCAGGACCCTTCTGACAGAGATGCAAGGGAGCCCACGGAACAGTGAGCCGAGAAAGAGGCGGCCTGTCTCCCACGGCAGCCAGCCCGTCTGAACATTAAGAAGAAATCCAGAATTACTTAAAATGCACAACTCCGGTGATGACCGGAGGGGCAGGGCCTGTGGGGAACCGCTGCACCACCGCTCAGTGCGGCTGTGAACCCAGCGCAGCCTAAAAGGGTCTGGGAACATGCCAAAACCCACTCCGCCTGCACGCCATTGGCAGTCTGGCCCTGGCTTCAGACACAGTGTGCAAGCACCCCCACCCCCAGGAAGCCCGGCTCCCGGCGCCCTCTCCACTCGCAGCACCGCCCCAGGTCAGCACCCGTCCTTGCACCAGAGGAGAAAGCAAAAACCGTGTCAGAAAGACCCTGGTCATCACATTTCAACTTTGCTGGCTGGGGGTCCACTCAGGGACAACAGTTTACAAGAAGCGCAGTGCAGCTTCAAACAACATCGGCTTCCTCGGCAGGCCGCCGGGCCCTGCATCGGGCTGGCAAGCCCAGTGACGCGCAGGAAGAGCCGTGGTGGTGATTGCAGCCACGCTGACTGCGGTCGATACCAGGCAGGAGACAGGAAAGTCAATACTTGCCAAGTAGAAAGGACAAAATTGGTTGAGATAGTTATTTTATAGACTACACCACACAAAAGAAAGCTTTTTAAAGCACTTAATCTCTTTCCAATTTAAGATTTCTTGAACAGATCCAAATACACTGCGCTTTGTGTAGCTCAGATCCTTCGTTTGCAGTTGTCCTTCACAGGGTGACCTCTATCTATGTCAGCTCGTGTGCGTGCGGGAGAAAGGGACGTAGTGGAGAGCCACCAACAGGCATTTGTTTAGCACCTGTTCCGTGCAGAGCGTGTGCTGAGGCAGTGGGTGAAATCACCGCGAGACACTGGAGGAGCCCAGAAATGGTCCCTAGTAACCAGGCAGCTGCTGCCGTGGCTGGCCGAGAGGCTCCTGGGGGAGATTGAGGCTGGGACCCATGCCGGGGAGGCCGTCTGCCGAGGGGCCGGCTGCGTGCAAGAGCCACACTCTGCAAACAGCAGGAGCACGGGACCCCATGTCTTCCAAGCGGTGTGACTCCCTGACCCCACACACCTGTCAGCACCAAGAGGAGTGAGTTCTACCACGTGCAACTTCACAGATGAATGCTTTACAAAGAGCACAGGGGAAAGAGGAGATTACAAAATTTCCAAAAGGCATATGGATGGGGGGAGCATAAATAAAAATATTTTGGATAGCAATAATGAACACCAAGCAAAAAAAGACATATTTCAGGTGCGTAGTAGAAAGTTTCAGAAGTCACACCATGACGAAGCAACTCCCATGAGGTAGAAACACGGAGGGTCGAAGGTACAGAGCGGCCTCCCTGCTGATGCCCCACCGCGGGTGGGGAAGGGACAGCATGGCAGCACCAGTAGGCCTGCCCTGGCGTGACTGCCACTCTGTCGTCTGCACTCGGTCGGGTTGCCATGCCAGCCCCATGGGGACCCACGCCCTCTGTGTGGCGGCGAGGGCAGTGACACCTGGGCCGCTGAAGCAGCAGCACTGCTCTCGCCATCTCCTGGCCCCTCTGACAGGCCCAGGTGCCGACGACGGCTGGTTCTCAGCACCCCTGGCTGGGCACTGGCACCCTTTCTGGGAAACACAGCGAGTGGGGCGAGCGCTCCCCAGGCTCTGTACTGGGTTTGCAGCACTGGGCTTTGTTCTGAACCGCAGCGCTCTCCTGGGTTGCAGCAACATAAGGGAGACTCAGACCCGGTCCCACGGGATCCCCAGCCCCAGGGAGGACAGGCAACCCACCAACGCCGGCTGCCAACAGCAGTGGCACGCCCGGCTATTCCAGATTGTACGCCACTTTCTTGAACACGAAACTGCTGGTTTCCCTTAAGGAACCTCAGCCGCCTGCCAGGTGTGGTGAATTCTATTTGGTGAATGGCCTGACACCAGTTAGAAGCCAGAGATGAATGCAAACAAAGGAGTCTGCACCCCTCCCCACGTCTCACCCATGCCTCATCCCCGAGCACACGATGGCAAAGCACCAGTGACAAAGCTGCCTGAGCCTCGGTACCTCTTCCAGCGTGGGGTCCGAGAGCCCATAGCCAGTGAGGTGCAGGCAACGCTGGTTCTGCTCCAGGGCCTGGAAGAGCCCCTTGAGGCTGGCACGGTCGGCATCCTGGGGGATGGCATAGCTCAGCTCGCGCCCACAGCTGTCTCGGAGGTGCGCCTGCGGGACATAGCTCTGCACCAGGGACGTGGCCTGCGCGGTGTGCTTTGGGTCGTCCACCTCCGGAATGGAAGGCTATCAAAACAAAGCAAAAATCAGCAGTGGGTGTGAGTTCAGGCACCCCTGTCCCCAGCCCGACAGGAAGGCACCTCCCCAGGGTCACCTGTCTTGTGAGCGTCAGGCGCAGGCCAGGGTTGCAGGCCTGCGCCAGGCAGAGGGGGGGCCCGCAGCCCCGCAGCCGGCCCTGCTGCAGCAGGGCCACGCAGTCACTGAGCGCTTCCGCCTCGTCCAGGTGGTGGGTCGTGAAGACGATCGTCCGGCCTGTGTCCCAAGAAGGGGGCGTCAGCACCAGCATGATGAAGTCCTGGGGAACTGTCCACCTGTCCTTCAGCAGGCGCGCAGGAGGCGACGCAAACGTCACCATGAACTTCAGAGCACAGAGACCGGAGACCCAGTCCGGGGGCCCTGAGCTGCTCCACTCTGCAGCTGCCGTCGGGGCTGACGTGGCTTCTGCCAGCCCTCCCTGGTTCGGAACCCAGGGGGTGCCCCAACATGCACAGAGGGTGAAACCGAGGCCCTGGCTCACATCCTGAGTCCTCCACCCCCTCTCTGGGACCCAGGCCATGGAGCAGGTGCCACAGGGGGCGGCCCTGTGTCTCCTGACACTCGGGTGCCCACACCCACCTTCAGGAAACACTCTCAGGGTCACAGGAGGAGGGGTCTTCTCTGGGAGCAGCTATTGTGTAAGAAAATGGGACAGCACTGCGCTGTGTGGCAGCGGGAGACACCGCCTCAGGACCCACTCGTCACACGTGGTAGGGGCAGCAGGCGTGGGCACAGAGCACGCTCTGGGGGATGGCCGGGCGGGGCTGGCGGGGCGGGGCGGTCCCAGGGAGCCGCTTCCCCGGGCCTGACAGGAACCAGAGCCCACCCGGCAGGCCTTCTGTGACTTCCACCACCATGTCACATCTCACTGCCTCTGTCTGGGGAGGAGGCGGCTTGGACCCACTGCAGAAGGATGAGGCCAGGACGCTAGAGGGTATTTTCATGAAACTCGGGTCGTTTGCACAGAGTCTTGCAACAGGGGCTGCCGTGGTCCCCACTGGCCAGCTGACGGCGAGCCCAGGCCCTCAAACATGGAATCTCGTCTCAAACACAAATTTCCACGGGTGGAGCACATTTATAACTCCACTTGAGTTTGTGTTTTTTAACAGTGAGAAAGGTGGAACACCAGGCGCATCTAAAAAGAAAGCCTGTATGTGGCCCAGAGCAGGCGGTGGGGCCCAGGGACCATCCACCCCCCAGACGGTCCCAAAGACCGCGGCCGGCCTCTCCTGGGCAGGCCCTTCAGGACTCACACAGTGTCGGGCCCCCTCTAGCACGCGGGGCCATGTGCACTGTGACAGTGCTGCCCATGCTCCGGTGACACCTGCCCAGATGACAAGTCGCCAGAAAGGAGACACCCACTGGGGTAGCTATCCCTGAAGAACGTGGATGACGCTCTTGGGGTTCATCCAGGACAGCTTCCACCAGAGGTGAGGGACCGTGAGAGGATGCGGGTGCCCATGGGGCCTCGCGGCCCTGCACCCCCGCATGGGCCCGTGCCACGTGGCCCTCTGGTCGGTTTCCCAGCAGCACCTCCGCACAGCCCACGCCCTTTTGCAGAACCACCTGGGATGGGCAGGGTGTCTGTCCCCACCTGCAGGGGGAATGGAAGCCCAGAGGAACTGGTTTCCTGCCCTGACCTGTGTCCTCAGGGACATGGGCTCCGTTTCTCAGAGCAGGGAGGGCACAGTTCCCAGGACCGCCACACGCTGACTCTTGACAACATTCTTCCTCCTCGAGCCTCCTCTCTAACAGGCTTATTCTGGTGACCCTGCACCTCAGCCGTGCTGGGGCATTTCCAAGAGCGCCTCCAAGCCAGCGTCAGCACCAACCCACTCGGACAGCAGGGAAGAGCTCGTTCATAACAACAGGACCCGAGCACAGCTGCCCGTTGCCGGGCCTTCTGCCGGGTCTGGTTTCCTCCCTGCATCACCACTGTGCTGTGACTCGTGTGTGCCGCCCACCCCAAGGCTTGGTCTGGCAGTTCACAAATAAACAAGTGCAGTGGGCCTGCAGTGTTCAGTCTGCATGGGGATGCAGGCTCAGGTGCCCCGGAACCCACGTCTGCCTCTGTCACTGTGGTCTCCTTTCTCAGCCCGCTCAGTGTGGCCAGGGACCACTCAGCCCAGCCTGAGCCAGCATCGTCACCTCTGACACCGGTGGGCCCCGTGGCTGCATGCAGGAAGGCACAGGAAGCCCACGATTCCTCCTTCCTGCATCCTGGGCACGGACAGCTCTGCAGCCCGTTGGGGAAAGGGGTCAGGGTCTCTGGTGCAGGCTGGTCCTCGCCCTGTGCTCTCTGTGCTTGCCTGCCAGGCCTCACTTTTAGAGCCGGGTGCTCCCGTGCCCTCCACACCACTGCCGTCCACCTGGCTGAGGCCAGAGTCTCAGCCCGCGCTTCCGTCTGGCTGCAGGAGGCCACCTGGTCCCTCCACAGCAGCATCACAGTGGGCCCGGTTCCCCTTTCTGGGGCGGCTCTGCCCCGAGGAGCCCGAGGAGCCGTAGGCGCTGCTGACTCATCCCAGTGGGAGTGCCCACCCCAGGCCCCACCCAGAGAGGAGGAGACTCCACCCACTGGCTTGGACAGGCCTCCTTCTGTCTCCTCCTCCCACAACCCCCTAAAATCCAGGGACAGAAGTGGCCCTTTCCTGTCCCGTTTGTGTCATCCTTCTCCTTCCTGCCCCGGCTCATGTGCAGCTTCAAGTGACAGACAGGCAGCCTCCCCCCACCCCCCAGGAAAGAATCTGATGACTCAGTCCTCTGTGAGCTACCAGTGCGGCAGGGGGCTGCCTTCTGGTCCTCTCTCTTGAAAACCCTGATCACCCCAGCCAGCGCAGCTTCCGGTCAAGTGAGAAGAAGGTTTTGTACCCAAAAGGCAGGAGAGAACAGCAAACCGCCTTACACGGCTCTGCAGTGCCCCCTGGTGGAGCAGTATGGAGCTGCATGCCAGGCCCGACTTGTTTCCAAACCAGCGAGGCTGTATGAGACCCACAGTGGGCACCTCGTGGTCAGCTGCTGCGGCCTGAGGCCTGTCGGGAATACACGGCCGTGCAGTGAGCAGTGACAGCCCCCAGCCCCAGACCCCCTGGAGTGTGAAACCCCTGTGGCTGGCGCCCCCTCTGCGCCTCCGTCTCCCCACCCGAGGAAAGGAAGGCCTGCTCCAGGGTGGAGCTGGAACACCCCCTGTGACAGCCTGTGCTTCCACAGTGAATGACAGTGCGGATAGTCACTGTCAACTGGGTCACGTTCAACAAGCGTGGACACTGCCCCTGCTGGCAGCCTGGGGAGACGGGCCCAGAGCAGCATGTCCTCGCATTACAGAAGCCGCACCCAACACACACCCCGCCACAGCCCCCGGAGAAGCCCCCTTGCTGGGAAAGATTACTCGTCCGTTCACACTCGGCTTCCCCGACCCACCCCTGGCAGCAGGACACCGGGGGAGAGCCGTCCCCACCTTCTCGGTACTTGAGGAGGATGTCCCAGATGCTGCGTCGGGAGCAAGGGTCCACCCCGCTGGTGGGCTCGTCCAGAATCACGGTCCTCGACCCGCCGAGGACAGCGGCACCGATGGACAGCTTCCTCTTCATGCCCCCCGAGAGGGCGCGGGCCTGCTGGTGCTGGTGCTGCGCCAAGCCCACGTCCCGCAGAGTTCTGAAACGAGAGCAGACCCTCGCTCATCCCAGGCCCCCCAACCGCTCTGCCCGTCTTTACTGTGCCTTGTTCCTTTGCTCCTCTGAAGCCAAACTCCCGGGAGGAAGCGTTTCCACACCTCCTCCTCCCAGGTGCCTTGGGACCAGCCCCAAGGGCCTTCATCCCCAAGTGCCATAGTGAGCACCCCAACCATGGTCACCGAGACCCCGGAGCTCCCGTCACTGCTCAGCGCTCCCGAGTGACCCTCCACAGCATCTGCTTCCCCGGCTTCCTCCTCCACGGCCGCGGCTCCCACCTTCCCGCTGCCCTCTCCGCCTCACCCGCTGGCCTGGTCTGCTCAGCACTGCATCCTCTGCAGGAGGAGTGACCAGGGCTCAGTCTGGTGCCCTCTGCTCCTGTCCCCCTGCACAGCACCCGGCAACAGCTCCTCGCCACCAAACCAAGCAGCCGCCAGAACCCTGGTTCTGGCTTTGCCACATCACCTCCCACTGGCCTCGTCTCTCTGCAGGCCTGGTCGGGCCTATGCAGACTGCTCTCATCCTCTCCTGGCCCATGCAAGGCCAGTGCCAGCCTGGCTCTCGGCAGAGGCTCACCGTGAAGACTCCCCTGGGAGCCCATCTCCCTGAACTGACATTGCAACACAGCTGCACAGTAAAGAAGACAAAGGTGGTGCTGGGGCCCGACAAGGGGCATGGGCTCCACACCAGACGTGTGCCCCTCCCTCCCCGAACTGGGCACACCATCTTAGACGGCAGCTCCCTCCCACCACTGTGGTGTGAGCTGGCTCCGTTGCTAGGCAACAGGCAGTGAACTGCTAACTATGAAGGTTGCCTGCACCCAGATGGGACCCTGAAGCAATGTAGCATTGCCAGGGACCTGACTTTGCACCCAGTCACATGAACCTTGCTACCACCCAGAGTGCACATGGTTTTGATTGAATGGGGACTGCGACTGTATCTGTTGAACAGGTTGTCCCCAGCCGGTGTTAGGTGCCGCTTCTCACTGCGGCCACCAAGCAGTCAGCATCTGCCCGGTCACGGGCGCAGAAGGGGATGAGGTGGTGGGGGCTCTGGGGTCTGGGGGGACATGGGGCAACTCTGTGTAAGGAGGTGACAGATGGTGGTGGGAATGCAAAGCAGAGGGGACAGAGTAGCTGTGTGGAGGGCAGGGCCAGGTGGTGCAGCACCATTTGGGACGCTTCGATGCGCATCCAGGAATATGACCATGACACATGAAGTGTGACACCTTGAAGGCTCAGTCCCTGTCCTCGCCATGGGGCTGGTGGCACAGGCCCCAGGCTCCAGGCCACCCCCCCAACTGAGGATGAAGCACCCACCACCCACAGGCTTCCACCGCATCCGGGCACTGGGAAGGCCCGTCTGGACAACAAAGCTCATGAACAGGGTCCAGGAGACACAAAGTGGGGAGCGAGAGAGCCTGCGCCTCCACGTCCCCTCCCTCAGGTGTGTGCCACTCGCTGGTCCACACCGCTCCTCCTCCCAAGGGGCAGCCTGGCTGCGCCCCAAGCTGCCACGTCCCAGGACCAGGCCAAGGATACGCACTGCCTCGGGGCACAGAGCCACGCACAGAGAGCAGTGCAGGCACAGGACCCAGCCTCCCACCCTCCCACTGTCCGCCCCCCGGCCCATCCTCCCTGCTCATCTCCCAGAAACGCCACTTCGCTTTCTGACCGGCGACCTAGGTTTCTCCCTGGTCCTCCCACTCCAGGCTCATTCCTGTCCCCAGTGAGACGGGGACTCTAGCTGCCCCTCTCTGGCCCGCCCTGTCTGGCAGGCGGCTGCCGTGGTCAGCTCCGCCTCTCCCCCATATCACGCCTGCTCCTCCCCCTGCATGTTACTCCCCCGCAGGGGTGTTTGGTCCTTCGGGACATCCTCAGCCTGGACACTGGCTAGTCAGCACGGCCCGCTCCTGCCAGCAGTGATCCGGCCTTGTCTGTGCCTTACCCCCTGCCCCTTGCTCTCAGGGGCCAGGTCTGCAGCCACTCTGGGAGCGGTCTCTGCTCTGACCACAGGTACGCATCCTGGTGGGGACAGCATCCCCACCCCTCGGCTCCTCACACCCAGCCCCAGCCCCTGCCCCTGCCACATGTCTCATGCGGGCTCCCAACTGCACTCGAATTCCTGGCGCACACTTCTGCCAACAGCCTCCACCTTCTGCCCACCAGAGCACATCTGCCTCCACCTCAAGGACAAATCGAGGTCCAAGCCCGCCAAGGGGCCTGTCCGGTGACCCCAATGTGAGAGGCGGTGTCAGAAGTCCGCAGCAGAGATCTGTGTCCTCATTATTCTTCCCACAAGAAAGGCCCTGAGACATGTCCATTCATCCACACAGGAAGGACGGGGGCACCGAGGGAGGGGACCACCACTCACGTGTCAACGTGCCGCCGCCTCTCCGCCACAGTCCACTGCGGCGACTTGACAGCAGCGAAGAGCAGCAGGTGCTCCCGGACGGTGAGACGGTCGAGCAGGACGTCCCTCTGAGGACACACCCCTAGCTCCTTTCTGACCTCAGACAAGCCTGTCCGCAGGTCCCTGCCGTCGACAAGGATGGTTCCAGAAGTGGGAGCCTGCAGTCCCGTCAGCATGGACCTGCGGAGACAGTGGGTCAGCAGGGACAGCGAGGCCATGCAGCGTCCTGCCTTCCACCCAGGCGGGGTGGGGGGCGGGCAGGATCCCAGCGGCATTGGTTCAACCTCGGCCACGCGGGCTCAGGACGCGTCCCCACACCTGGGACACACGAGGACGGCAGAGCTGCGCAGCTGCACCATAGCACCCAGTGCCGTGCTCACAGATGACGGAAGCAACCAGAGAAGCGGCACCACCCAGACCCGACGTGAGGGGAACAGCCATGTTTCTCTCTCCCTTTGTCTTCGCTGCGACACTGCTGAAGCTGCGTGTATGCCACTTTCCACCCTTCTTAATATGGAAGGGAGAGCTGTTTTCGCTTTTTTAAGGAAGGCTGTTTTGGCACCGCTAAAGAACAAAGGCGGTGAGTGCTTCAAAAGAGAAGTCCCATCGCCACTGAAGGGCCAGCCTCACAGGCCCACGTCGGCGGACAGCTGGGGAAGCCCCCACCCCGTACTTCCCTGGCCTTGTGGGACTTGACTCCCTCACTGAGCTTGGAGCCTTTGGGTTCCGAACCAAAAACTCAAACCTTACAAAACAGGCAACCACACAAAATCAGAATGTGAAAAAAAACCTAGTCAGTGTTTAAAAAAGTACAAACGTCATTCTGAATTTCATCTTCCCGTAGAAATGTGAATAAAATTAAACTTGGGGGGAAAATAGAAAAGGTCACAGGACTCCCAATGGTTAAGGTAACGGGTGAGTTATTTGTAGGGAATAAAGGAATTTTAAAGGTTTTTGAAATCCATCTGACTCCCTCCCCACCACCGCCCTTCCCCCACCACGTCCGCTCCAGACCGGCAGGTGATGACCCCTGAAGCCCAGGTGGCGTGGCCGGAGGGCCCGGGGTTCCCTCCTGCCTCTGAACTGCCGGCACTCGGGGCAGAAAGGAATCCAGCCTCCCGTCTCCCAGGCAAACTGCCATCTGAGGACGAAGCCCCATATTTTATGGAGGCGGAAGGAGACGCACAGCACAGTGGTCTTCCCAGCACTGTTGGTCCCCAGCAGGGCGGTGATCTGCTCTCTGTGGAAGGTGAGGGTCAGGTCTTGCACGGCCGCCTGGTGGGGCTGGTACTCCTTGGTCACCGACACCAGGGTGACGCCCAGGGCGCCTTCCTCCCGCGTCTCCTTCCCAGGTGGAGGGGGTGAGCCTGGAGGGAGACGCAAATGCACCAGAGAGGACGCACTCACGGGGCCCAGAGTTGTCCTAGGATGGGCGGGGGGGGGGGGGGGGTCGTCCAGGGAGGGCGGTGCCTGCGATGCACAGGGCCCCGCCCCTGCCCTGTCCCCTGGGAGCTGCTCCCCGCTGGCAGGAACAGGGCCTCACTCAGGCCATCCGGTATGCTGCACCTGCCAGCTGCCCAACTTTGCTCCCACTGTTCACAGGGGCTCACTCGGGACAGAAGCGTGGTCAGACTGACAGTGACCAGAGAAAACTCCAAGGTGTCCTACCCTGGGCGGTGACCCTGAGGTGGCACACACAGGAGCCAGTGGGTCAGTGGCCATGGCCACACCACAGCAGCTGCCTCGCCCTCTGACAGCAGCTGAGAGCTCCACCTCTACCCAGGCGTCTGTGTCCAGGCTCTCAAAGAAAACTACCAGCCACCAGATGCCACTGAACCCTGCCTGCGCATGGCCTTTCCAACATCATCATGACCAGTCCAGAAGTGGCAGACCCCCTTCCCTGCGGACAGGCCGCCTGTCCCAGAACCTTCCCTGCTTCACCCCCTCCTGCCCTGAGTCCACGCACAACCTGCCCCTGTCTCGCCGAGCTCACTGTGTTACAGTGCCCATCAGCCCCAGGACAGGACCACGCCGTCTGTTGTCTCCACCCAGCCCTGCTGCTGAGGATCGGGCTGGAGCCCCAGCACCTGGCCCTCTCCTGGCCTTGCAGCTCAACACACCCTTCCTCCCAGGACAGCCCTCCGCCTTGGAGGCTCTAGGTGTGAGCCAGCACCCACCCACCCACGTACATGGCCTGTGCACCGGGCTGTGCCCAGTGTGGGGTGTCGTGCTAGGGTCCGGGGCCATGCCGTGAGGACCACCAGGGGCTCTCACCACTTGGCCTCACCCATAACCCTGCTCCCAAGCCCACGGTGGCCTGTGGGGGGCCAGAGACATGCACAGTCACAAAGGCTCGGCCGGAAGGAAAGCCAGGGCAGAGCCCAGCAGAGGGAAGACAGGTGTCCCGTGTGTGGCTCCTCACCAACCTGCAGGATCGGGGTCCTCACGGGGGAGGCGCCAGCTGGAACACAGACCACGCCGCGCCTGGACCACCGCGCCACACACGCTCCTCCAGTGCGACACAGTGAAGGGGAAGTACCATGGCTTCCTGACACCGAAGGTTCCTGAAAAACAGGACACCGGCCAACTCAGGCCAGCTTCTTCTCTTCTCTTCTGTTCTCTTCTCTTCTCTTTTTTCTTCGTATCCTCGTCCGAGGACATTTTTTCATTGCTTTTCGAGAGAGAGGAAGGGAGAGAAAATTGATGCGCAAGAGGAGCCTTGATGGGTTGCCTCCCATATGCAGCCCAACCAGGGGTCAAACCCAAAAGCTAGGCACCTGCCCTGGGCAGGAATCGAACCCACACCCTTTGAGTGTACGTGATGACACTCTGACCACCTGAGCTACTTTTCCACACAGCAGAAGCTCCTATGACAGAACAACCCAACTAATTGACACAAAGTGTTCTTCCATGGTAGCAGGCTCCACGCACACCACACAACCTGGGGCCCCCACTGCACTTCCCTGAGAGGCCTCCAAGCAGGCGCTCAGGAGACGGGCAGGGTCGGTCAGCACCGAGAGCAGCCCGGGCAGGCACCAGGCACTCCCCAGAGCGCAGCCCCCGGCCCCACCCCTGCCCATCGCTCAGCTGCCCGTCCCGGTCTGCCTTCGACGTTCGCACGGACCACCCACCGGGTGCGGGCCGAGGGCAGGAAGGACTTAAGCGACTGCACACCCACAGAGCAGAGCTTGAGGCGCCAACCCATCCATCCAACACATGTCAGCCTCTTCAGCTCGGCCTCCGGCTCAGCCCTGCCCACCTGTCAAGGTGGGGGTGGGCTTCCCGGTGACCGCGTCTCCACATCCTTTGGTGCCCTCTGGGGCTTACGTGTGAGGGTGGCCTCCAGCTGCAGGTGACTGAAGACATCAGGCCCCACGTGATGATGAGTTTAGGGCTCCGGCCCTTGAGCAGAGAATAAAGACAGCCTTTCGCACGCTCCAGTCAAAGGTTCCAAATGACCACAGTGATTCTGCGATGCAGGCAGGCACCGTGCTGGCATCCGGCGCAACACTCACCCTGTGACAGCTCAGCCTGGGCCCCCAACACACAGGCTGAAGCCCAAGCCCCCAGGGTATGTGTTTGGAGGAAGAGTCTTCCAAGGGACAGTTCAGGTTGAACGATGCCACCAGGGTGGGTGCTGATTCCACAGGGCATGTCCTCGTAAGGAGAGGTGAGGACACGAACACAGAGGGACAGCACTGTGGGGACACGGGCAGGACATCCAGGCCCACCTCAGAGCACAGACACTGCGCTGCGTGGACACAGACAAACGGCTCTGCCTGCAGTTCCTCCCGAGTCCCAGGAGCCTCTCTGGGGGGACCTTCTCTCACACGGCCCCCCTCGCAGCCCAACGCAGCGGCGTGTGGTCCCACCCTCCAGAGCGCCTTCAAGCAAGCCTGTGGTCACACCTGCCTCCCCCACCCCATGCAAGCTTTTGGAAAACGTGCTGCAACGTTGGCCTGATGACGAACTGCAGTCCCCAGAGCTGCTGGGAGCAGAAAGAGTCGAAGGTGCACGGAGACCTGGCTGCCTGCACACTGGCTGTCTGGTCATGCCAGAGGGGGCAGCCAGAGGGACACTTTCGGGAGGGAACACATGGACCGAAGATGAGATGGGGGAGGGGCAGACACACGCCCTCTCGGTGCTCTCTGCCTGCAGTGAGCTGGCCCCTTGTCCACCTCCTGCAGGCGCCCGGCCCCCTTTATAGCAAAGACTCCGCCTCCATCGCTCTGCGGCTCTGGGCCCGGCCGCAGTGACTTCCCTGCCACTCCTTCTGTCCCCCCAGGAGGACACAGGATGGAGCCCAGGTCTCTCACATCTGGGCTGAAGCAGAACTACCCGGATTAGATTCTTTCAGCCAACATCAGGCCAGTCTGCTCCCCAACACATCTCCCCCGCTATGTAGCTGTGTGTACCCCAAACAGGTGTCTTCTCTTTGGTGAAGTTGGTTAGCATTTTAAAAAACAAAAATAAAAAATATATAGTCAGTTCTTACAACTTAATTAAGTTATAGAAGAAGCACATGATTAAAGCAGAAAATGAAAAACAGAAAAAAATGTTGCATAAACCCATAAAAATGTTTTACAAATTTTTAACTATTAAGAGATGTATTTTAATAATTAGATTGGCGAACTTTATCATTTTATTTAGTTTTCTGAGTGTGACTTAAACTCTTACAATGGAAAATACTGCCGACCTGTGTTACTCATGTCTTTGGTGTTGAGGAAGGCATTCCCTGTCTTTAAAAATTACTCTTGCCCCGTTTACTCATTATTTGTTGTGATGTTTATTTCTGATGAATGTATGAATAAGTCTAATTTTCTCTCCCTAAGAGGTTGATGGAATAATGTGCTCCTTCTCACTGATTTAAAATGCACACCGTACCATGGGGAAATGATCATTCACAGTGGGTTGGTCACTGAACATCCTACTGACCCATCTGTCACCACACAAGACCTTCACTGTGCTCACCCTGGCCAGCTCGCAGCACGGCGCCAGCTCAGCGGCAGCCACCACTCACTGCCGTTACAGCCAATGACTGTCAAGCACCATCGTTAATTAACTCCTCTGTCTGTGCCTCTCTCGCTCCCACTGGTACCTCAATGTGAGGCGACAGCACAAGCGTTTGCACCCAGGCTTTTCAGCTCACTCTCCCGCCCCCACAAAGTGTGGGACTCTTACCAGGAATCAGGTTGCTCAGGTACCATCCACAGAGAAGGTAGAGGCCCGAGTCGAGCAGAATCACCCAGCACACCCCACCGAACGTCATGCCCACTGGCTCCAGGGACTGGTCCACGTTGCCCCACTGGACCCCTGGAAGGAGGGAGGGGGCAGAGTCAGAGTGAGTGGGACGAGTGGGCTGGTCAGTCCTGTGGCCTCCAGTGGGGCTCACAGTCGACGGCAGCTGATGGCTGTAAGAACAAAAGTCAGGCCGAGGCCACGGGTCAAGTTCCACAAAGGGGCACCCACTCGTTAGTCTCACACTTGATTCGATGACACGGGGGGAGTGACCATCAACATTGTAGTATCTAATGTTTAAAATGTTTAAAGTTTGCTTTACTTAGTTTAGAGACAATAAGCATGTTATAAAAAAATAATAATAAGGCTCCTTGTGAATCCAAACTCTAAATTATATTATTTTCTCCACTCTTAGAAAATACATAAACAGGACATAGAAAACTTGGAATGGAAAAGAATCATTATTTCTTACATTTGCAACTTATTGCTGGACTGAAACATAATTGAGGCAAATAGTCCACTCCCTCACCTGTCTGGTGGTACCAGCCTGGAACTCCAGAAGTCAATGCTTTAACACTGTGCGCTCGTGGGAACTGACTCTGAACATTCAGAGGATGCACAGTGGCCCAGGATCTCCTCTGCCCTCCTGACCCACCTGGGTGGAGAGGAGCCCCAGGCACACGGGAGGGCAGCACAGTGTCAGCGTCTCTCTCTCTCTCTCACTCTCGGCACAGTGCCGCACTTGGAACTCAGAGCAGTCTGCTGTGTTTTGCGGAAACATCTGAGAACCCCACAGCCAGGGCCAAGTTCACTGGCCAGTTTCCGAATAGCTGGAGTGGAGAGTGGGGGGTGCATTTACTGCATGTATTTTACCTGTGAGTTGTCACAAAACGCACCACAAAAACCACATCAACACGTAAGAAATACTTCTGTCCTGTCTTAAGAAGTTAGTTGTCAAAATCTCAATAGAAGTGAAAAGTGCTGCCAATCAAGTTTTTAAGTATCGTTTTAGGCTGAGTTAATAGGGGTAAAGTGCACATCAAGTAAAGGAGATGGTCATCCTCTCTCTGCACTGGTCAGACCTGTGTCTGCATCTGGAAGGACCCGGAAAGTCCGGGGCAAAGATGAGGGCCGACCGGAAGCACGTGAGCGGCTGACACATGAAAGAGAGAATCAGAAAGAGAAGCTGGGAAAGTGAGCTGAGGTTCAGGAGACGGGTTCCTGTGAGTAATGCCCCACACACAGGACACGCATGCACGCCCGTTCTGGGAAGAGTGTGGAGGGGTCACTAAGTCACCTCGGGCACTGGGGTGTCACAAGGATTACCTGGTGGGCTGACCCACAGGCACATGGCTATTCCTGACTGTGCCTAAAACCAGGGCAACCGACGCAGGTGGCAGCCCGTCAGCCAGGCCCAACGCCAGGTCTGGATCCAAACGCTTTGCTTTGTGAGAAAGACTTCCCACTGTCCGGCTCACCACAGGGCAGCACATTCCCAAACACCCGAACCACCGAGAGTCACTCCCGAGAAGTGTGCCTTCTCACCTGCCTCCTGCCCTTCCAGGAACGTGATGAGAAACACTCCCTGCCCGAAGGCGGTGGTGGAGAAGAGGCACTGCGGGGGCCGGTGGAGAGAAGAAGAGCAAAAACAGCCCGTCAGTGCACTACAGGCCGCCAGCCCACAGCACCGCCTCCCGACTTTCCCACACGGCCGCGGAGAGCTGCCCGCGGTGGCGCCGCTGTTGTCAGCCTGCGCGGGAACTCAGCGGCAAGCTGGCAGTGTTCCACGTTAAAAGGAACGATTTCTCCCCCAGGGTGCCTGAGGGGCCCTAAAGCGCCCTCGCAGTGCCCGAACGTGGCGGCGCAGCCGTGGGGCGTGGGCAGAGCGTCTGCTGCTCAGCACGTGGTGGGCGGGTGGGCAGGCAGCACAGCGCTTGCTGTTCTGCACCAGAAAGAGCGCCCAAGGGAGCCTGTTCCACTTCCAGGGCCGAGCTTCCCCATCAGGGAAAAGCCACGGGACTCATCTCGTGTTTGAATGAACAACGTGCCGGAGTTGGACGCTTTCCTTGCTGGAACACGTAAAAAGGAGACGAGACCTTGTAGGCGGGGGGCCCTGCAGGCCGTCTGTGCCCCTTTTCCTCCACACAGGCCTGTCTGTGGCCCCAAATGACCAGGGGGCTCACTTTCTCTGAAACACCGGATGGGCACTGCCCGGAAGCTGGCCACACGGGCACGAAGCTGTGGACGAACTGCCGATGGGACAGGACTGCCCCTCCCTGCGGATCTGTGCCTGCGCACAGCACCCGTGGGAAGAACAGGCCGAGGGGTTCCTGACGCTGGAGGCAAGGACCTGGGCTCCCACAAAACTTTCACCCTACGGCTCGGAATGAGCCGGGAAGGGGCCCTCCCCAACCAGGGAACGTGCAGCAGCCCCCCAAGGAGTTCGACCCTGAGCAGCATCGAGCCGGTGCTTGCGGCTCCGGCCTGGCTCATCTTGCCAGCTGTCTGCTCGAATGCCCTGCCTGGCCAATGCTGCGCTGCCAGGCGAGGGTGGAACAGAAGCCCCTGCCCTCCCCCAGGGTCGTGCTGAGGACCCGAACTCCTCTAACACTGTCTCAGAAGGTGCACTTCCAGTGGGCGAGCGACTCTCGTGGAGAGGTTTTCTCACTGAAGGTGGTGTGATTCATGACACTTCGTGAAAAAGGCTTACTTTTTTGCTCTTGAAATAGCTATGGAAACCCATTTCTTTCCACACATGAAGCAAAGAGAATGAAACCCTAGGCTTCCCAGTCGATGCCAGCAACGGTCCTGAGAGCCCTCACCAGACACACCCAGCACACGAGCAAGGCCTGTGCCCTGGGCCGCCCACCCACTGCCTGAGGAGCTGCTGCAGGTTCTGGGACTCCCACCGCGCTGCTCGCCCCTGCGGGGGGCAGGGACGATGGTGCAGCCAATGCCACGTCGACAGGGAGCTACACGCTGAAAGCTGCACAGACTCCGCCCTGCCCCACACTCTTGCCCAGCGGTCCACCTACCAGACACGTCTGAGCCGCAGCACCCAGCCGGCCTCTCAGCACCAGCAGGACGACGTAGGGCAGGAAGCTGGTCACGTACAGCAGGCTGCTGCAGAGGGCAGCCATGCTCGCCCGGTGGAAGAGTGCGCTCAGCAAGTAACTCAGCATGATGACCGACACCCCAAAGTCCAGGAGGAAGAGGAAGACCACGAAGGCATCGCTGTATGCGAAGATGCCGCTGGTCTTCAGGACGACCGCCAGGATGGCACTGCTGACGGCCACCACCGCCGCATTCTCCAGGAACCAGGCCAGGAAGTGGGTGCCGGGGTGCACCCCCATCATGCTCAGGTACTGGGGGGGGAAGGAAGCCCCCTGTTAGCCCGGCAGGGGTGCGGAGAAAGGAGGGTCAGACAGACGGGAGAGAAGGCTGCACGGGGGCAGGCGAGCGGTGCCCAGAGCGCCCCCTCGGGACACGGGCCCCGCCAGCGGCAGTGCGCAGGGCACTTCCTCCAGCAGCCCCGATTCCACTCTCGAGACCCTCAGAGAAGGGGCCGCCATCAGGTTAAGGCAGAGAGAGCCGAGACAGGTGCGGCCACGAGAGAACGGACTCCCGTGTGAGGAGGTGGCGTCGGGAGAAGGCCCCCAGAGCAGGTCCCAGGCTCAGGCTGACGGGCTGCAGGCCCTGCGTCTGCTCATTCGTGTTTTTGGTTCTGTCGTCTATTGTTTTCTGTTTTGGTTGTGGTTTTGTTTCACCAAGACAGAGAGACGCAGAGGAGCAGCGCTCTTCCCTGGGTTTGGGGGGCACTGCGTGGGCATCGGAAGGCACTTTGCTGAGCGACTCAAAGTCACAGGATCACATTGGTTTGCCCACCAGCCCTGCCGCTGGCTCATCTGGAGCGTCACACTGTCTCTGAGCACCATTAACAACAACTTCTGACCCAGTGGGACATGCTGTCACCCGGGCCCTCAGCCCAGGGGCCCGATGGGGTCAGGGTAGAAACAGGGATCAGGAGCGAGTCATCTGTTCAATGGTAGCTGCAGAGGCACGGGGCACCCGGAGCCGAGGACACGCTCCCTGGCCCAGCCCCCCACTCCCCTCAGCAACCAGCACCACGGGAGCCGAAGACCTGTGCCTGCCGCCTCCCGGCCTCGCTCCTCCGCAGGCTGGGGTGGGGTGGGGGTTCCAGATGCCTCCACAAACTTTCTCTCTCAACAGCAGTGCTGGCAGTCTATGCCTTAAAGACGTCAGGGTAACAGCATCGAGGCTGGGCTTGCGAAGTCCCAGCCATAAGTCAGGATGGGCAGCCAGTCACTGTGTGTCTCTGGGTGGGCTGAAAACTGTGGAACGAGCTGTGTGGGCTTCCTTTCTTCGCCATCTTGTGTGAGAGGACAAGCCTGCTCAACGCTGGCAGGTGTCAGACCCACAACGACTTCCCCGGGACAGGCCCGGCGGAGGGGCCCCCTCACCTGGGCAAGCTCCAGGGCTACTCACCCCCTCTAACTGGATCTCCCGCTCATACACCAGCTGTCGGACCATGCTGGCCACAGACACCATCCATGCCAGCATCATGATCAGAGGGAAGAAGAAACCCACGTTGTTCAGGAACCTGAGGGCACAAGCCAGGGCACACCTGAGGGCCAGCACAGAGGCTCTGCTCAGAGTCGAGCTGCAGTCAGCACGGCGCTGGGCACATCTCTCGAGGCCCTCGCAGGCCAGGGAGCGCTGACAGGGACCCCGCCACAGGTGTCCCGGTTCACCGTCCTTGCAGACTCCCAAAGGCCCCTCTGGCGCACTGCCCCCGCCGTCTCCAGCACCTGCCTCGGCAGAGTGCCCCCACGGGGACAGCCTGTTGCACACGCACACAGGGTGTGAGACACAGGAAGGGAGCAAACGAAAGGTCCTGAATTGGGAGTGTGGGGGGCACTCAAAGTAAGCCAGTGAAGACAGAGGCGTGGGACAGAGCGCGAAGCGTGTTGAGACAGCTTCACAGCAGTGGGGAGGGGCGTTGCTTCCCACAGGGTGGCTGGCCGGGCACCTGGGGACGGAGCAGGGCAGTCCTGAGAGAGGAGCCACTCCACTGCCTCTGACACCGGGTGGCCTGACTGGCCAACACCCCTTCCTTGGCCTGGACGGTGTCCACAGAGCTCTGCCACCTGCTACACATGAGCACACGAAGGACAGTGACATTTAACAAGTGGTTTCTCTGCCCACCCCCAGGGGGCGTCACCATGCGATTCAGCACATCAGGCCCCTCAGCGGGATGATGGGGACGGGGCTGGGGCCCAGAGGAGTGTCCCAGGGCTCGGGGCTCCCAGGATAAACGGGAATGGAAACTTCAGCTGAAAACAACAGCTGCGGCCAAATGGAGAAAGAAGGGCATTTAATGAGTTTACCTGGTGAAAATCCCAAGGAAAAGAAGCAACAAAAATGTGCATGTTGAGGCCCCCTCACCGGTCTAACGTGGGCCAAGCTGGTATTTTTTTAAGACAGGAGCTTGACCCTTCGAGCGTGAACCCTGTCAACCCTTCACTCTGGACTTCTCCCAGGGCAACTCAAAGCCCAGGTGCCAGGCGCTCAGAGCTGCCACTCAACCCCCAACACCCTCACTGTCCCCTCCCAGAAGCCCCACCGGGTGGACTGACAGAGCCCAAACGCCCTGCGCGAAGCCCCAAGCGGCCTGCAGAGAAACACCCTCTGTGCTCTAGAAGCTTCTACGGCACTGGTGCTTTGGCCGTCTGAAAACCCCCCATGACGCTGCCCTATTCCTTGAAGGGGCATGTTAACCCTGGACGTTCTTTACTTTCACGAGGGACACAGTGGTTCCCACCGTAGTGTGGACCTGTGAGTCCTGGGGCTGAAGGAATGTGGTTTTACACAGTCCAGCTCCATCCAGCCCTGCGTCCTTCAAGTGCATTTTCCCTGCGTGTGCACTGAAAACAGGAGTCTTGCGAGCTGCTACCAGACACCAAGTGAGCAAGGGAGCAGGGGAGGGAGATGCAGGTTCAGACTGAGAAGTGCGTGGCCCGGCCTTGTCGAACAGACCTGTTTCCCTGGAGGAATGGCTCCGTGGCTCCCCTTTCTGCCCGGCCGGCCGGCCTGCTCTCTGCCCCGACACCACCGCCCGCTGCCCCTCCATCTCCCTGACGAGGGTCCTCACCCATCTGCAGCCCACGGAGCCCATGGCCACTGTGGGCCGCTCTCTCTGCCACCTGCTGCAAGCCACACTCCCACTGCCCACGCACCTGTCCTGAAGAGGACGCAACCATTTTCTGCTCCCCTAGTCCATCAGGGGAACCAGGGATCAGACAGGCAGAGCCTGGCGGACACTGTGCCCCCAGTCGGTCGGGAGGGCCTTTGAAGCCGCCTGCAGTCCAAGGCGGAGCCCTTGGGTCACATCAACACCTACCCTCCCCTGGGCAGCTCAAGCGCAGGAGACATGCCCCTTGAGGCCTTAAAGCGGGACAGACATCTTCTGTGCCCCTGGAACTCGTGCAGAGAAGCTGTGGGACAGCCCCGCCTGGAGCCTCAGGCTGTGAGTGGACCTGGGGCCTGGGTGGGGACGAGGGACTCACAGGTCACTGCTGTGGCAGGGGTAGGGGATCGCCTGCGCCTGCACGGCCGGGCCCGCGGCCTTCTGACCGGTCTGCTCCAGGATGATGGCTCTCTCGATCATGTCTTGCAGCGGGGCGAAGACATAGTTGTACTTGAACCCATCGGCCGGCAGGCTCTGAGGGTGGAACTTCCAGAACGGGTTTTTTACCAAGTCGGTCCTCATGCTGTACAGGACGCTGGTCCGGATGGTGTAGGTGATGTGGGGCGGCAGCCGGGGAGGGTCTGCCCCAGAGCTGCTGCCGACCGAGGACGTGTTGAAGATGACACCTGATGGGGAGGAGGAGCAGGCCCATCACCACCGGAGCCTCGCGGGCAGTCAGCACAGCATGCAGCGGGGGGCTGGGCCAGCGGGCTCTGCTGAGCCCTCTCCCGAGGGGAAGGCTGTGCCCTAGGGAGGCCGCGCCCACTGTCCTGGTTATCCAGACAGTGGGCAGGAAGCAGAGCCAGGCCTTCCCAGTTCCCAGGCAGGCCTCTTTTCCATTTAATAAAACCATACCGTGGTATCGTTAATACGAACAAATTATTTGTTTTGCATTTTTCAGGACTTGAAAAATGCCGCAAGGAGGCTGAGTAATCCGGCCCTTCCTCTCCAGGACAACAGACGCCTCCCTGGGAACTGGTGTTCTGGGAGCCCTCATCCTGGTGTGGACACCGGGTTCCACCCCCTGCCACGTGCTTTCCCTGAGTTCTACCTGGAGAGCCGGCTGTGGGCTGAGCTGTGCCTCCCCCAAGCTTACGTTCTGGAGCCCCCGCCCCGCACTCAGAGACAGCTTGTGTGGTGGCAGGGTCTTTGCAGAGGACATCAGGGGCTCTAACCTGACCCACGTCGTAGAAAGAAGGGGAGCCGGACCCTGGCCTGTGCAGGGGGCAGGGGGCAGGGCGGGGAGAGGGGGCTCATGGTGTAGGCAGCCGTGGGCACACAGAGGAGGGTGGTGGTGGGAGCCCCCTGCCAACACTCAGGCTCCGGGCTCTGGGCTGCAGGCTGCACCCCCAACCACCAGACACAGCCGAGTGAGAGCAGTCCAGCACATGAGGACGCACACAAGTGCCAAAGCGAGTGTGAGGACATGCTATTGTTCTCTGAGACCAGTGAACAGTGAGCAGGGAGCAGTGAGCAGACAGGGTTGGTCGGCCACGGTCCTTCCTCCTGCTCACCCCGGGATGCACGGCACCATCATTCAGTGAGAGTGGTGGCAGAAACCGGAGTGGACCTTGCACCAAGAAACCCGTAAGTTGTCCTGGGAGACTGAACCGCGGCACCGCCTGGTACAGCAGTAACAAGATGCGGTGAGCCGTACTGGGCTGAGGCCAGTGGCAGCACTGGCAGTCACTACGGTGCAAGGCCCTCTTCTCACCGCGTCGGCCTGATTCCACTCTATGTGGAAAGGACGCCTTTCTCTCTGAGCCACCAGAGGCACGCGCAGGGGGACACGGCCTGCTGTCCCGGGGCCCCGGGCACAGGGTGATCACTGGGTACTTACTGGCCAAGAAACTGTTCTCCTGCCTGAGCTCCTGAGCCGCAGCCTCCAGGACGGTGACGGACTCCAGCCCCCGGAAGCGGTTCAGCACCACGCAGGAGGACAGGTTGACCAGGACGCGGCCCAGGGCAAGGATGCGGGTGGTGCCCACTCGGCTCAGCATCCTGCCCAGGATCCCTCCTGAGGACGCGAACACTCAGACGTGGCAGCGCCCCAGCACAGCGTCTCCCACCCCCACAGTGGATGCTGCGTGAACACCCCGGATGTGCAGCTCCCTCCCTCTGAGGGGGGAGCTCACTCCCGAGATGCAAACTCTGTTCACGTGCACACTGGCTGCTCCCCAGCTGAGTGTGCCCACCCCTGTCACAGCCGTCCCCTGACTCAGACACTCTCACATAGGTGGAGAGGGATGGCTGACTCACGCAGGGCTGGTCAGTGGGGACAGGAGAGGGAGCAGAGAGCGGCCTGGGCAGCAGGAAGAGGCTGTCACCCAGAGCGTGGCCAACACGTCGCTCTTCCAGCCGGACCCGAGCGATCCTAAAGCGCCTGCCTTCCCGGGAGCCTGGCCCGCACAATAGCCGGTGGCTCCCTGGCACTGAGGTCCCACAGGCAGCTGTGCTGGGAGGTGTGTTGCCTCCGAGGGGGCCGCCCCGCCCGAGCTTGTGCACTTGAGCAGCAAGGCAGAGCTGAGGCTGAAGATGGAAACACTCCCAGGATGAGACACCTGGGAGGGCTCGGTGTCCCAGCGCCAGTGTCAGGAGGGGTCGGGTCATGGAACAGAGACATGGAGAAGCCAACGATCCCAGGAAAGTCTGTGTGGGGAGAGCACCCAGGACACCAGAGCAGGAGAGCAGTGACCAAAGGTCACCAAGTGTACAGTGGCACGGCCTATAGAGGAATTGAGTCCCCGGGGCTTGCTCTGGCCAGGGCCGCCCAGCAGAAGAGGCCACCAGACTGCCCAGGGGCCAACACGGCGTCAGCAGAGGTGTGTGGCAGAGGTGGGGGGCCCCTCTCCCAGCGGGGCAAGGCTCCCAGCACCAGGGCTCCAGCCACCCCTCACCAGGCCCCAGTCTTTAACTGGGTCTGAGAAGACTGTTGCTCAGAACCTCATGAGAAAGGAAGGGAGTTCATCAAGACGTGATCACACACAAAAACACACCTACAACACTCACACATACAGAGCAAACCACAAAGCTGTGCAGATGGAGCCCGTGTGGGCCCCTCCCCCGGCCTGGGGACCGGGCCAGTGGACGTCAGCTTCTGGCCACAGCTTCCTCTCAAAAAGCACCCGTGGGACAGAGGGGTGGCTGGGAGCCTCCACCCAGCCCCAAATCTGTCAGACAGGACAGACCATCAACTGGGAGACACCAGAACAGAAACAGACAGAGGCCTGGTGGGTGGCAATCTGGTGACGCAGGGCCAGGCCAGCTGAGCGTCTACCGGACGCCCTTTCTGGATGCGCCAGCCCAGCCCCAGACTCCCGGGCATGTGGAAGGCAGTGCTGAGCCCCACGCAGACCCACAGGTCCACGGCCTGCACGCACAGAAGAGCTGTGTGCCCGTGGCCCTTATTTAAAACTGAACTCCACGTTTTCAAATCAGTGTAACTGCTTTCAGTTGACTACCAACTCCAAAGTATTAACTCAGTTTATAAAATGACTTTACAACTCGCAAGTCTTGTCATCAAATCAGAAGCCCTCCTTTTGACTACCTTCTGTACTATTCATGCCTGAGTCAGCCAATCAGAGGCCCCAGGCGGGACCGCCTTTGCAGAGAGTGAGGTGCAGCCCATTCGCCTGTAGATGGCGAGCCAGGACCGCACAGGAAGTGGCTTGTCAGCGTCCCCTGACACCTGGTGGCCCAAGGGTGAACCACCCACTTACGCCCACATTTTACTCTTACACACCCACACCCACACTCACACATGTGCACTCACATGCCCGTACATATACTAACTTACACTCACATATATGTAGACATACACACACTCTCACTCTTACACACTCACACGTGCACACGCACGTACGCACTCATACCCTTACAGACACACACACACATGCTCATGCCCACACTGACACACACTTGTACACTCACACTTACGCAGGTGTGCGAGTGCACACCCACGCTCACTCACCATATGTCTGGAGCCTTTCCGTCAGCTGGTCTACGTCGATGTGTAACTGGGTGCCCACGAAGCTCCTCACGAATCTGTTCCTCAGGGCCTCCTGCAGGGGCACCAGACAGCTGAGCAACAGCGGCACCCCTTCCCTGCAGCAGGCCTGCCTGGTGCGCCACGGTTTCCTTGTGTGTGCACAAGGTGCCCGAAAAGAGGCGCGGAAACCCCGCCATGCGGCACAGGCCAGCACGGGCTCTGCCTGGAGACAGAGGAGGTGGCGACGACGGCTCAGAGCGACGCTGTGCACAGACACTGAAGATGAGGGACCGGCCACACAGGTGCCGCCTATGGGTGAAGCATCCAGTGGGCCTTCGCCCTTTCACAGGCCTGCCACCAGGAGGTCGCACCACCAAATCTGGGGACAGGGCTCAGCCTTTCCCCAACCCTCAATCCTGTGACTCAGTCCCCTCAGGAAGTGCCCTCCGTGCATCAGCCAGGCATCACCCATGCGCTCCCAGGACGCCGAGTCTCGCACAACAGTGCCTGTGGTCACTGCAGCCACAGCGAGGCCCTCCTCGAAGTCTGCACTGTTCGAGACCTGACTCGTGACCGAGAGAATCTGCTCGGTCCCCACATCAGCAAGTTAGTCCAGGAGCAAACAAGTTAAAGACAACACTGCCACAGTCACAGCCGGTGCTTGCACGGGGAGGGGGGACCACCGTGACCGGGATCAGGCCCAGGGCCCCTGCCGCGCTCTGAGGTCCATCTCCGTTGCCCAGAGCCACCCTGGCCTCCGTGGCTCCCAGCCCAGGGCCACACACCAGGGCCATCCCTTGGAGCGCAGGGTCCTCTGACCAGGACCCGGCTGATGACAACGCATCCACTGTGCTGCAGGACTGCCCGTGGTGCTGGCAGCCAGCCCCCGCCCTCTCCGGCCCCCAGGGCCTGACCTGCGTCGCAGTGGGACCAGGGCACTCCGGCCTGCCCTCCCAGACTCCTCTCCCTCGGCTCTAAGAGCCAGGCACTCCCTGTAAAGCACCTGCTTTTGGAAGGACCCAGACACGGAAACACTCCCTGCCTGCTGTCCTGAGTTGCTCACAGCGGGCGTCACCTGCTCCCTCCCCTCGCAGCCAGGAAACCCGGGGCACAGGCCAGTTCAGGGACCAGTGCATGGGCACACGGCATGCAGGCTGGGAGTGAGGCCCAGCCATCCTGGCCGCGAATGCTCCCCACACCTTGAACTTCTCGGCGGGCTCACGAGAAGCAAGCCAGACAGGAATAGCCATGTGGGCCCCTCTGCCCATCTATCGGACATTGGGCAGGTTGGAGCCACATGAGCACCCCAAAGCCATAATATGACCCCCTCGCTGACACCTGCAGTAAGTGGCTCAGGTTCTGAAGCAGTCAGGCCACTGTAAAACACATGAACACATTACTGTGGAATGTGTTTCAATACAGAACATGAGAAAATGATCTCTGGTCATACTAATAGGCCTATGGTTGGAAATCTCACAAAACACACAAAAAGGCTTTGGAATTAACATGGAATGTAAAGCATGGGAAACTATTAATACATTATTAATAATATCTTGCATGGTGGCAAAATACTTGATCATTTACAAAATGTGTTTGCACAGTTCTTATGTTGACATTATGAGTCAGCTGGGAAACCGTCCCCCCCCCCCCCCCCCCCCGCCCAGTGGGCTCAGAGCCCAGCCCCCACTCTGCAGTCCGCACACCCCAGCCCTCGGACACCAAGGGGGCTCTGCTCACCTGCAGCTGGCCGAGCAACTGGCCATTTCCACCACTCTGAAAAATGCCAGATGCCTTCAGCAACGTTTCTGACAAAGTCCGTAGCTTGTCCACAAACAGGAAAGTGTAATTAGCCTGTGACACAAAGCATGCAGGTCACGTCAGTGTGCCAGTCAGGAGAGCCCGCAGTGCTGTGGCGGTGGCATGGAGACCCGTGTGGAAGCTGTCGGCCAGCGGAGCAGAGGTCTGACCCGGCTGCCTGCAGGCCGGCCGACACCTCCCCAGACCAGGCAGTGTGTGCCGACGCCCTCACAGCTCAGCTGTGTCCCCGAGACCTCTCGTCCACGCTCCTCCCGTCAGGTGCCACCCCTGTCCACTACAGCGCCCCCTTCCTACCCGTCTTGACGCCCCCCCATTCCCCTCAGTGTCCTCGCAGGGTCCCCAGTGTTTACCTCATTGTCTACACGGATGCCCCCGATGCACGCTGGCTGACTAAAGCAACATTTGCCCAAGCTCATCCAGGATCCCTTTCCAGCTACTACCCACGAGTCTGTGCACAGCCCCAGCCCCGTGGAGCCGAGAGCAGAGCCGATGGCCTCAGGGGCTGGTCCAGCATTTGGCACCACGGACACTGGCCCTGACCCACAGCACAGTGCCTGTGGCTTTCTCTCGAGAGGGAGCTCTGTCCTCGGGAAATAAGTGAGATACGTGCTCATACCTGCAAAGCGTCTCCTGCAGCATTTTGTGTTTGATACTGAAAATATTCTCAGTGCCAAAGAGAGAAGGGTAAAAAGGGCTGGGGTCCCAGGGAGCCCCGATAATGGCGCAGGTCACCCCGGGTCGGGGTGGGGGGAAGGCAGCCATCACCCTAAGGACCAACACCCTCCAGCAAGGCCCTGCTCTCAGGACCTCGCTCCCACTGGGCACCCAGCTGCGCCCACATCCCTGCCCCACCCTCCCTGGTCCTGTGTGTGTTCCCGCTCTGCTGAAGCCCAGTGGGCCCGCATGCATCTACCTCCACACAGACCTGAGAGGCGGGCCCACCTGGATGAGCACAGCCCCCCACTTCCACGGACAAACACCCGTCGGCCTGGGAAAAGGTCCTCCTAGTAAAGGAGGGGCCCATGCATGAGTCGAAGCCCTCGTCTGAGATTGACTTTAAAGAGATGGGAGAAACAGAGGAAATATTTCCTTTGTATTTTCGAGAGCAGTGAAAGAGGGGGAGGAGGCCACGAGGAAGGACCCTCTGCCCTGGGGCGGCATCAACTGTACACCAAGCGCCAGGCAGTGGGGGTTGGACTCAGTGGGACGGTAGCGTGTCACGGAAATGGCCAGACAACATGTCCCCTCAAGAGGGACCGGCGATGCAGTCCCCACTCTCCAAGGACAGCTGGGAGGAAAGGCAGAAAAGGAGAGGCCAGACAGTCTCGGACAGATGCGAGCACTCTAAGCGCAAGAGGGCCCGGCCCCGGCAGAGGCTGCCCCGAGAAGGGCATCAGTAGCTGCAGAAGGAGGCAGCCAAACACCCTAAGCCTGAAAATTCAAACACCATTTCTTACACCAGGTGAAATTATCAAAAAGGGACCACTGCCTAATGTGTCTCATAGAATTCGTAATTCTGGTTTAAAAAATAAACACATAAACATCCAGGAGGACACAAGGTGCTTTTTAGGGAGGGGCAAACATGGATGTAGCTTCAGCTCTCTTCTCCGCCGAAGCCCAGGTCAGGACACAATGACAGTTTTCAGGGGAAGGAGGCAAACCGAGAATTCCTCTGTCTAGCCAAGCACCTGCGATGCCCACGGAACCTCCCTGGCAGATATCCACGGAGAAAGGCCCTTCCCACACATTCCCCTGACCAAGTCACAGGAGGGCAACCTGAGCGAAAGTCTGTACATCACCTGAGAAGGCAGGTGTTTGCTAATACGGCCAACAGGGCCCTGAGCCACAAAACCACGCAAATATGGAACCAATTTTAAATAGTGGTCACCAAGTTCTTAGTTTAACCCAAAGGCTAGTAATAGTTCTGGAATGAGACCTTATAAAGTAGTGATGTGAAATTACAGTAAAAGTGGTGAGAGAAAAGCTACGATAGAAACGCAAGCGCTGTTTGCTCACTGTTAGGAAGACAACCCATGTGTCCCTGCTGCTCTCCTGGAAGGGCAGCGGGGGGGCGCAGGGGGTATTCTCGGCACTCACAACTGGGGAGAGAATAAACATGATGTACAAAACTGAAGGTAGAAAACAGAGGACAAAAAGAGATTCTATAAACAAATTTCCTTCAGCAAAAAGTGGGAAAAAATCGCACAGAGGACAAACATAGATTTCAAAACCATAAGGAAGATGACAATGACACCAAACTTGCCCATTATGACAGAAACTGTGACCAGGAAGAGAAGCCTCATTCCAAGGCTGGTCTTCGCACAGCCACTGGGGCAGTTAGTCGGGAGCCCCTCACCGAGGGTCTGAGCCAGCCGTGGGGCCGGGCCTGGACACACCACTGTGAGCGAGACGAAGACCTTTTCTTATAGACGGCAATATCCTACCGCAGAGAGGAAACTAGCAAAGCCAACCATTTTTATTAGACCCAAGAAAAGATTTTAGAAGTCAAGCAAAAACAAAAAAGCTAGAAATGTTCATGGCAAACAAATCCAAGCAAAAAGGGTACATGACGCACACATCATTTTGTTCTGAAAAAAGCTCACAGTTCATGATGGTCATTCATCATGCCCTTGTCACCACCACACGGAAAGACATGAACACAACTAGAACCAGGGAAGGGCGGGACAGAGACAGAATGGCAGGACACACTGAGACGGCCCCGAGCCTCCGCAGGACCAGCTGGCGACGACTCGAACCCAATCCACAAGCAAGACTCTCACTCACGGCTGAAGTCCTGGCCCCACTGCTTGCTCACTGCACAGTCTCAGCCAAGTCACGGAGAACCTCAGCCCCAGCTTCCAAACAGTGCGGGCAGGGCTGCTGTGAGGGGTGAGAATAGTAATGCTCCGCATATTAACCCAGGGCCAGGGCCGCTCAGCAAGGCCGCCTGTGAGGTCAAACTGCAGAGGTGTGGAGGGGGAGTGTGTTACTGCAACCAGTCACATTGGTAAAAATTGTTCGTCTTTTTTACAAATAAAGGATAGGCACACTTTATTCACAGTAAGGCAAAAGTAGGCTTCCAGTTGTTCATATGCAAAATAATACAATTAATAGATAACTACACACAAATAAATTCTGTTTCACATACTTGCAATTATAAACCTCCTTTTGCCCTGACCTGTGTATACGATGTATTTTCCGTATTTACACATATATTTACATGTAGCCAGTTACTGCCACCTAAAGAGGTGGAAGTGCCCTAATTTATCCCACATGTACATACCCTCACTTTCCTGGTGCCCAGAAAACATTCACTGAAACTAAAACAACTGCTGATCAAATCCCAAAACATATGTTATTTTTATTATGCAATTAGAAATTCTCAGCAAAAAATTTGTGTAAACACTTTTAAAATTAACAAGTTAAAACATTTAAGTATTATCATGAAAGCCTCCAATTAAAGGATATTATTTAGGAAATGGTTATATAGAAAATTATAATAATAAAAGATATTGAATGTAACCAACATTCAGACTCGAATGCGTTTGTTATTAAAGAGTGAAAATTACCAACAAAGCCCCCACTGAGTATGTCGCTAACGTGACGGCACCGCCTCCGAGGACAGCAGGGCACAGAAGTCGGCGGTCACTCAAACGAAGGGAGAACGGGAAGCAGCGCAGCAGCCAAGCCCTGATCAAACACACACACACACACACACACACACACGCAGTTAACTGCATACACCCTGCTTATCCCGACAGCAGGTGCCTCAGGTGGGCTCCTCCTCAGCCCCCAGGTGCACCCAGCGCCTGCACCCCCAGCTTTCCTGCAACTGCCTGAGCCGGCCCTCCTGCCTGTCTAACCGTCCTCATGCAGCAGCTGCTCCAAAGAACACCTGGCCAGCAGAATGTCCACCTCGGAGAGGGTGGCTCTGCAAGCCCAACGTGAACGGCAGGGACAAGGACACAGGCCAGAACAGACTAGAGTCAACACACGAAACCCTTCGGTGAGCCAACTGATGTGACAATCATGTGGACTGCGTTAAAAGATCCCTCCCTGCCATGCAGCTAGAACGGCCACCACAGCCTCGATTGCTGGAGCCTACCTTCCGAATGACCTTGCTGATCTCCGGGGTATTCGGGGTGTATAGGATTTGTCCGTGTAATATGGGTTTCAGGAAGGACCACACCAGGGCACCGTCTGGAGACTGCAGGATTTCCTGATAAAGCTTCAGGCAGAACGGGGCTGTCGCAATGTTTAAAAAAAAAAGGGTTACTCAAGACACCGGGAGCCCAGGAGCGGGGACCCTCACTTCCGAATCTGCATGCTCTGCCCTCAGCGCGCAGTCGAGGCAGCTCTGCACTTGGGCGGGACATGCAGCGGTGCTTGTTCCCCACGCTGCACTCGGGGCTCTTGTCCCCCGAGAAACTACAAGACACCACGCCCACGCCCACCATTTGAAGGAAAGGACAGCGTGGCCTGCACGGTTCCAACTAAGTCATCATGACAGCACTGAGCAGTGGGCAGGCCCCCTGAAGGTGAATGTTGTAATAAAAAGGGATGTCCCTGGTCTTCAGTGTAGGAAACACTCATCTCAACAATACAGTTCTGGGCCCAGAACAAGATGTTTTAATCGAGTTTTAGCTTTATCAGTGGCCACTGTGTTTTCTTGGCTGCACCACAGAGAGCTGGTGAACTTCCTACTTTGATGCAGGGATCGCCTCGTGTCCACCCAGATCCCCCATCCCTCACAGGGGGTCCCTCATGGGGGCGCCTGCCCTGGCCGCTGCGCAGTGGGAGCTGCCTCGACTCCACCCACAGAGGCCTCATGGAGGCGGAGCCTCCATCACCCCAGAGATTTGTAACCCAGCAGAATGGGGTCTGAAGCTGGCGATGAGAGCTTCCTGTCACTAGTTCACTGTCCCCTGCAGAGAACATTTAGAATGGAAATATTATCTTAGCTTTAAAGTCCTAATTCCTAACACCTAGGACGTGAAGAGTACTGCTGTGAATATTTCCAGTATTCACTTTACCTTCCAAATTCACCATTTAAAAAGAAAAGACAAGTTCCTTCTATTCAAAAGTACTATAAAATTGATAGAGACAATCCCATAAAATATAAATTAAGAGTAGGACTACACGATGAATTTTAATGCATGAATTCTAGAGCTGGCCCTTACTGTTATTTTAACAACTTACACTTTAAGTTATACTGACTTTGATTTCAGAAAAGACATAATCGCATGTGTGTGCCAGCACCATGTCAGCGTTCGGCAGCCTCCCACCCACGAAGGACACTTCGCTGAGAGTCTCTGTCACACATGGGTGCTGCATTTTGTCAAACGCTCTTTCTGCGTCTATGAATGCGATTGTATGCCTCTCACCTCTCATTTTGTGGTGTATCATGATCTTTGATTTGCAGGTATGGAACCAACCTCGCATACCCGGGATAAATCCCACTTGATCATGATGTTATTCTTTTTAATGCTTTGCCAAGTCAGTGTGTTAATATTCCATTGATGATTTCTGCACCTATGTTGCCAGAGGGACACTAGGCTTACAGGGGTTGGTGGGGAGATCACTCTGTAAGTTACACAAGGGTTTCACCACTGTGCTGTATACCTGAAACTAACGTGACGTCGGTGCCTGGAACTTTAAGCCCCCATGAAGAGACAGGGCAAAAGGCAGAGGGTGCGGCAGGAGCTCCCTGCCCCCCTTCCACACAGAGGGCTCCATACAGAGCAAAGCTAACGATCGACGTGCAAGTCACTCTGAACAAGCGTGGCTTGCTGTTCGCTTACTTGAGTCTTTAGGAATGTTGAACTTTTCCTTGTCATCTCCCAGGAGTTCGTTAACTCTGGGCAAGTGCAAAAACAAGTGCGAGCTGCTAAGGAAAGATGCTTCCTCCTTGCAAACCATCTTCATCACCGCCTGGAAGGAGCCGAAGGCAGAGCTCCTGGCCTGGTCACTGAGTGGCACCTGGGAACGTGTGAGAAACGCACTTCAGTGATGCAGGGACTCACTGCAATGCCCTCCCAGAGCGCAGTGCCCTCTCCCACAGAATATTCATGGGCTGGGCAGGCTGGGGGACGCAGGCTGGGCTGCGGTCCTGCTGTTCCTGCCGGCCCAGCTGCCCAGGGAGAAGGCAGACGTCATCCCATACCAGCAAACCCTTGTCCAGTGGCAAGTCACTGACCCATAAACAGGCACTGACTCAGACTGCAGTCCGTGTGCCATCCAAGACACGGTCTGTGTGTTGCTGCTGCCTAACTGCCTGGACCCTGAGCGTCTCTCCAAACTGCCCCTTGCTGACAGAAGCACGGAGGCCCCACCACCAGGCAGCCAGAAGGCTCCGCCGTCCACCGCATCCACACCCCCTGTCTGCACACTCCCACACCACTCCCCTCCCCGGGTCCGTCCCCCACAGAGGGTTCAAGCAAAGACCAGTGTTCTGCCACTGACCTCACTGCAGTGTGTTTGTATTCCCAGAAATGATCTGCAATTTGTAAGCCAATTATTTGTATGTAAATAAATGTTTTAAGGCTTTTTAAGGCAATTTACTCTCTGAATTAAGTTCAATGGCCCCTGGAATCTCACTTGTGCTGACAAGTGAGAGGGACTTCCGGTTTCCCAGGCCACTCGTGAACTGCCCTGAGGGGGTGTGCAGGCCCACAGGCTCCTCTCACTGGTGCTCAGGAGATGCCAGACCTCACTCTGTCACGCTGTCGCCTCCAGAGCCCTTAGAAGGCAACCCTGTCCCTGTGTGCTGCTGCCTGGGGCAGAGGTGGGTGTTGGAGGAGAAGCGCAGGTGAAAGGGACAGGCCAGCACACCGGGCTGTGTCCCTGAGGCCCAGAACACAGATGCACCTGTTGGAAGTCAGACACATCCAGCAAGGCTGTGATTTTTGACGAGTGAAGGAACTCGGGGAGGTGTTCCAGGACGTGGCTGGCTCTGGGGAGCAGGTGGCTGAGCCTGGAGACGACGTCCAACAGGGAGCGGAGCATGCGGTTGGCCTCCGCCGGTATCAGCATCTGGAAGGAAAAACACGAGGGGAAATGAGGCCACAGGGTTAAAGCTCACATGCCTCCTCTGAGCAGGAACTGGTAACGCGTCGCCCAAAGTGTGTGTGACCTGGTGCTGCAACTGAAATCGTTTCAGAACGTTGTTCTGAGTCTCTCCAGCACCAAAGGGGACATTTCAGGAGAGGATCGGGGTAGGACAATTCCTGTGTGTGAGACAAGTTCAGCCCTGCTGCTTCCCAGGGTTCCGACGGGCCCACAGGCTTGGGGACAGGGCTCACTGTTGGGGCTATTGGCTGAGGACACTGAGGCCTGGGCGGTCCCCTCACAGTGAGGAAGGGCAGGGCGGGGGCTTAACCTCAGAAACGTCAGTGTGCTCTGACACCACCCCCCACTCCACCCCCGTGGGGCCACTTAGCAGCTGCTCGGGAGAGGGAGCCCTCACAGGCAGGGGTCTCCCTGCCCGCCATGGATGTTCTTGTGGCCACAGGGACAAGAAGGGTTGGCAGTGTCGGCTGCTCACTAAGTGCATGTAAGACAGACAGGCAGACAAGGAAACACAGCCTCCTCCTGGAGAGGGAGAATCCCAGCCCCCCCCGCCCCCAGTCCTCAGACCAGCCACAGCCCCGCCATTACCACTCCACTTCGGCCCCTTCGGCTCAGTGGCCACAGCTGCCTGCTGCCCCTTGCTGTCCTGCCTACAGCCGAGGCCATGGCCCACCTCCCACAGATGAGCTCGGCCAACGATGCCCAGGCTCCCTCGGTGGGACAGCAGGGACAGCCCGGCAGGAGGAACGCCCTGCCTCACTTTGGTCACCAGTGCCTCCCACCTTCCCAAGGCAGCGGCCCCGGAGAAGTGGGCCGGAGGCCCCAATTCACAGTGGGCAAGGCAGGGGCTGTCACCGCGCTGGAGACCAGGTGAGCGCACCAACTGACATGGCCAACTGTGCTCTGCAGAGAGCTCAGTAGCACCCGCGCAGTCTGAGAGCGAGCCGGGCCACGCCAGCATCTGCTGCGATGGCACCTCTCACCCAGGGCCGAGGGCGGGGCTAAGCAGGCACCCAGGACCTTGTGTCTAGAAGTTTCCTGATGGTAACCAGGAGCTGTTGCGAATGACTGTGTTGTTTCCTGTGTCTGGGAGACGGACCCCCACCCCGTGTCGCATCCTTGTCACAACCCTGCTGGCCCATGTGTGCGTACGAGAGTGACAGCCAAGACGTGGCTCAGCAGTGCGCTGCACGTAGTCCCAGACGTGAGGCAGGCAGGGGGGCTGCGGGGGTGCCAGACACAAAACTGAGCTGGTCTGCACATTAGCCGGGAGCAGGGTCCCCCGGGAGAGAGGCAGTCTTGCCAAACACAGGGACACAGGACATGCTCATCCTCCTACTTCTGGGTCTAAAATGGACACAATCTGCACACTGACCTTTGGGGCAGGGAGGGCGTGTCATGTGTCGTGTGTGCAGTCACAGAAGTGGGGGGTGACCGCAGAGGAAACTGGGCAGGGATGGCAAGTCCACCTTTTCCTGATGCTCCAAACTGCTCCCCCAGTGAGTGCTCCCCCAGGCCTGGAGCGCCCAACGCCTCCGCGCTGATCTCTAAGTAGCCTGATGCTGCCGGGATCAATCTCTGGGAAGTGACCTAGAGCAAGACCAGTGCCTAAGGTAGGGGGTGGGGTTTCTGCAAACTTAAGTAAAGATTCCCGCAGTGGAGGCCAGAAGATGGGGAAGCTTCTGGAAGAGGCAAGCCGAGAATGGAGGACTAGGCTAGGGACGGCACACAGCCGCTGCTCTTTGTGAAGGGTGTGATCCAGCTTCCCCGTGGGCTGTCCACGCCCACACCCACCCCTGTCCACTGTTCCCACATTCCTTGCAGCCTTTGGGCACCTGCAGCCCCTGACCCTGCCCTCCCTGCAAGGTTCACAGGGGCCTGGGCCTGCTCCCTGGTGGGCACTCTCCGTCTGCATGCCTCCTCCAGTGGGCGTGTCACCCTCAGGGGACAGAGCCTGTGGGGCCAAGGAGGGTGGCTGCAGGCCCTGCCTCAGAGGGCAGCAGGAGGGGCTGGCAGACCCCAGTGTCCCCGGACTCTCACCTCAGGAGGCTGGGCCTTGAAGAAAAGGAGCCTGCAGGGAACCCGGGGGTGTTTTTCACTGCTGGACCTTCTGTACTGAGTAGCTGCACTCCCACCAGTGCTGTCGGATGTCCTGATGGGCAGACGCCTCAAGTCCCCAGACACCCCTCGGTCCCAGGCCCCACCCTGGAGTCTACACACAGGAGACAACAAGGGTGGCCGAGGCCAGCGCTCTGTTCCCTGCGGTCCTCACTGCTGTCTACTCATCTCTGCACCATGAATGCGGCCCCAACAGACACCCACGGGGGCGTCCCCCCAGCCATCACCCCCGTACCTTGTAAATGAAGCCACGGAGGTCCAGGTGCTGGCCCATGGACACCAGCAGGGAGTAGACAGCAGCCCCGGACAGGCCACACAGCTCCTTCACGGCCAGTGTGGACTGCTCACCCTCCGGGAAGGCCAGCAGGAGACGCAGGGTGTCCTCGTCACACCTCCCAGAAAGAGCCACCTCCAGGGCGCCCGACAGGACCTAGCCGAAGCACAAGGGTCAGACGGGACACACCGAGAGCTGCGGCCCGACTCCCCGAGGAGCCCCTAAGCCGGTCTCCCAGAATGTCAAAGACCTCCGGGAGCCGCACCAGCCCAGCCTCTGCTCTGGTTCCCAAGTTCTGAATGGAGCCATCTCAGAAATGCCACGGAGCTCAAGCCATCTGCCCCTTCTGCTGACGCAGAGTGAGACCGCTGTCCAGCACTCACTGGACCCCTCCTCCCTCAGGGAAGCTCCTGGAAGGTGTGCCCCTGTCTTTCCTTCACGTTGAGTCTCAGCCTTCACTCCTTTCTGTTACCCAAGTCAAACTGTGTCTTTCCTCCTCCATCAGTTTGGTCCCCAAACTGAAACCAGACTTCTGAGCTTGCTACCATTTTTTGGAGAGGAAAAGTGAATGGAGCCCGAGGGGTGCTGGGGACACCCGTGTCCACTCTGGTTTATCCGTGCCAATGCGCCGTCATGCGGCTGCACTGCATCTCCGTGTGGGCACACTGTCAGTGAGCGACTTTCATGACGAGTCGAGGGAGGCCCTCAGAGACCATAACCCAGAGAGTGGCCGAACTCACGGGGCGCTTTCACACCACGTCACACACACCCCACTGACCGAGGCACGGACAGCGTGCCAGTCCGGGCCCTCCACCGAAACAGAGCCAGGAGGGCGGGCACCGGCAGTGCCGAGGTTTCCGTGGGCAGCAGGCCTGTCCACACCTGCTGTGTAGCCTTGGTCTTGGCCGCCATCTGCACGTCCCCGACCCTCCCCACTAGGGTCCTATTTGACACATCCCTCAGAATTTAGAGCCCTGGCAAAAAAGGTTATCTTTAAAAACTGTGCGCCCTTCTTTTAAGCGAGCAGGGGAGGCCCCCCATGGGCCCCCAGCAACTGCACAGGCGCGCTGCACACAGGAGCGCGGGGCGGCCACTGCCCTGCCCTTCCGTACCCCGCCGCTCCTCGTCACCTCTCCACCTCTCTCTATGCCCACTCTTCTCATCCGAAGGTGCCCGGGGCCCGTGGACACAGATGGGGAACAAAGAAGCCAAGGTAACACCTGCTCTGTCGGCTGGAAAGACCACCTGTGAGTCCTCTTTAAAGTGAACAGGCGTCTTTCAACTTGGGCTTTGCTGAGGCTGACCCGGCCAGTTATTGGACACACAAGTGCCATGTGCTGGACGCCCTTTCCCGGTGGGAAGAGGGTGAGGAGCCCAGGAGGCAGGGCAGACAGCAGGTGGGCTGGCACACACGCACCCCCGTGCACACCTGTGCACACCACATGCCACAGACTAACCTACTTGGGTTCAAAGTCTCACCCAGAAATGAAGGTGACCCGGGGAGAGCATCTGCGTGTTCAGCAGGAGGCAAAACCCTGTGTTCAAAGAAGCACCAGGGAGGGGACTGGGCTTTGCCCAGCTGGTACTTCTGGACTCAGAAGGCAGTGAGGGGACTGCTGGCTATCCCCTGCCGAACTGTGACCAGAACGCAAGGCTGACAGGGAGACAGACATAGGGACTGGAAACAGGGAGGGAGCCAGCCACATCAGAGGTTGAAAGCGCGAAGCAAGTGAGGCCAGGGCCGCGGCTTCAGAAGTTGGTCTCTTGTGCGAAGACGTGCCTCTCCACTCCCAGTGCCCACCGGTTCCCAGCTGTGCGATGCTGGACGGCCCGACAGGGCGGGGGTCCCGGGGGAGCAAGCTCGGGACCCTTCCAAAGGACCGGTGCCACATGGCAGGAAGATGGTGGGGGTGCGACAGAAGGATCTAGAAGGGCCAGCTGCTGCTGCATCCATGTGACCTCCCGGAGGCCCGAACGTCCATGAGCCTCAGCTCCTTCGTCCTCATGCAGAAGCCATGGCAGACCAGACAGGACCACAGGGAGAACTAAACACAGGTTCTGCGAGGCACCTGGCTCGGGACAGCGGGGCTGGAAGGAGGTGGGCGCTGGCAGGCCAAGAGTCCCGAGGGACAGCCACAGCTCCTGCCTGGCCCCTCTGTCTCCGCGTCTGGGACTCTCTGTCTTTTCTGGCCTCAGGCAGGACCACAGTTCCACACCCACCCACAGGCAGGACCTCGGGCAGCACACCAGCCACGGAGGTATGAAGAGGCTGTCCGTGTTACTTCCTACGGCAAGCTTTGGAAATGACCAGCAGACCCAGGGTCAGTCCCTGGGTGAATCCTGACCACCAGCAGGCCTGGGGACCTGCTGAGACGGATTCACAAGTGACTGAAGTCCGGCGGCAAAGTCCAGGGAGGCAGTAGCGGAAGTGACCTCACACAGCACAGCGGCGCTGCCTGCTGGTCACCTGGCCCTCCTAGAAGTAACCTGAGCCCCGAAGGGGCATTTCCTCGTGAACATAACTGCCCAGCCCAGGGCCTGTGGACACACTTCGCAGTCAAAGCCAGTAAGCTGTCCGTTTACTCTTGTGGCAGGAGTGCCCCCAATGACCACGCTGTGCCACCACGTGGGGCCAACGACGCTCACTGTCGAGGTGGCAGAGGAAGAGCTGTGATTAGCCTCCACACCAGCCTCCTCGCTGCACCACCCTCCCCGGTAGGACACTCGTGACACCCAGTGGCCGGCGCCCACTCAGGCAGCTGCATCAGCCCCGAGATTACAGGGGAGTGAGCCGGCCCACACCCTGTGGTCTGCAGGCTCCAGACCGAAACTGCCCCTCCCCACACATGTGCATCTGTCACCCTGATGGGCTCACTGAGTCACCCGTCACCCTCCATGGACACTCCAGGTCCCCACACCCCACCTCCATCACCCGAACCCCGGACCCCAGTGCCCTGGAGGCGCCTGGCTGTCACCGCTCACTGCTGTCACTGGGAGCCCCGCACTACGGTCCGGCCGCACAGGCACTCTCTGCCCAAGGGAAGTCACAGCCCGCATTCAGCTGCTCTCAGACGTGCTAGTTTTGTGCGTTTCTGAGAACCATGCGACCCCTCTGCCCGGGCAGCCCTGGGTGCTGTGCAGAGGGGCTAAGAACCTGGAATAAGAGCCGCCGCCAACTGTAGTCTTTCTTCCCCTCGTGAGGTCAAGGACAGTCTTTGGTCCTGGCCCTGCAGTCTCATCTCCTTTCTGCCTCCAAGGGGCACCACTCCCAGCAGCTCGACCCCCACCACAGAGGGGAGAGGGGGTTGATGGGCCGGAAGCTCAGGTGGCCGAGGGCTGAAGCAGCCACACGAACCTGTGAGCGGGAAATGTTTGCTTCCAAAATACTGCTGATTGTTTCATCTGAGATGTGGATGGATCGAAGTGCCTCAGTTACCTCGGTGATGTTCCTCATCAAATCTCTCACTTTCATGTCTGGAGACAACAAAAGAAACAATGAAATAGCCCATGATCGGGCTGTTACTGCAGAAGCAGACTTCGACGGTGACCCTGCAGGCTACAGGAGCCTCGGCGGTGACAGACTGGAGGTCCAGTCTCAGGAACTCGCCCCAGGCAGGAGCTCCATCGCTCACCCTGGGGGCCAGCCACGCCCCGGAGAGGGGCATCTCTGCTCCCCTGCTCTATCTCGGGGGCCTGTGTGTCTAACGTTTGCTCCAGGAAGATGTTTGCCAAGGGAGCAGTGACCACAGGCCACCAGACCCCCACCCGCATCTACTTGTGTCACTTCTCACCCCCAGAGGAAGACCCGGGAGGATCTGCAGCAGCCTTCGGATTTGGCTGGTGAGGCCACCAGGCCTGGAGGGGGCAGGCGGCCGGTCCGGGGGCCGGGCCAGGGTGCGACCAGACCACCAGAGGACCCCCTCCTGTCCCCGACTGCAGTCCTGGGTCTCAGAGCTTGCCTCCTCACCCCGGTGCATCAGATGAGCCACGCTCTAATTGTTACTGATCTCGACAGCATGGCTTTTCCTTTACAGGTTTCCTTTCAGTCACATTTCTGTGTGACAAACTAAATTGCATTTTTAATCACATGGATGTGGAGGAAGCAAACACTTACCCGCAATTACCGTGAAATTGCTAAGAAACGCCATAATAGAAGTCCCGGAAAACAAAGTCTCTTCAAGTCTTTGGGCCAACCTAAAACGGCAGAAAACTAAAGCGTGTTTACACAGGATGAAACGACAGACACTGTGCTGGGTGAGTGACACTGCCCGGCGCCCCGGGGCACTCGAGGCCACCAGGTGGCATCTCACAAGGCCTCGTGGGCAGCCCAGCACTGTGTCCCCGGTGCTGTGTGTGTGCACCCCCAGACACCACAACTCCCAGCTCTGCTCCTCAGGGCTCACCAGGCTGAGGAGTCTAGGGAAGGAGGGAGCATCACAAGCAGCTGCCCATGAGGGTGGATGGAGTGGACAGGGCAGACCACGGATGTCTGAGGACTCAGGACCCCAAGAAGTCAGAGCTCCGGTGAACGGGCCGCCGGCACAGTAGAGTGCCCAACGTCCCCCCAGGGTTCACACTTGGAGAACAAGGAACAGAATCAACCCCACACAAGGAAGTAATTGAAAGATCTTGTATGAGCCTCGACACACTCAACACGGCAGCGTCATCTTGGTCCCAACACCCCGACCTGAGACCCCCATCGCCGACGAAGCCTTAGAGCTGACGCTGCGCACCTCACAACTGAAGGGTTGGAGCGCAGTGTGGTTCAGAAACCACCCACATTAACACAGGTGCTGAAGGGGGCGGCACACTGCCATCTAAAGTGCATCACTGAAGGGCGTGAGCCAGCCCATCCCTGAGGGAGACCTGGGAGCAGCGGGCCCCCGGGGACGTACTTGAACAGATGCTGCGGGGCCCAGTCCAGCGCAGAAGCACAGGCACAGCCCTGGGCGCTGGTGTGCAGCAAGCTGCTCCTGAGGTGCTCCACGGCAAGGGAGAGGTTCCTGCCGAGACCTTCGCAGCTGAGCACACGGGGCGAGGACCACGTCTCCCTCAGCTCCTGGAAGACACCGCAGCGCTGTGGTCAGAAGGAAGCTCGCGTCTGCTTCCCGGGGCAGCGTGCCCACACTGTGGGCTCTCAGCATGTTTTCCCAGAACCAGAGAGCCGGTGGGCCCTCAGCTCTGGGAACACAGGTCGCGTGCAGGAAGCCCCGGCCCAGGCTCTGCTCAGGGGCCCTCCTCGAAGGGAGGAGCCTCCAGCTCAACCAGTGGTCACTATGTGCAAATCAAATTGTCTCCACATTCTGCTATTCCTGCTCTGGATTTCATCCTTAAATTCAACGTGATTCCGACATCTGTACTGGGGAGGAGGAAAGGGGCGCTCCAGCACGAGACCATGGGGGGGCCAGGTGGGAGCAGCCATGGGGAGGCTGCAGGTCAGCCTCTTCTCCAGGGTGATCCCATTGAGGGCCAGTCAGGCAGGGGCGCTGTCTGCCCTGCAGGCACAGCGCTGCTCCCCTGGGCCCGCAGTACAGGCTGCGGGGGTGGCAGGAGGCCCCCATCCAGCCTGGAGGTCCAGCCACCAGCTCCAGTTCGGCTCCTCCCAGCAGTGTGGGACTGGCCAGGCATCTGTCGTTTGTGGAAGCAATTTCTGGCCCTCATGCAGCTCCACACTGTGACTCTCCACTGCCTCGAGCAAAGAGTGAGGAGCTCGCAGTGAAGCTACCTCACAGCCGTCCAATCAGCCAAGACGCTCCCTTGGAGGGGAGTCCGTGCTGACAGCGGGAAAGCCAGGTGGATGTGGAGACTGGGAGAATGACCATGCCACTGTGCCTGCAGCCTGCCCAACTGTCTGGGCCCCTCCTGCCCCTCCTCCTGGACAGGATGTGCGCTGAGAGCGATCAGAGGGGCCTGGGATCACAGACCCACCCCCGGAGCTCTGCATCCTGAGATAAGTTCTTCTGTTTGTAACATCAGACAGACTCCTGCTTTTCATCCATACTCCCCTGGCTGTTAGCAGCCTGATCACTGACAATCGTGTAATAATCCGAGTGATGGGTACAGTCTTCACGCAGTTGTTAAGAAGCCAGAGGACCTCGCCTGTGTTCCTACTGTGAACTTCACTCGGCACTCGAAGCCGTGCACCGGGGCTCTGTGCTGTGCTGCTTTCTGTCTTTACCCACACTCACTAGCTGACAAAGACCTGTACAACCTGGGAATTCGGGTCTCACAGCCCCAGTGCCTGAGAAGACTGAGGACAAAGTGCTGGGCAGCAAAGCCACTCTCTACAGGCCCGGGGCCTCCTGTCCACACAGACCGCGAAGCCACACCAGGCTGAGGACTCGGCCCTCAGCCCCCACACCCACTCCAGCTCATGGCTTCACAGATGAGTGGTGGGACTGCCTCTGCTCTCTCGACTTCCCACGCAAACCCGCCTTTCACTGCACAGACAATTAGGCGGAGTTACCCTAACACAGAAGCAATGCACAATCTTCGGAACTAGATCAGGGAGCAAGGCAGGCCTTCGCCCAGGCCTGGGCAGATGCCGCCACGGCCCCTGTGGCCCGAGCAGGTCAGGCTGCCGCAGGCCCAGCAGTCATTAACCCGGGAGGGGGCCTGCCCCAGATAAACACCCCATCTCAGGTCCGGCTCTACACTGAAGCCCAGCCTGGACTCTGTTGGGCTCTTGTCCAAATTAACACAAAGGCCAGCACCACGTGGCTCTCACTAGCCTACGTGCTCCGGGCACTTGCCATGGGTTCAGGAAGTCAGAGCCCAGGATGGGCTGGTTAACCACAGGCTCTATGGGGACAAGTGTCTTCTTTGTACAAGTTGCCAGTGTCCCTGGTGCGAATGCTGCCACAGTGGCCTCGTTCCAGCTGCACCGTGAGTCCCTGAGCACAGGACTGGGAAGGGCGTGCAGCAGCGTGCAGCACAGCACTGTGCACACACGGCGGGCATGAGCCAGCACAGTGGCAGAGCCCAGCATGAACAGGCTGAAGTGACGAGGGGCTATGAGTCTGGAGTATCAGTCACCTTTTCAGCACCACTCAATCATATGTTTATACAATTTGATTTTAAAGATGTGTCTTCATAACAGCCAGCTTGCAAACTTCCTGAGAACTGTGCAGCCCACTCCCGGGAGTCTGGGCAGTCCACCAGGGCACCTTGGGGTAAACCCAAGAGGGGAGGGTGCCCCTCATTCTGCAGCCCTGACCACCGGCGTCCCCCAGCGCAGCACGGTCAGCAAGTGAGAGACAGCTTACCTGGTAGAGGTCACGCAGCACAGTGGCTGCTTGCAGAGCAGCTGCAACCAGCCGCGGCAGCCAGCCTGGCCTGCGCATCAGGGCGGCGCACAGCAGGTCCTCGGCCACGGACCGGTGCTCTGCCGGAAGAAGCACGCAGACAAGGGGTCAGCAGTGACTTGCTCCTCAACTAGCTGCACTCACAGTGTCATTCATACAGATCCAAAGTGACACAGACTCACAAAGACTCCTTAAATCACCCAAATGAACAATCGGAACTCGAGGGGAAAGCCGTGCCTTTGCGTCCCAAATGTAACCCGCCACCTCGTTTCTCCTGGGCCTCCCTGAATGTGCAAGAGTTCGTTTCCCTCCAGCACATCCCCAAACAGGCCCCCCTTTTGCACCTGGGGCGCCCCCTCACCTGGGCCTGCCCCGGGCAGTCCCGTTTCTGCCCTGGCCCCGAGCAGAGGCAAGAGCTGACACACAGGGTGAGGGAGGGCTCCCACCCAGCCTGCCTCTTGGGTCCCAGGGACAGCGTCCCCTCACTGCCCCATCCCTTTGGCCAGCCCCCTCTGAGGCTCCAAAGCCTTCCTCTCTGAGCCTGGCTCTTCCTAAAGGCAGATGGCTGTTAGGGGGCCAACCACAGCCCCCTACAGACGCCTCCCCGCCGGCTCCCGCCATGTCCTCCTGTCCCCCACAGCCCCTGCACCTCCTGCCCTGCAGCCACCTCCCCTCCACCTGCCTTTCAGAGCCCGCCCAGGGTGCCTGCAACCCAGCTGCATGGACACTACTGCACACGCATGTAGTGGGCCGGGTGGAGAAGGGCTCTGCATACTCCCTGTCCCAGGTCACTGCAAGAGCCCAGTACGTGGCTCCACACCTGCTCAGTGATTGGTAAATATTCTCCCATTGTTCATTATGGAAGATTAACTGTGTTTCATGAGGAACAAAACCTTTCATTTTTTTTCAATCAGAGAGTAAATTTAGGCCTGCTTCCTACAGTACCTCCACGTTTCTCAAAGGCACGTCACAAAACCAACACAACTGGGCACAGTGTAGAGTGCCTGAAACATACCAGAGTCTGCTCGTTAGTCTTGCTCCCGCTCTGACTTTGGAAGCTGAGCTCCTTGTGCAAAAACACAAAGTGCATCTCTAAGGGAACCTCTTAGGGAAACGCCACAGGGGCAGGTGATGCAGCATGTGTTCCCGGGCCGGCGGGCCCTCTGCCCCAGGAAGGCACAGCAGCACGGTCAGGAGCCCCACACCTACAGGGACTGTAAGGCTGGGCCACAGATGTCGTGGTGACGGGGGGAGTGCTGGGCCATTGGGAGACAGGGCCTGCCCCTGACACTGTCCTATAGCCACTGTTCAAGCCGCCGCTCTCGGGATTTCCACCCTCCACATTCTGGCCCTTCCATGTGCCTCTCCTTGCCTCCGAAGACCTGACTACATGTCCTGACCCACCTGCCACTGTCCCTCTGCTTGGCTTTGGGACACATTGGACCCTCTGCTCGGGCGGTCCAGCCCCACCACACTCTGGGCTTGCCCCTCCGCTCCTGCTGGCCCCTCAGACTGCAGCGAAGCCCGAGCACCTCCATCCACTCTCTGGGACACAGTTTGCCCATCTGGGAAACAAGGAGGTCAACACACTGAGCCACTGAGGCCCCCCCTGGGTTTGTGGGTCCTATGCTGCACACCCAGCTCTCCCACAGTCGTCGTGGCCTGGTCCACCCCAAACCCCCCTAGGGAGGTGCCTGAACCCTTCCTGGGCTTGCTGCCACCCCCCCAGTCCACTGAACAAATGGACAGTTTGATAAGGAGAGTGGAGTGACAGGCTGTTTCTCGGTCAGGCTTGAGGATGAATACTTGAGTTTTCTTAAAATGAAATGTAAAGATTCAGAATTAATTTCCTATTACTAATGTAATTTCAAGTAGGCTCTATGAATTTAGCAGCCGCAGCACAGAATGGCAAAATAAAGATAAATCCAGGTGCTAATAAGCATTTCATTCCTTTGAGTGCCATCACACTAGCTGACTGAAGGGTCAAAATGGTCATGCCTTCGGGCTGGGCTCAGATTGTCGGGTGAGGGCGGGTGAGGGAGGGTGTGTGACGGCCCCTGATGCCCCCGGACACCTCCACGTGGGGGCATCCGGCAGGTCTGGGTGCAGTTAGATGCTGGTGCTCTACCTTCACAGTGCTGCCAGTGAGCAACACCTCTGATGGGACACAGACTTTCTCCAAAAACAAAGCCTACATGACAAGTGGGGCTTCATTTGCACCCAAAGGGGTCTGCTGCCTCCTGCCACCCCTCACTCAGGTCTCCTGTTTCTTCGCCCGAAAGAGGAATCGATTCTCAGGTGTGAGGAGGCTTTTGTCCGGGAAGGGAAGTGGGCAGGTCCGAACCAAGCCCAGTCTACCCCTACACTCCTTGTTCACTGGTGAACAGCTCTCCAGAAGCTGGGAAGGGACAACTCAGGACTGTGTGCACATGGAGCCCCCCAGCGTCTCCAACCACAAGCCCAGCTTGGCCGGAGAGGAGACGCAGCGACACTCGGACAGAGTGGGGTGACCCTGAACGAGCAGCCCACCTGCCAGTGTGAGGAGCGCACGCAGAACCAGCATCTTTACTCTCCGCAGAGTCGCCGTGGCTGCTGGGGGCTGCGTGGGTGGCTGGGAGTCCTCACACAGTCCAGCAGCACTGAGGAGGAAAAAAGGGTGAGGTCATCACTGAGCCTCATGGGCAGGGATGTCCTTCCGGCTTCTGCGGGACCACCTACTGCACAAAGCAATGCAGATGTGCATGGGCGTGCGCCTCCAGAGCCCGGGGCCCCTGCCTCACGTCCAAGCACCCCTTCAGCTCCAGGGCACCGTGCACGCATCAGCGCAGAACTGAGCGTAACGATGACGCATGCTGTGGACAAGCGCTGACATCCTTGAGCTGATGGGGATGGTTTCCGCACATTCCCAGGAGCTCCAGGTAGGCTGGAGACTCTGTGGTCACCTGACACCTTTGAGGGTCGGGCGATGGTGCAGGAAACCAGACACAGGGTCGTGCATTGCTCAGGGCAACAGAGTGTGCAGGCCTGTGCTCAGCGGGCAGACAGGTGGCTGGGCCTAAAACCATGCTGGCGAGACTAGTCATTCCTGTACTGTGGTTTAGAGCTGCAGACAGACAAACACCCACGAGCAACCCTTCCCCTGGCCAGGAGAACGACATGGTCGTGTGCAGGGCCATCTATTAATCACCGTCAGGTAGCACACATTCTGGTGAGTTGTGGGGTTTTAACTGCTGCACTTCAGTCGGGCCAGAGTCGCTGTGGGCCCACCACTTCAGTCCCTGCACAGCCACCCAGGGCAGCTTTCCCATCTCACTCAGGACATGTGGTTATGAGTGGGACTGCCTGCAAGTGCCCCTTTCTGACCGCTCTCCTGACTTGGGACTTGCTTAGCCGGCCCCCAAACTCGGGAGGCCAGCCCCTCATCCTGGCCCTACTCCTGCGGTGGGGCCCTGACTGCAACGGGCATCCTACCACCCCCAGGGTTACCTCCAGCCTCCGCTCTAGCCAGCTTCAAAGGGACAAAAAGGAGGTTGGGAAAAAAACAATGCGACTCTTAGCTTTCAATTTTTGGAATTTTATCAATTCCAAATATGAATAAACATCACAGTAGATAAATTGAAAATATTTAAAGCCCTTAGTTATGATTAGTCATACATTAATTTGAATTATGATGGTGATATTCTATACACATAAATATTCAAAAACTAATTTTTGTTTTATATAAAATAGAATTTCATCATTACTTTCATAACCCGAAAATGTTTGAAAGTGTAATAAGTGATTATCTTTGCCAGGGCTGGGTTTCCATATGTTCCCTAGTTCAACAACAATCGTCAGTATGACTCACCTCGACGGCTTCGAGGGTCACTAAGGTTCATAAAGGGTCACTAAGACAAAAGCCACTCCAAGAGCACTCTGAGGCACCGGGCCCTATGCCACGGCTGGTGTGCATGAGCACCCCAGGGAACCGCGGGGCCTGGGCTGCACAGCAGCCACGCACCACACAGGACACTCACCTCACCTCCACAGCGGTGACCCCGCGGAAGCCCCTCAGCAGGAGAGACACTTTGTTCTCAGGGTTTTCCTTTCCCGAAAGGGGGACGAATGCTTCCCGAAGCTGTTCCATGAACTCCACTGTGCTTCCTGGAGGCAGAGTTACCCTCTCACCCTTTCCTGACTTTGTTAGGGTCAAGGTGAGGTTCAAGAGATCCATGATGTGAAGGTCACTGTCACTTAAACTCCAAGTGGCTTCTGGAGAATTCGCAGCTAAGTTACTGACTGAATTAATCAGGAAGCTTTCTAAAAGCAACCGAACAACTGAGACATTAGATGGCTGCTCTTGGCCTACCAGCTGAGTAAGAAGGCCAACATTAAAATTACCTTCTCTAGAAATGTTCCTGAGATAACCCAGAAAGGTAATAATACCTGCAGTCAACAAAGCTGTGTCATCAGGTGAACTCCCATTGGCTGTAACAAGAAATAATGTTTGTATCATTCTGAAGTATTCTTCATTTGCATATTTATGAAGCCAGTTTTTCATGACTGATGGAAAATCCTCAGTTATCTCTAATGCTTGTGATGAATTTGGGTTTTCCAAAAAATGGGCAAGTTGCAAAGTTATATTTAAAAGAGCCACTGAATTAATTGTTTGAATTTCTTTGTTAATTTCAGGGAACAGGCTGCTATTTAACTCACGGTTTAGATCTTTCATGGTTTGTTCAGACTTAAGCCACAGATCTTTAAAATTGTAAGCTGCTTCACGTTTTTTAAGAAAACTTGATAGTGCTTTCAAATTCCTTCCTATAAGGTTTGCATTCAGAAAGGTCATGAATAGAGAGTCTAGAGAGTGAGTATTATTTCCTAGGCTCTGGTCACCAGAAATCAATTTTATCAGCCTTTCCAAATAAAAGGAAATATTTCTAAGAGATGCCTCTGTGCCTTCATTGTTAAGGATCTTGTTTAAAGTAGCTAGTTTATCGAGAATGTTTCCATCTGGTGTAACTTTTGTAAAATTGACATTTTTAAGTGTTTCTATGATTTGTAAAGCAACCTGCTTTATAGGGCCACTAGGACAGAGTCCAGAGATGCTGCCATTGCTCTGATTTCCAGAAGATGGGACAAACAGTAACACCTTTTGCCAAACTCCCTGTACAGTTCTCACATGTCTTAACATGTGAGTTTTGACATGGAAGACTTCAGACAACTCCAGGAGGATGGAGGTCCAGTCCAATAATCCATGAATTGCGCAGGCTATTTTCCCAGTTACTTCTGTCCGTGCGCTTTCATTTGAACACTGTGAAATGTCATCTGGGGGAGAAAGGTGGAGGCTGTCAAGAATACTGGCCACTTTGCTATAGAAGTGGCCATGACAGGCTTCTAACTTTGAATTCTGTTGAAATCCAGAAGTTGTGTGATTCCAGCACCAAACCACAGGAAGGCAAGTTAAAACCTCTGCAAGGATGGTTGGTTTATCTGATACTAGTGCAATGGTGTCCAGAAGAGTTTTTATCACATCAGTGAAGTCTTCCTTGGTGACATTAGAAATGCTTGTGCCATGAAGGACCGTGAAGTTGTAGACGTCCTGGAGAATCTCTGTGATGTTGTGACCCAGGACTCCTCGCAGGAGCCTGGCAGCGTGAGGAAGGGCATAGTACAGGCCCACCACGACATTCACATCCTCTCGAGGAAACAGGCGGGACAGCCTCAGCAGGTGATTGACGTTCCAAGCATGGGAGCTGTCTACCAACTTTTCCATCAAGCCAACGAGCAAGTTGACCCCCAAGTTATCAGTACCTGGTCTACTGATATTCTTTAAAAAATCCATTAGGCTTTCCCCAACTTGTTCAAGTTGGTCTACCAGAAGGTCTATGTCTGTTTTCTTCAGGGCAAGCAGAAGAGAACTTACCTTCTTTAAAACTTTATGACTAACTGGATCTTCTGGAATATTGTGAGGGATGGAGGGCATCAAGGAGTTGAATATATCCCTAATCAACTGAATACCAAGACCCACAGCTTTCATTATTTCATGTGGAATTATTTTGGGCGAATTTTGGAGATCATGTGATAAGTTGAAGGCAAGGTAACTAGCTAAATGAAAAAGTGAATGGCCTAGATGACTTATATCCTTTTCCTTTGGACTGGTAGTAAATATACTTAAAAACATTTCAGCTTTAGAAGAAAGGTTATTTTCCAGAATGCTAGGAAAAATATCTCTCACAAGTTCTTGGATTTCTTTCCCCAGAGCTACTAAATGCAGCCAAATATTTTTAAATTGGCTAGGAATTTCATCTGACATTTCTATGGGTCGTAGAATTAACTCAGTAAAACGTTTCCAGGTGGGTGGAGATGCAAGCTCAAAGTCTCTGGTTAAGTTGCTGATAATCATCCTTACTTGGTTTGTGGAATCATTTAAAAGAGTTAATAACATCTCAAATTTTGGTACCTTTTCTTTTTCAAAGACTGCAGTAAGAATAACATGTAGAAATTCAGTTATGTTTTTAAAGTACATGTTCACACAACTTATATTTGACGTATTCAATGAACAGCCAGGTTCCACTGTATTCAACATCCAAGTAATGAGCATCAATGTCAAGTTAATTTTATTTTCCATGTCTCTGAAACTCCTCAGAACAGCCTGAAGGTGGTCTTGTGAAGCACTGGGGTTAGCTGTCCCATGGAGATGGTTTGTGCTATCCACCCATTTGATGCATCCTTTCAGACTGTTAAGGGTGTCCTCAGAGTAAAAGGAGGAATTTAACAGGGCCAAGATATGCAATGTCCTTTGTGAAGTATTTACATGTAACAAGCCATCTCCCAAAATAAACTCAGTAAGATTTTGGAAAATATCAGCACAGGACAATAAATCTTGGTCATGTGACACATTTCTAAGAAATAATATTGTTTCTCTAAGATCAGTAATGATAATTTCAAGGTGTACTTCATAATCTGTAAGGTTAGTTGAAAGAAAGTGATCTATCAAGTGTACGTGTCTATCTCTAGGTTCCGAGGTGTTGCTTAACTCCATGAAGACACCAAGCAGGGAAGAGAAAAACTCCCTGGTACCACTTGTGTTCAACAGAAATGCCTCCAGCTGACGCAGGACAGTTTCCACAGTGAAGAGGGATCGCTCAACTTGGTCCAGGGGTAGCGACTTGACTCTGACTAGTGCACCACGAAGCGCTGCCCAGGGACGCCTGGGAGTGAGAAACCCATCCCGGTCACCGAAGCCACCCCCCAGAGGTAGATTTTTAAGTAGCTGTAACATGAGTCTCACAGGGTGTTGGGTAGGAAATTGCCCCCAACAGCTTTCAGAAATTTTCACGTCACTTTCCAGTTCATCCAAAAACTGAGAGAGGCCAACATGGAGGGGAGTGAAGACATTTGTGTCCCACTGTAGCACCTGAGCCGTGCTTGCCCAGATCTCAGCCCACATCTGCAGCCATGAGACGAAGCAGTGCAGAGCCTTCACCTCACTGAACACGCCATCATGTGTGGAGAAGTTTGAAAGAACCTGTACCCATGGGAGAGTCAAGGGAGACTCCCCATCTGATGAATGATTCATAGCAGGAGTGCTTTTGTTATCCCGAGCAAAGCATTCGCTACCCAGCAAGGTTTCCGCTGAACCCTCCAAGAGCTGATTCATATACTGAAATAAAGAAACACGAAAATCTTCGTCTTCCATGAACAGCTGCTTGAGGCCTATCAAGGTCGTATGGGTCGCTTCCCACACTGGGCCCTCTGTAGACACCAGGAAGTGGGCTTGAAGCTCCAGAAAGTTAAAAACAGAAAGCAACTGTTGACAGTAAGATAACTCAGAAATCCCTCCAAGAAATTCTGTTGTCTCATATAAAAATGTAAATGCTCTACTGATGTTTTGAAAATTAAATTGTTTTATGATATCCAAAATGGGTTTTGAGGTTTGTGTAAGCGGAGACAGCAAAGACTCTCTACTCTGAATGCCCGGGAATTTATAAATATATTGGTAAAATGAAGAATACATCTGCAAAAGAAAAGTTGTATCTTTGTCCTTAAGGACATTTAGATATAAATGAGTCAATATTTTATCTACTTCTTGTTTTTGGGGTTCAGAAAGGGCTGAGAAGTGGTCAGATGCGTTCCTGACAGCATACACCGTGCCCAGAGCTTCTGAGACTTGTTCTGGCCCCAGAAATCCAAACTCATTAAGACTCCTTAGTATAGTTTCACTTAGATAAACAAAATCCATTTTCACAGCTGATGATTTAGGCCAATCCAAATGGAACAACTGAGAAAAGTTAAAGCTTTTACTCAGAATCCTCTCATTTCCTAGAACGGAAAAATTTAAAAGTGTAGACAAAGTTTCCAACTTAGCTCTGTCTCCTTTTGGAATGCCGTACATCCACGATTCCAGTAGTTTGGGATTAATTTCAAAAAGTATTGTTTCTATAAGTCTAAAAATATAGCTTGATTCCTTTTCGAGAGTTTTTATTTTTTCAATCATCTCTTTGCCAAATTCCCAAAGTTTCTGAGTGTCAGTACCAGATGGCTCTCTTTCTAAACCCTTTAAATGATTTACCCACACATGACTTGTATTTAGAATGGTCTCAGTGGGCCCACTGGGTGAGTTGAAAGAATTGGGCAATAACAATTTTTCCAAAAATTCCACAAATGACAAGAGAAAGTTCATTTGCTCATCTTCAAGTATATGAAACTTCTCCATCTTTAGAAGCTCCTTGGTGGAATTTAAGACCCTATAATGTTAAGAGAACCATATTAGTATCAGAAAAAAATAAAGACAAATTCAACTTACCAAGTTTTCAAGATAATACTCAAGACTTATAGTAAAAGATAAATAAAATATTTTCTAGACAATATGTTTTCCCAACAGGAATTAGTGTGAGCATTTAAAGTGTTTTAGGACTCCCATATTTAGCTTCAGACTTGATTGCTGCACCAAAAACAATGCATTTCATTTTATTCCATGAGTTGGTATGTATGGTTGTTGAAGATATATTTGCTATTTCTGCCGGAAGAACCTTAGGATTCAATTCCTATGAAATTTCAGAACATCTTGGCTGCAGAGGCTGTCCAAATAGCAGGGTGCATCAGGCACCGCCCACGTGGTTGAGGGACGCATTGGGAGCGCCCGTGCTAGAAGGCGATTTCCTGTGCTCTTTGGCCAATGCTGTGCCTCCGGCCGTCAGACACTCACTATGGCAGATGGCGTGCTTTCCCTCTGTGTGTCTGTTTTTAAAATACTCACCTTTAAAGTAAGAGTCCCCCCAGCAGGATCTCCGGGCTCAGACAAGCCCACACTCACTAACAGAAGGCCCCACCAGGGGAAGACTCAGGGCCTGCACATCCACCTTGACGCCCCTGGGCTCTTTGTGTCCAGACTTGAGAAAGATAAAGTGGCGCATCTCTCAGATGTGCATTAGTGCCCCCTCACCCACGGGGACTGGGGCAGCCCCTTCTCCACCCATGGACAGGCCGGTCCACAGGGAAACCTGAGGGTGGACTCAGTGCATGGGGTCCACAGACTCAGTAACACGCAGGCCTCTGTGGAGTGAGTCTGACCCAACCCTCAGATGTTCTGAGATCTCAGAAATGTAGGAAGCCCCCTACACCTATAATTCGTTATTTCTTCCTCTCTTACTTCAGGACTGCCTGGAGAAGTTGCACCCCATCACCGAGGCCGTGGTCAGCGTGGATCATGTTTGCGAACAGTCTGGGCAGCAAAAGTAGAAAATCCCAGATTTGGGGCTGTTGGTGAAGGCTTTCCAATTTCAATATCACCTCCTCTGTCTTATTGAGATCCATCTAACAACAAAAAAAAAACCACAAGAGTTTGCCTCTTTGGTTTTGATCAATTACATGATCCAGGGTGGGAGAGGCAAACGTGTGAAAGAAACTAGAACCCCAGGGAGCACGGACTATGCTGGGTATGTCAGTATTTTGAACCGGTAATATCTAAAACTGATTCAGTGAGGCTGGGTTTTTAAACCCTGTGCAGGCACGAACAGGAAAACAGAGAGGTCTGCTTTTGTAACGCGCTGCCCCGAGCTCTCAGACTGCTGTGGGATCAATCTTAGAGTTAAGATGGAACGCCCGCTGTGCGTAACCTCCACTCCGCTGCAGCCGCGGAGCCCAGCCACGTGCAGGGCAGATCGTCTACGACCGAACGCTTTCTCCACACCCGAAACCCCCGACCCCCGGTCTCACCCCCAGAAAGGCTGTTTTTGTGGCACAACTGATAGAATTCCAGTCTGGGGAACGCCGCATACAAAGTCGCGGCTAAAAGAGTATTTTGCCAACATGACCAGATGTCTTCCCTGGAGGCCGGGGGTGAGACTCAGGGAAAAAGGGAAAGACGCTCCTCCTGTGGAACGCAGAGCGCATTCTCCCAGGCCACGCTGTCTCTGCGGCCGGGTTTGGGCCTCACCGGGCGTTCAAGGGAACACCACCAAATGCCCCCGCGTCATCCCATGTGCCACGGGGACAAAATGTCCGCTGCTGACCATTCACTGAAACCGGGCCCTGAGGGCCTTTCCTGCAGTGTTTCCGTGTCTTTCCGGAGTCACAGTCCCCTCCCGGCTCTGGGACGCCCCCAGCCCAGCCCACGGGCGGCGCAGGCGCAGGAGCCGCAAACACGCTTCACTGCTGGGACTGCCCTGCTGAGCCAAAGGGGCTCCGCAGCCAGGCCGACACGCGGACCTCGCGGTCCCCAGGGACCCATTTCCAAACAGCGGGGTGCCTGGAATTGTGGGCCGGCCGGAAAAAAAAAACCCGAAGCGCACAAGGAGTGTGTGCCTTCAACCAATAAGATCCCGCCGGGGCGGGAACTTCCTTCCGAGTTCGGCGGGAACTTCCTTCCGAGTTCCTGCTTTAGTCCCCCTCCCGCTCCTTTCCCGGTTTGTTAAAGGACTCAGAGCCAGTGCATTCCAGTCAGAATGAACGGATATGGACGACCCCTTATTATCTCCACGCTTTCAATGTGCAGGACCCTTCTCTGAGCCCATCTGAGGTTCCGCCTGGGGCGCCGCAGAGACCCGTCTGGGGCTGCCCGGGGGCCGCGCTGGAGCTGTGCCCTGGGCGAGGCAGAGGGATGGCCAGACGCAGGACGCTGCGCCAGCCTCACATCCGTGAGGTCAAGGCCATGCCCCCGTCTCCCAGAACCTCCTGCCCCCAGACCGGATCCTCTTTCAGCGTATGTGCTTGGGGACTGCTTCCCCGGAACAGAGGAGACTGAAACCAGTGTTTCAACGCGACCGTCATGTCTCCGAAGGCCGGTTTCAAACTTGTGTCACGGTACTTACTGTTAAAAAACTGAAACCGCGAGGAGAACCTGCAATGAAGAAGATGTCGGACATATTAGTTCCCTCAGCCATCGGGACGCATTTGCTGAGCGCCTATTTTAGTTCCCAAATCAAACGTCCGGACCCTGAACCTGAGCCCAGAACAGGATTACACCCTACTTTCAAGTTCCAGAACACACTGATGTTAAGTGAATTCCTGGAAAATAACTGATAAACCACATTTCAATAGTTTGCAGAAAACGTACAATGTTATCAATCTCTAATTCCACGAGCATCATGAGCATTTAGGTTGGGACAAAGAAGGCGAAGGGAAAAGAAAGAAAAGGAAACAAATAAGGTTGAAGAAAAAAAGTGAAACAGATTTTTCAGACCCCGTGGGTATCTACAGAGAATTGAAAAGTTGGCTAGTGTAGAAAACCACACTTTGTTTTGAGCAGAGGAAGTTTCCTTTTACACAGATATGGGAAATGACTCAGACAGTAGGAAACTGAAAATCAACTGAAGATCAATTTCCTCTAAAAAAAAATTAGTTTTCCTTTAATGGAATGTTGAAATCTTACTTGAAAAACAAATTTGATAAAAATAGAATTGTTAGGTAGCAGTTAGGAGTGAGGGGCCAGAGAGGAAATAAAGGCAGGCCCCTCACCATTCCAGTCTAACAAAGAACATAACACAGGAGGTTAGAACCAAAAGGGACACCTGCCTCATCAGTTAAGTCAGTAGTGCCCAGCTCGTTCTCACATGATTGCTGGGTGTCCTGGGCATCACAAGGAGGAGGGATGAGTCCTGGAGACTGTGCTGAGAACAGGGGCTTCTGTAACCATCTCACTAAGACAAAGAGCCTTTACTAGCTGAGAAAGAAAGCCTTCCTAGCTGCACATTATTCCTACGGTTTAGAAGGGGGGAAAGAAGAGGAACCTAGAAGCCGACTAAGGTATATAACCCCTGAACCCCAGTAGTCAGCATACTTAGATTAGCTAAGTACCCACTTGTAGCCTTGGCCCAAGTTTACAGAACAAACTTACTGATAAGCTTACTAACAACTTTATTTCCTCTATATGTGGGCCATTTGGACTAGCCCGATGGCTGCTGGCAGCTTTGTGCTAGTGTGTGTATCAAAATTAAACTTGCCATCTCATTGCCACTATCAATGTTTGTCTCTTGCTTGTAGTATTTTCTTGTGAGTGAGACAAGAACTGGGAGGGGTTGGGGCAGGTGGCAGGGGGATCTCCTGACTCAGGTCTCTCTCTCCCCGTCTGTTACAGAATGATCCCACAACAGCGCCTAATATAAGAGCTCCATCATTTGGTCTTTGAAGCTATCCTGGTTTCTTGGTAAGGCCTTTGGTCCATTGTGAAATCTGTCCCACCTTGCTCCATCCTGCACAAAGGTATTGGTTCCTCTCTTAGGAATAATATATAATATCACCTTCATTCTGCTGCCAAACTTCTTATTCTACTTCCTCATATTACTCCATAAAGAGAAAAAATTTATATAAAAAGAAGAATTGGAAGTGAATACTTAGGGATACAAGATTTAGTAAATGAAAACAAACTTAATACTAACAAAGTTATTTGTTGTTTACATGAAATTCAAATTTATTTGAATGTCCTGCATTTTATTTGGCAACTCTGGATGGGGTTGTGTTTAAAAAGGGAGGGGCAGGATCACTGTGACCCCAACATACTGATGAAGCTTGTAGGCAATAACTGAGCTATGTAAAGATAAGCAATTACCCGCTCCCCACCCTTGAGGTCCAAACGTCCAAGACCAGAATTAAAGTGTTACCAACATAGAAAGACCTACCAGAAGGAGGAATCGAGTGATCAAGGTAGTGTGTGTGCGTGTATGTGTGTGTGCGCGCGCGTGCGCAAGGTGGGGTCAGATCTAAAAATAGAGGAAGAGGGAGTGAGAAAGGAAGCTCACAACCAAAGAAGGAGAAGGGAGAATGGAGAGAAGGGACCTGTGGAGCGAAGGCGAGGCTGGGCTGCAGCCTCCCCGAAGGTTGAGCCCAAGGTGCCGTCCCAGGGGAAGTGGTAGAAACCTAGCTTCACCCTCCACAAGTGTCTCTGGGCATTGGGCTCCTACATGGTGGGTGTGGTGAGGGGCCATTTCGCAGACAGGACTTCAAGGGCACTGTGGGTGCCCACAGCCTCGAGGGCCCAGCCCGAGCCTGAGTCCTGGTCTGGCATTGACAGTGGGAGAGAGGTACTTGCCTGGAGTCTTGGATCCTTCCACCCAAAGCTTTTTTAAGTTGGTGGCCTTGTCCATCACTTCACAAATTTCAGTGGCCAGGTCCTGCATGTCTTGTAAGAAGGCCAGGTCATCGATCGCCTTGTGATGGTCGGCTGAGTCTTGGAATGCGGAATAACTTAAAGCAAAGAGAATAGATGCTGCCAGGAGAACTCTTTACAGGAACGAGTGTCTGCAGCATTTTAAAGATTCTTGACACCAAATAGCAATTCATTTTCAACTAAACTTGCCCCCACCAACCTCCCTCAGGAGCCCGTTTTACTGGACTGTCATCCAGAATGGAAGCCATCCTTTCAATCCTTGGCCTATTTAAGCTGAGAGTCGCTCTCCATCCCTTTATTGCCATCTGTGAAGTTTAAGCACTTGACAGGCTCCTTAGTCATGCCATGCTTTCTCACTCCTCTCTCACACAAGACACAGCCCACCCTGCACAAGGTGCTGGGAATAAGCACCCCGGTGACCAGAGCAGGTGCTGCTCACTGTCCCTGCCTGTGGAGGAGGCAGGAGATGAGGACACATATGTGGCTCACAAGTGTGGGCCGAAGTAGACATCAGGAGGAAATCTGTGAGACTCGCTGAGATAGGACATGAGTGGAAAAGTCTGCTGCTGTTGGGTGGGAATCTGAGAACACAAACCAGCTGGCCAGTGGGAAGAGGCAGGTGGTGGGCCGATCATTGGGAGACAGGCTCAATGCCCAGAGGTGGAGCAGCTGAGGACAGAGGGGTGTGAGGAGTGCCCACCGGACATAGCCCCAGTCGTGGGGAACACTGCCCAGAGGTGGGGAGCTGGGGTGGGCCCCACCAGGGCCACCTGGTCTAGCTGCAGGGGGGAAGCTGACTCAGAAGAACAGGGTAACCAGTTATGGGGCCAGGCCTGCCCTGAAAGGGGACAGAGAGGACCTGTAACAACCTGGACATAGGGGTGTGAACCAGGTCTTTGATTGCTGCATCCCTGAGGCATGCTGACTGCTGGGCCTGGGGGAGCCTGGGGGAACCTCCCAGGGCCAGTCTCCTTCTAAGCCTGGCCCCACGGGGCTTCTGACAGAGGACCCTCGACCAACCTCAAGGTGTGGGGAAAATGCAGCCTGTGTGATTCTGATTGGAAAATGGTGATACAGGCACTAGGATAAGGGGAAATTACTTTTCTTACTAGTAAACAAGAGAAAATGTTCTCACAGCCTTTGAAATCAGTGGCCCACCCGGTCTACACCCAATCTCAAATGCGGTGGGGATTCATGTTTAATCAGTAAGAAGCAGTGGATCCAAAATAAACTAGAAAGTCCTTTCGGAAGATGCTGCGAGCTTATTAAAGTAAGTAGGTGTTCAATTACATTTACTATAACCAGGAAGAAAAAGGGGGAAATGAGGGAAATTTTTCTTGATTAGAAGGTTATAAAACCTATTGGATTTTTTTCCTTTATTTCACAAATTAGAGAACACTGAGAAAATGAAGCACCAGCTGTCAGCAGGGGAACCCACCACGAGACAACGACAAAGCCTGCACCACCCCTCCCACGAACGTTAATGTTCACCATCTATAATGAAGCCAGCGCAGGCTCAACAAACATTGCTGATGAGTAAAATCAATTCAGTGGCTCTCAGAGCACAGTCCACTTAAAGATGCAAAGATGAGGCCCAGAGAATCAAAGAGAATTTCCTAAAACCAACGAGACAAACACGGCACAGCCAGGTCCAGGCCAAGCCAGCCAAGCACTGGGCCTGTCCCCTGCCCCACACTGCACCCAAATCTCACCTCTGAAAGCATGTGGCCTTCACCTTGATGGGTGAGAATTCCAAAAGCACAACACAGAGTCAGTCATTGCCCTTGTCGTGAGCTCATACTGAAAAATGAGAGTAATCATTTTGTAAAGGACCCCTCGAAGGGATGAATCAAGATGCACGTTCTCCTGGCTCTGTCTCCCATGGGGCTCTGGGGTGGGGAGCACAGAATTATCGGGTGACAGGCCTGAGGCCACTCACAGTGACATTCCCTGTGAAAGGAATTGGTGGTATGTCCTTATTCTCTGTCATTTCCAAAGTGCCTTAATGTGTTCCTCAGACAGGATTGAGAACTAAACTAAAATGAAGATGTTTAGAGCCGAAAACTATGCAGAAAACCCTGGATTAAATACTGAAGAGAGAGAGCGACGGAGACCAGGCCCGCGGAGCCCCAGGGAGTCCCCAGCGCCGGAGCAGGGTTTGGGCAGGGAGCAACTTCCTCCTCCCCAGTCCGGCTCTTTCTCTGGTCTTTTATGAGTAATGAGAGGAGTTACAAAGAAAAGGCCGAACAAAGAAGATTAGAATGGATGGGAACAAGAAAAGGCCACTTGGCAGGTGACTGAACTTCTCTCTCAGCCCTCAAACTAGTAATGAAGCCACTTTCTCACAGGGCAGGGACCCAAACAAAGAAGAGCACCTGACACTGGAAACAACAGTAAGAAAATGCGTCCAGGCAAGAAAGGAGGAAGATAAGCTGAATCTTCAGATGACATAATCGTGTGTGTAAAAGGTCCTAAAGGATACAATAGAAAGCTACTAGAACTGATCATCCACACTTAAAAAAATTTTAAACAATACCAGAAAACATGAACTTAGAAACAGATCAGTACAAAAAAACATTCTGAGAGAATTAAAAAATACAAACAGTTAAGTGGAGAACTATATCATGGTCATTAAAATACTCAATGTTGTTAAAATAGCAATTCTTTCCCAGCTTAATCTACAAGCTAATTGTAATCCCCTGGGACAACTGGACAACCACATTCAAAAGAAGGGACCCTTTCCTCACACCATACACAAAATTTAGCTCAAAGGGATCACAGACCAAATGTAGGATCTAAAATGATAAAGTTCTTAGAAGAAAACATAGGAGGAAATCTTCACAGTCATGAATTAGGCAAAGCCTTTTTAATATGACAGCTAAAACATAAGCAACAAAAGAAAAAATAAGTGAGACTTCATCAAAATTAAAAACTGTGCGTCAGCGGATACAACCCAAAAGACAGAAATACAACCCAAAAGAAAGACAACCCAAAAATGGGGGGTGGGAAAGTACAAATCATATTTTTGAACAAAACTGGTATTAACATAAAACAAATTATGTTGGCGAGAAATGTACAGGAAAAAAACAACACAACACACCCAATGTCCCACGTCCTGATAACGCACAGACAGAGGCAGCTTGGCTGGGCCCCAGGGAGGGGCCGGCCCCGCGGAGCTGAGTGCCGGCAGAGGGCACGTCTGGGCACCCTGTGGCGTGTCACTCACGCATGCAGATCCCTCCTGATGCTGCCTCAAATGTCATCCTCCTTGATGTCAGAAAAGCCTTATAACAAACAAGGATCAAATTCTTAGCTGCTTTGGATGCAGAAAGAGGATTCTGCTACTTATAGAGAAGCTGGGCTCTGGAATAGGGAAAATTATAGACTGAGAAATAATGGAAGGAGACGTAGAATGCAGTCACCGTAGCCAAGCTGCCAAATCACTACGCTCGAGTGGGCTGAGGCAGGAGAAAACAACCCTGTCCCAGGAACTTGACCATCAGAACACCGCAGTCCTAGATCAACACCTGGGTATCTGCCAAACTCCCAATAACCCTCTGGCCACCCCTTGGAGGGCTAGGAAAAGAATGTTTGTGGGTCCAGACCACTTGACATCATTATCCAGACCCCCAGTCATCCAGGTGCTCTCTCAGACCAGCCTGGAGGCGAAGAACGCAGAACTGATGCGTCTGGAGAACGGGCTCCTTACTGACAGCAGCCTTACACCTTCTCTCTTGTTCAGAGCTCTCTGGGCACTGCCTCACTGTGTTCTGGATTTGCAAGCCCTGAGACCCTTGAATGAATTTTTATCATTTCTTTCTAGCCTGACTCTTCCTGAGCTTGTTCAACACAGATTGTAGAATTTGGAAGACACTCTAAATAGAGTCTAAAGTTAAAAGCAAACCAAGAAACCAAGAGGTGAGGCAGCCACAGGCCTTGAGCAAATGAGATGAGGAAGCAGGAGCTGACATGGCAAGGAGGTGAAGACCCAGACGCACTCAGGGCCTGAGGGCACTCGAGAATAAAATAAAAGTATGGTGATAGCAAAGTGGTAATCATATGGAATAACTGGGAATGGTTATAAAGAGAACATTTGGAGGGGATGGGAGTGAAAATGACTCAGCCAAGGCTGGAGGGAAAGCAGCAGCCTTGAGAACAAGGGAAGTTCCGTGTGGGGGCCTGCGGTCTCCTTCAGGTCACCGACAGTGCGCAGTCCTGTCCATAATCATAAAGCAGTCCTCGGTGTGCACGTATGCTGTTAGCTTCACCTTGAATGAGATAGGACTGCTCCCTGATGCCATGTGAGACCACCCGTCTAACCTGCGGTCAGTGACAGTCTGCACTATAGCTCGGAAACCCTCTTGTGAGAGCTAACAGCAAGATCTGTAACCACACCAGGAAGGGGGAGTGGGTTTCCAGAATCGTAACCTCGGTCCAGTGAAATCTGGGATCTCTGCCCAAAGTGAAGTTTCCCTGGGGCAATTATAGAGGGCATGGAAATCCACAGGCTCGATCAACCATGCTAATGCTTCAACGGACTTGAAATGGAAACTGGCTTTCAGACATTTGTAAACCAAGACAAAGGAATCAGAAGGGGGTGTTTATTTGTGGCAATGAGGATCACCCGAATGTGAACCCAGGAAGACAGGCTTGGTCATGTGGCCAGGTCTGAAGCCAGAGGTGAGCCTGACCATTTGAGGTTCCTTCCTGGTACCCTTTCTCACTGTCCCTCTTCCTCACTCCTCCAGATTTCTGTGTCTCCTCCTACATTACTCATGCCTCGGCCTCAGCCTCGGGCACTGCCAGGCGAAAGCTATTTCATCCTCATCTGGTCAAAGCTTCTGCAGGGCCCCAAGCTGTGAAACAGACCAGGGCTCTCAGCATGTGGGGCGAAGCACCACCACTAGGTTCATGTCACACTCTCTGCGTTTCAGCAAATTGAAGCAAGGATGTTGAAGTGGAGGAACACAGATTAAAAGGGACAGTTACTTCCCGATGTGGAAAAATATGCTATTTTCATTACAGCCAGAGTAATAAGAATTTGCAATTGTTACCGCCCTTCAGCACGTCCTCTGCAGCAGGCCAGGTGCTGTAAGTGTTGCATGTAACACTCACAACACCGGAAGCAAGGACATGAGAAACTGAGATTCAGAGAGGTTAAACAATGTGCCCGTTTTCACGGACCTAAAGGTGACGGAGCCTGTAGCGTTTGGGTGCAAGGCCCAGCTTTTCCCACTGGAGCAGCACAAGGAAGGGAGACAAGAAGGGCCTAAAATGGAAACACTGATCTGCCTCAAGCCCCTGTAATATTCTCAGAGAGTTTTGTGTGCTTTCTTTTTCCCTGTCACTCTACGTTCTGCACTTTTCATGACCTCTGACCTGCTCCAAATTACTGAGGCCTTCCTAAAAGCTTCGTGCCCCAGCCTCCTGTGACTTCCGAAACGGATGCTGTGTTTCTCACCGGAAATGGTGCCCTGTGGACTCTGCGTAGCTTCGGTTCCTGCAGTTCGCCCCCGTGTTGCAAAGAAGGCCTCGGACAAAGGGGAAGACGCCCCGGCTGGGCAGATCCCGGGGCTGCAAATAACCTGGGCGTGGACACAGGGGGGAAATGAGTCCAGACAACTGGAGGCAGCAGCGGAATTCCCACCGGGTTGGAACAAGAGCAGTAGTACATCATGTCATGCTGTTGTGTAATTAGTCCTGCTCTCCACATGAAGGTGATCTGAACACAGACCAAAAAAGAAAAGAACAGAAAAGAAAGGGAAAGAAAAGCAAGAAAAGAAAGCAGCCTTTCCCTACATCTGACACTTCACCCAGGCTCTGTGAGGTCACAGCCGTGCGACCAGAGTGACCATGACCCCAGACACAGTCCTCTCGTGTACAAACCAGGGGCAGGAAGGAAAACAATATACACTTCTTCTCATCTCATATAATGTAGGGGTTTTGATTGTGGGCCAGATTTTGAAGTCTAATATATTTTGGATTCTTCAATGTTTAAGGGTGGTTGCCAAAGGTCATATAAAATGAAGAAGTTTAGAAAAACTGGGCTGGACCCTGGGTTTTCAGGTCAAATGTCAACGAGCCACTTCCTTTAGTAAAGTGATGCTCAGATCCCTCCCTTTTCACGCACACCCTGGCCCTGCATCCCACCCCCTACCTTTCACACCTCTCCCCCATATCAGCCAGGACACTGACATAGCGATAGCCATAGGTGACATGGAAGTTATTCCTCCACCACCTTGGAGCTTAGGGTGAAGTGTCTGAAGTTAGTCCCCTGCACCCCACCAGTCTAGCTGCGGCTGGGAGGTGAGCTTACCCTGTGGGACTTAGAGACTGGCTGTGCTCAGAATTGGCATAATTGTTAAAAATAAGTGAATCAGCTTTTCAGCTAAAGGGGCAAACAGAGTGCCACAATACACCATCGTTATTATCCTCCTCACTGTCATCATCTCCATCACTGTCATCATCACTGTCATCATCACCATCATCTCCACCACCATCATCACGATCATCATCATCTTCAACACCATTACCACCATCATCACCTCCATCACCATCATCACCATCTTCACCATGATCACCATCAGTATTGTGTTGGTAAGCTGAAATGCACCTTCCCTTTTTTGCCTCTCTCTATTCTTCTATGTTTGTAATGGCATAGATAGCCGTGTCCACAGTAAGGCAGCTCAGTGAGAAAAATACTTCTATCTGCTACATCGAACAAACACGTGACCATTACCCCGAAGAGGAAAAAATGTTAATTGGTGCTTCCTAGCATGTACCCCAGAACTACAGCTATGGTGATACTTTAGTGAAACCCAACCCACGCATTCCACTCAGAACTCAGAGTTTCTAAAGGCAGAAGAAAGGGTGCCCACATTTTCTCTGGAGACCTGCAACAGGAGTGAAACTTACAGTTGTCTCTGTGTCGGGGGGGCTCTTGGAAACGCAGCACTGTCAGAATCGTGAACAGGATGCACGGCCAGAAGAATTCAGCGAGGCAAAGGACCTGGGGACATTGTCAGAAAATAAAATCAGTGCTTGAATAACTTGCAGAGCATTAGGGTACCTCCATCTCCTGAATGTGGCACGCAGGCCAGGCTGAGCCTCCTCTGAGAGAGGCCCTTGTCACCCCTACCATGGCTCTCTGCCCGCAGAGAAGGTCACTTGTCTTCACATCCAGCTCCCGGACTGTGTCACTCCTTGTCCTTCCCCTCCAGACCTGGCTTTTGCCCCCTGCTTTTTGTTCCACCTCTTCACTTACTGTGGACTTTATGACATTAAACATTAAATACATAATGATTCCATTCCAACAAATTAACTCTTTTATTTTTCTAATCTCTTAAACATTCCTGACTTTTCCACCCAAACGGCCATTTTGCCCAACCTGGTGGGTAACGCAGTCACTTTCTGGATATTTCTCATATTGCCACATGAGGTTCATAGCTGGCCTCCTACCAAATGCACAACACTGTTACCAGACAGACTTCCCATTTCACTCTGCTCCGCCAGCGAGTATTTCACATGCAGATAGTGTTTCTACTGAATTTGCTTGAGATGGAAACAAGCCCCAAAAACTCGGATTGTTGGAGTCAAACCTCTTGACACAAACCACAAAAGCGCAACCCATAAAGATCATAATCGTTTGCATAATTATGAATTTTTGAAGTCAAAAGAATGGGAACTGCCATTGATACATGGAATGTAATTATCGAGGAGAGAGAGACCATCATTAGGAACAACCCAGTGAAAACCTCATTCGGGGAAGATCCTGTCATCCTGTGCCCCGCGTCTGTGTCCCCGCATCTGTGTCCCACGTTTTTAGAGCAGAGAACCTGCTTCTGCAGATTGCTGCCCCTGTCACTTTATAAACATGAAGAGCATTCATCAAGGCACAAACTAAGACCTAAAGGGCTGCAGGCACAACGTTAAGCCTGCACCGTCCAGCAAGAGTCTTACTCTACCCCGCTCTGGGCTACAGCGCTCTGGAGTCTAGCTGCTGTAGCCCCTTCGCTCTTGACCTGCCACATCCCCCTGTCCCAGCACTAGGTGGGAAAAGCCCAGCAAACACCTAATGCAGCCAGGGGAGGGCACGTGGCTGGCAATCACGAAGACAGAACACAGACAGAAAAGAATATTTGTTCCTGTTCTCGTGAAAGCAGAAAGCACCACAATGAACTGTTGTTTGTGAGGGCGTCATTTTTTGTGTAGAGCGTGTACCATTAAGAGCAGTTCTCTGAGAGAGTGCTGGGACCGCGTACCATTCGCCCTGGTGACCGAGGGGACACCTGCACGAGGCACCTCTGGTGCCCAAGGTCATAATTAAACCAGAAAGAAAGGCTGGGACCCCTCACTCAGACCCCAGTTCATTTAAGTCATTCTGGTCATTTTCTGCAAAAAGTGACTCATTACTGGGGCCACAGAAGTCAGAGGGGGGCAAGATAGTATTTCAGGATTAATTCTGGGAGAATGTAAATGTGTGAAATCAGAACTGTAACCATGCCTTGATATCATGAAGAAGAATTAATACATCTTCTTTGTTTTTTAAATCTATAATAAAATATAACTATTTTTAAGACAAAGGGGTTTGCAGAAAACAGAAAATGGGCACCATAAATAAGTAAATATGTGGACAGTTAGGAAATGCAAAAAGAACAGAAGAAATACAAACACTTCCCCCAAAATTAACTATCTGAGCAGGTTTCTGGATTCATGTTCAAAAGCACACAGATACGCATCGCTGATGTTGTCGGAATCAGTTTTCCACTGCAGCGTGGACAGTTCTGCCTCCTGTTCTCAGAGACTGCATAGCAACGTGCCCCAGAAAGTGATGGGGTGAACCAGTCACCAGGTTACGGGAACCTGGTAGGCTTTCTGTCTGCACACAGCACCACCCCGGGTGTCTCATTCAGCTACTGCCACAGGCACGTCTGTGAGGTGGCATTGCTGATCGGGACTGCCGACTCAAACAGGACGTTATTTTTAATTGGGGTTTTTAGTTTGGGTTCACGTAACAAAAATGCCCTCACTGACGGCTAAACCAGCCACCATTCACTCCAATCACACCCGACATTAGTGACTTTTAAATAAATCTGTCAAAGTTTTGCCAAACCGATATGCAAAATAAGTAACAATAATATTTCTTTAATTATGAAGATGAAGCATTTTATAAGGAAAGTGTGTAATAATTTATGTCTATCAGTGCTTTTGCTAGTTTGCCCTGGGCCCAGTTTTCCATTATGTTGTAAATCATTGTTTCTTGTTTTTCTCTTTCATTAAAAAAAGAGCTCAGCTCTTTGTGGATTGCAAATATTTTCTCCCATTCTTTATTTGCTTCTTTATTGCCTAAGTCTCTTTTGCAATCATTTCCCAATCTTTTTATTTGTCTCACTGGTGTGGTATTTCCTGCCCCCACCCCCAGATGAAGACCTTGTTGAGGCCACAAGAAAACTTTCGCAATCATAAAATTACAAACAGCTGTCGGTCATAAAACCAAGGGCAAGTCTCCAGTTCCAAATGGAAAAACATTGTCCAAAATCTTTAACTCTACATCTCATCATGGAGACGTTTCTCTGAAGACACTGAAGTAAAAACAATGCTCGCCCTCCACCAGTGTGTCTGTTTACAAGCCACCCCACAAGCCCCTGAAAAGCAGGGAGAGGAGGAAGGCCCCCCACTCAGGGGAAAGGCCGCTGGGTCCCTGTGTTTTGCCAGCGAGGAGTTGCTGCCTTTCGGAAAACTCCAAAGCAGCCTGACTTTATCCTCACATTTTTGTGTCCTGTTCTTCTTCTTCTGTGTCATTGTCACCCTTAAATCTTTACAGTTTCGATCTTACCCTGGTTACATGGGAACGTGTTCTGGTTACAGTCGGGGCTTCCCGTGCCTCTGGTTAGAGATGGCGGAGTGCCCAGTGCTACCCCACCCATCACCTCCTGTCACGGTGCCTCTCACTGTGGCTTTCGTGGGCACCATACACACATGCCTACAGGGACACACAGAGGACCCAGGCAGGATGGCATGGTGGAACCTTCTCACAGGCTTCTTTTCCCAGGCAAAATGGGGAGGGAAGAGAAAAAAGGGGAGAGAGAGGAAAAACCTATCCTTTAGAAAAATGTCAAAAACATATGTTTACAGAGCAGCTCAGACAAAGGCACTGTGGCCCAGTCCTAACTCAGCTCCAAACGGGCAGAGCTGTCACCACCCCAGGACCACCCCAGTCCCCGCATCTGTGGCGACAAGACCCCCTGAGTCCCCTGGCCACCTTCTTCAGGCACAGGAGTTGGGAAATGGCAGCAGGCATGGCTGAATGAAACACAGACCGTGGGTGGGAAGGCTGATGCTGGTGGAGACACTGCTGAGGCTTCACATAAAAATGCAGAAAAAGATGCAGACTTGGGAGACCGATTTCCCCAACTCGGTGGCATGGACATGGTGTAAGACATGTAGCAGAATTTTAAAGGATGCCATAGAGTCCAGCACATCTCATAACAATGGCTTCTCGCCTCCACTGGTGGGCTCCCCCCCACCTCCACTGTCGTCCCAACCTCC